GCCCGCTGAGTGGGCAGCGCTAGGAGCCTGCTGAGACATAGAGGCACTGGTTCCAATCACATCTGTGTGGCGCTTCCCTATCTACCAGCAGGAAGTTTCAGGAACAAAGCATCACCAGACACAACATGGAAAGATGGGAAACCTGCCCGCCCACAAATGTCAATTTAGCAGTCATAGATACTGACAATGGGGAATATCACCTCCTGGCTATCAGTTACTCTTTTGTTTTGTTTTTTGTTTTTTTCTGGTGCCAGTCCTGAGGGTTGCACTCAGGGCCTAGGCGCTGTCTGAGCTTCTTTTGCTCAAGGCTGTGGCTCTACCACTTGGGTCACAGCTCTACTTCCAGCTTTTTTGGTAGTTTATTGGAAATAAGTCTCATGAGCTTCCCTGCACAAGCTAGTTTCAAACCGCAGTCTTCAGATCTCAGTCTCCTAACTAGCTAGTGTTACAGGCTTATTATATTTTTTTTACTAAGTCCCTTCCACAACCCCCTCCAGCCATAACCAAGAACAGAGCGTGTTTTTCCAGGTTGCAAACAGCCAACAGATCAAATGTCGCCAAAATGTCACCAGGGAAAACAGAAAACAGCCTAGACTCTTAAGACATTGGTTTGTTATACCAGTCCTGGAGCTTAAACTCAGGGTCTGGGCACTGTCCCTGAGTTCTACTCAATGTTGGCATTAGACCACTTCAGCCACAGCTCTACTTCCAGTCTTTTGGTGGTTAATAGAACATAAGTCTCTGAGACTTTCTCGCCCAAGCTGGCTTGAAACCGCGATCCTAAATGGCAGCGTCATGAGCTGGATTCTGGGTGTCACTGATGCCTGCTGGCTCATCAGTGTTTTGAACAGAATTCCAAATAAAGGACCCAGAGATGGGGAACCTCAATGTGTCCTGTCACATCCTTCTGGTAAGGGACATTCAACCTGCTCCTCTCACTCCCTCTGCCGCCATCGATTCTTCTGCCAGGGTCCCACCCTGCTGCCCAACTTGGTCTTAAACCTGTGGACTTAAGGAACCCTTCCTTCTACCTCAGCCTCCAAGGGCTGAGTGTGGAGGGGCTGCTGCACAGGGTGGTACCCCATTTGTGAAGGCGTCCTGGAAGTGTCCAGCTCCAGCAGGACTGTGAGCTCGACTGGGAGGAGGCAGCAATCTCCAGCTTCATCTTTAGATGACAAGTCAGAAGGCAAGGCCGTGCACATGGCAAAGCCCATGGTATGTGAATCCCCACATGGGGGCTCCTGTGGCTCTGTGGCCTGCAGGGCAGAGCTCAGGAGGGCCTCTGCCAGCCCAGCAGTACCCACAGAGTTCCCGATCTGGCCAGCATCCCCTTAGGGCCAGAATCCATAGCTGGAACTGAACATCACCCCGAGGATTGCCCATTCTGCCGGCTGGCAGCACCGGGGGACCCAACACATCTGGACGCCCCCCCCCCCACCCCCCCCCCCCCCGTGGACATCTTGTGAAGACGCAGGAGTGAGCAGCTGACCTTCAGGCTATGCCCAAAAGAAGCCATCAGAGCCGCCTGCCCGGCCGGCCGCCTGCCCGGCCGTCCCCCTGCCCGGCCGTCCCCCTGCCCGGCCGTCCCCCTGCCCGGCCGTCCCCCTGCGCGCCCGTCCCCCTGCGCGCCCGTCCCCCTGCCCGGCCGGCCCCCTGCCCGCCCGTCCCCCTGCGCGCCCGTCCCCCTGCCCGCCCGTCCCCCTGCGCGGCCGTCCCCCTGCCCGGCCGGCCCCCTGCGCGCCCGTCCCCCTGCCCGCCCGTCCCCCTGCGCGCCCGTCCCCCTGCGCGCCCGTCCCCCTGCCCGCCCGTCCCCCTGCGCGGCCGTCCCCCTGCCCGCCCGTCCCCCTGCCCGCCCGTCCCCCTGCGCGCCCGTCCCCCTGCGCGGCCGTCCCCCAGCCCGCCCGTCCCCCTGCCCGCCCGTCCCCCTGCGCGCCCGTCCCCCTGCGCGCCCGTCCCCCTGCCCGCCCGTCCCCCTGCGCGGCCGTCCCCCTGCGCGGCCGTCCCCCTGCGCGCCCGTCCCCCTGCGCGGCCGTCCCCCTGCCCGCCCGTCCCCCTGCGCGCCCGTCCCCCTGCGCGGCCGTCCCCCTGCCCGCCCGTCCCCCTGCCCGCCCGTCCCCCTGCGCGCCCGTCCCCCTGCGCGCCCGTCCCCCTGCCCGCCCGTCCCCCTGCGCGCCCGTCCCCCTGCCCGCCCGTCCCCCTGCCCGCCCGTCCCCCTGCGCGGCCGTCCCCCTGCCCGCCCGTCCCCCTGCCCGCCCGTCCCCCTGCGCGCCCGTCCCCCTGCGCGGCCGTCCCCCAGCCCGCCCGTCCCCCTGCCCGCCCGTCCCCCTGCGCGCCCGTCCCCCTGCGCGCCCGTCCCCCTGCGCGCCCGTCCCCCTGCCCGGCCGGCCCCCTGCCCGCCCGTCCCCCTGCGCGCCCGTCCCCCTGCCCGCCCGTCCCCCTGCGCGGCCGTCCCCCTGCCCGGCCGGCCCCCTGCCCGCCCGTCCCCCTGCCCGCCCGTCCCCCTGCGCGGCCGTCCCCCTGCCCGGCCGTCCCCCTGCGCGCCCGTCCCCCTGCCCGGCCGGCCCCCTGCCCGCCCGTCCCCCTGCGCGCCCGTCCCCCTGCCCGGCCGTCCCCCTGCGCGCCCGTCCCCCTGCGCGCCCGTCCCCCTGCGCGCCCGTCCCCCTGCCCGGCCGTCCCCCTGCCCGTCCCCCTGCGCGCCTGTCCCCCTGTGCGCCCGTCCCCCTGCGCGGCCGTCCCCCTGCCCGTCCCCCTGCCCGCCCGTCCCCCTGCCCGCCCATCCCCCTGAGCGGCCGTCCCCCTGCGCGCCGTCCCCCTGCGCGCCCGTCCCCCTGCCCGGCCGGCCCCCTGCGCGGCCGTCCCCCTGCCCGCCCGTCCCCCTGCCCGGCCGTCCCCCTGCCCGCCCGTCCCCCTGCGCGCCCGTCCCCCTGCCCGCCCGTCCCCCTGCCCGCCCGTCCCCCTGCGCGCCCGTCCCCCTGCGCGCCCGTCCCCCTGCGCGGCCGTCCCCCTGCGCGCCCGTCCCCCTGCGCGGCCGTCCCCCTGCCCGCCCGTCCCCCTGCCCGCCCGTCCCCCTGAGCGGCCGTCCCCCTGCGCGCCGTCCCCCTGCGCGCCCGTCCCCCTGCCCGGCCGGCCCCCTGCGCGGCCGTCCCCCTGCCCGCCCGTCCCCCTGCCCGCCCGTCCCCCTGCGCGGCCGTCCCCCTGCCCGGCCGGCCCCCTGCCCGGCCGTCCCCCTGCCCGCCCGTCCCCCTGCCCGGCCGTCCCCCTGCCCGGCCGGCCCCCTGCGCGGCCGTCCCCCTGTCCGCCCGTCCCCCTGCCCGGCCGTCCCCCTGCCCGGCCGTCCCCCTGCGCGCCCGTCCCCCTGCCCGCCCGTCCCCCTGCCCGCCCACCCTTTCCCCAGGGGCCGAGCACACACGGCTTGTCCAGCCAGCCCACCCCTAGCTGGCTCTTCAGGGAAAAAGCGAGGGGAAGGGGGGGGGGCAGCAAAGAAAACCCTGGCCCCAAGGCAGTGATTTTTAAAACAAGCACTCAGAAAGGAAACCGGGTTGGGGGCGGGGGGAGGGGGGTTGGGGGTGAAGATAAGGAGGCCTGCGGTGCCCTTAGTAACCAACAGACCAGAACCAGAGCTCCTGTGGGCCTTTTCCTGGGCCTCTGCCAGCCATCTGTGCTCCTAGACACCGCCCGCCCCACTGTCACACTGGCCCCCAGCCCTGCCAGAGCTTCCTCAGGACCAGCCTCCCACAGGCCACTGAAGCCTTGCCAGTCGCTCGTCTCTTCCCCCCACCCCCGCCCCTGCCCCAGAACTGAGTGAAGGACAGGCCCTGCCCTCAAACAGGGCACCTGTGCAAGCCCTAACCTGGGAGGTCGGTGCAGGCCAAAGCCGTGCTGGGGACGGCAGGGCTGCTCAGGGGGGTGTGGTGGTGTGGGAGGTGGTCGTGAATGCACGAGCTGGAGGGAGCTTGTCAGTAAAGCCCTCAGGAGGCTCCACGGTGGGGGGAGGAGAGGGAGACAGGCCCTGCTGGCCCCCAGAAGCCCAGACAGCTCCACTCCAGACGGGGAGGGGCCACAACGGCCAGTCCCATCTTAAATCTCAAATCATGGGAAAGGAAACTGTACAGGACTGGTGCTGCAGCCGGGCCCATGCCACTGTGGACATGGGCGGCCCAGCAGGCCTCGTCCAGAGATGAAGGACTCATGGAGGTCTGGGCAGCCCCCCAGCGGGGCCACGGCTTGCTTGGGAGGGTGGTCACCAGCACAGGGTGCTGGCTGCAGAAAAACAACAGTGCACAGAGCAGCACGTGTGAGGGACTGAAAAGACAGGAGGCAAGCCTGTGAGCTGCTCAGGAAGCGGAGGCAGGAGCATGGTCCAAGGTCAGCCAAGGTCACAGGTATGAGACCCAATCAGGAAAAAAATAAAGCCAATAGGGCTGGATGTGTGGCACAGAGGGAGAGTGCCAGCCTAGCAAGCGCAGGGCCTGGAGTTACAACCCCAGCACCACCAAAACAAGGAGAAAAAAGAGGACAGGACGAGGAGGAGCCACCGCTGGGACTTGGGACTCTAGGCCTGTCCCCATCAAGACCTTCTGGTGGCAGGGGTGACACCAGCTCTCCTATTTCCTCCTGACACCAAGGCTATGGGCGGCCACTTCGGCTGCTGGACACCTTCTGCCCACCAGCCACTTCCCCGCACACCCGCTCTGCCCAGGGCCACTGGCTCCTTCCGTCTGAAGATGACCTGTTAGCTACACAGCACTTGGTGGGGTTGAGTCCTTATTCAGAAACAATCTGTAAATACATTTTCTCTTTTGCTTAGAATTCTTGCTCAAAAACCTGGTGGAAAAGTGTCTGTGTGGGCTCCTCGTGAGGAGCCTGTGTGGCTGGCAGGGGCGCAGCCAGGGGACCCGAAGGCCATGGGCCCCAGGGGAAGTCCGAGCTGGCCACTTAGGGACACACGGGCCCAACGCCACCTTCAACTGCAGAACAAAGCAACCAAACAGCCAAGGAAATAATGGAATCAAAAAAGTTTATTCTGAATACTTAATTTTAAAAAAATCATATCTATGAGGTGTGCTACAGAAATGCAGATACAGCAGGCGCCTATAAAACCTGTCCTGTAGTGGAAAGGCAGGGACTATGCAGAAACGCACTTCGAGAAAGAACAGGCAGGCAGCAAGCACGATTGTTCTGCGTCCCAGGCGGCGAATGTCTGCTGGTTTCTTGGGAGACACAGCCAGCCTGGTCCAGCTTCCCGGCTTCTCCACAGGGCCAAGGGGGTCACCATTGAAAAGCTGCAGGCAGGCAGGGACAGCCGCTCCGGGAAAAGCTGCGGCAGCCCCTGGCAGGAGCAGTCCCACAGCCACACTGCATTTTAACCCAGTCCATCCCCTGCCTTTTGCTGTGCTGGAACACAGTTTGGCAAACAGCACACTCCCTGACGGAGCAAACTTCTGCCATCTGCACTGAGGCACAAAGACACACGTTGGGTTGCCAGGCTGCAGGGGCTGTGGGCCTGAGCCCAACACCAGCGTCGGGCATAACACTAAGACGGGCTTTTCCACTGTGGCCTGGAACTGAGACAAGGCAGGGAGGGGCAGGGCCCTTCAGGCAGGGCAGGCCAGGCCAGGCCAAGGGAAGAGCCCTCACAGAAGACTGGAGTCCCAGGGCCGGTGTGGGATGGGAGACAAGGCAGGGAGGCCACCTAGAGGGCAGCCTGGGTTGTAGCTGTTATGAGCCCTGCAATTTCACAGCACACGACTGGAGGTCCTCATTCCAGATGCTGGACTCCACCACGCCCCTCATCTGGGAAGCCGGGCTGGCCGAGCAACTCCACAGCCAAGACCCACTCTGCACACGTGCTATGAGATGCCAGCCATCTCCCTGGACACTAGGACATGGCACTCCGCGCCGCAGGAAAACTAGCCCCTCAAGTGGCTGTGCATGACAGTCAACTTGGCAGAAAAAGAAAAAATCCTTCAATGGATAAACAATGACCCAAGTCCTCCTAAGAACATGATTATAATATATTAGCGAGTTCTGGGGCATAGACATTTCTGAAAGCATCAGCAAAAGTATTAAATATAAAAGCAATATGTATATTCCCCTCCCCTCCTTTGGAAAACAAAACACAAAAACCAAACCCCAAACCAGTGAAGGCATGATCTGTAGTGTCAGCTGGAATCAGCCGTGGCCGGCCTGCGGCCGCTGGCACCCTACTGCCGCAGCTCCACGTAGTTGGCCGGGAAGAGCCCATACCGGCCCTTGCATACCCCTCGCCACCAGCCATCATCGATCATTTCGATGTTGGTGATGATGTCATCAGGGTCAAAGGAAATCTCGTCATCGCCCGCTGGGGAGAGAGCAGAGAGACCGGCTCAGATGCACATACTGTCTCATCTGCGGCCGAGGTGGGGGTCAAAGCCTCAGCCCCAAGGACACGGGACCCATGACGGTAAAGGTGGGCACCACAGAGGTGGTGGGGAGAGAGCACGCACTCTGGACAGCTGCCGTAGTGGGGGTCAAAGCCTCAGCCCCAAGGACATGGGATATGGGATGGTGAAGGTGGGCATTGCAGAGGTGGTTTAAGGGAGCACAAGGAAATCTAAGAAGCTGAGGCTATGGGCTGGCCAGGAAGTAGGGGGACAAACAAGGTGTTCGGAATGCCCACAACACAGAGCTCCATGACACCCGGGCACACGTGGACACAGGGCCGTGTGGGAACCTCCTCACAGGAGAGTCAGCCTCCTGCTCAGAAGGCAGGGGCACTGGGAGACTGCTGTCAGAGGAAGCTGGGGTCTAAGGACCTCAGGGACCTGCATCCCAAAAGTGTTTTTCAACCACTAAAATAGTGGAGGCTCCGGACGAGGCAGCAGTGTCCACCATAACAGCAAGGGGACAGACACAGGGTGACTCGGGAAGGTACGGGAGGAACTGTGCCATTCACAGCCTGGAAGTGAGGACAGCAGGGGACATGCGGGGGTTATGGGCATGGAGTCCTCGCTCAGGCAGGGCATGCTCCACCGGAGGCCTTCAAGGACAGAGACCGCCTACAGAGAGTGAGGGTGAGGGGTGGGATCCGGGAAAGGTATCAAGAGTAGGGGGTGGGATCTGGAGAAGGGGTGAGGGGGTGGGATCTGGAGAAGGGGTGAGGGGGTGGGATCTAGTGAAGGGGTGAGGGGGTGGGATCTACTGAAGGGGTGAGGGGGTGGGATCTAATGAAGGGGTGAGGGGGTGGGATCTAGTGAAGGGGTGAGGGGGTGGGATCTAGTGAAGGGGTGAGGGGGTGGGATCTGGAGAAGGGGTGAGGGGGGTGGGATCTGGAGAAGGGGTGAGGGGGTGGGATCTAGTGAAGGGGTGAGGGGGTGGGATCTGGAGAAGGGGTGAGGGGGTGGGATCTGGGATCTACTGAAGGGGTGAGGGGGGTGGGATCTGGAGAAGGGGTGAGGGGGTGGGATCTAGTGAAGGGGTGAGGGGGTGGGATCTAGTGAAGGGGTGAGGGGGTGGGATCTGGAGAAGGGGTGAGGGGGTGGGATCTGGAGAAGGGGTGAGGGGGTGGGATTTACTGAAGGGGTGAGGGGGGTGGGATCTACTGAAGGGGTGAGGGGGGTGGGGTCTGGAGAAGGGGTGAGGGGGTGGGATCTAGTGAAGGGGTGAGGGGGTGGGATCTAGTGAAGGGGTGAGGGGGTGGGATCTAGTGAAGGGGGTGAGGGGGTGGGATCTACTGAAGGGGTGAGGGGGGTGGGGTCTGGAGAAGGGGGTGAGGGGAGCAGGATCTAGTGAAGGGGTGAGGGGGTGGGATCTAGTGAAGGGGGTGAGGGGGTGGGATCTAGTGAAGGGGTGAGGGGGTGGGATCTGGGATCTACTGAAGGGGTGAGGGGGTGGGATCTGTAGAAGGGGGTGAGGGGAGCAGGATCTAGTGAAGGGGTGAGGGGGTGGGATCTAGTGAAGGGGTGAGGGGGGTGGGGTCTGGAGAAGGGGGTGAGGGGAGCAGGATCTAGTGAAGGGGTGAGGGGGTGGGATCTACTGAAGGGGTGAGGGGGTGGGATCTGGAGAAGGGGGTGAGGGGAGCAGGATCTAGTGAAGGGGTGAGGGGGGTGGGATCTAGTGAAGGGGGTGAGGGGGTGGGATCTAGTGAAGGGGTGAGGGGGTGGGATCTGGAGAAGAGGGTGAGGGGAGCAGGATCTAGTGAAGGGGTGAGGGGGTGGGATCTACTGAAGGGGTGAGGGGGTGGGATCTGGAGAAGAGGGTGAGGGGAGCAGGATCTAGTGAAGGGGTGAGGGGGTGGGATCTAGAGAAGGGGGTGAAGGGGGTGGGTGGGGTCTGGTGGAGACAAGGGGGTTCTTGGCACCATATGACCAACTTTTCTAACATTTCAAAAACAAGTTGTTATTTTTTTTCTGTGTATGCGTCAGTACTCAGGACATCATGGTCTTGCTTGGCTTTTTCTGTTCAAGGCTGGTTCTCTACCACCACTTGAGACACCTCCATTTCTGGCATTTTGCTACATACTAGAGATAAGAATCTCTCAAATATGTCTGCCTGGGCTGACTTAGAATGAAACCCTCAGATCTCAGCCTCCTGAGTAGCTAAGATTACAGGTGTGAGCCACCGTTACCTAGCATGTTCTAAAACCATACCCAGAAACTAGCCATGGTGGTAGAAAGCCTACAATCCCAGGGTAACATAGTGAGGCCTTGCCTCAAAAAGTAGGTTAAGAGGGGCTGGGAATGTGGCTTAGTGGTAGAGTGTATGACCCTGGGTTTGGTTCTTCAGTACCACATAAACAGAAAAAGCCAACAGTGGCACTGTAGCTCAAGTGGTAGAGTGCTAGCCTTGAGCAAAAGCTCAGGGACAGTGCCCAAGCCCTGAGTTCAAGGTCTAGGACTGGCCAAAAAGAGAAAGAGAGAGAGAGAAAGAGAGAGAGAGAGATGGGGGGTGGGGAACCGGGTGCCGGTGGCTCACACCTGTAATCCTAGCTACTCAGGAGGCTGAGATCTGAGGATCACCGTTCAAAGCCAGCCAGGCAAGAAAGTCCGTGAGACTTTTTTCTCCAATAAACCAACAGAAAAACCAGAAGTGGTGCTGTGGCTCACCTTGAGCTGGAGAGCTGAGGGACAGCACCCAGGCCCAGAGTTCAAGCCCCATAATCTACCAAGAAAAAAAAAAAGAAAGAAAGAAAAAAGAGAGAAAGAAAAGGTACCAGTGGCTTACACATGTAATCCTAGCTACTCAGGAGGATGAGATCTGAGGATTGTGGTTCAAAGCCAACCCAGGCAGGAAAGTCCATGAGACTCTTATGAGACTCTTATCTCCAATAAACCACTAGAAAACTGGAAGTGGCACTGTGGATCAAGTGATAGAGCTCTAGCCTTGAGCTGAAGAGCTGAGGGACAGAGCTCAGGCCCAGAGTTCAAGCCCCATGACAGATGGGAGGGAGGGAGGGAGGGAGGGAAAGAAGAAATTATAACCAGGAGTAGTGGAGGGAAGGAAGGAGGGAGGGAGGGAGGGAGGGAGGGAGGGAGGGAGGGAGGGAAAGAAGAAGTTGTAACCAGGAGTAGTAGAGGATGCCTATGTGGTTCCAGCTACTAGAAGCTAAGACAGGACTGCTTATGCTTACCCAGCAGTTCAAGGCAAACTGGGCAACACAGCCATACCCCACCAAAAAGAGAAGGAAAGTATAGTCTAGCCAGACGAGACTCTCCGGGAGGGGCAGGGAGGGAGGCTCACCAGCCTGGTAGTCGTAGAGGGCGATGGCTGTAACACCCAGGTCGTTCTCGTACTCATCATATGTGTTCTCTGAAAGCAAAGTGAGAAAAAGCTAAGCAGAGGCTAGAGACCGACGCCCTCTCTACCCACATCTTCAGACAGCATGCCCCCAAGACCCGTGCCAGGAGGACACAAGGACAACACCTCCCTACCTAGCAGGGGTTGGAGAGCAGGAAATCAAGCCTCAGAGCAACAGAAGAAAGGCCTCCAGCTTTGAAGGGCAGGCCCGGGACTCCACCCCCAGAGAGCCCACCACCCAGCCAGGTGCACAGACCTTCTCCACTAGAGTTTGAGAGCAGAGAGCTCAGTGATCCAGGGAAGGCTAGGAGAGCCCTGGCCAGTGGGGAGGTGGGAAGACGCCTCACCCCAGCACCGTCCTCCTGACTGGAATGGGGGGACAGTGGGAAGATACCGCACCCCGACACTGTTTGCCTGACTGGAGTGGCTCCCACTCCAGAGCCACCCTACACTGCTGCAGGAAGGACTGAGGTTAGACCATCACGCACCACTGTGGGAAGGGCTGAGGGGGGCGGCCTGTGTCTCAGGAGGGAAGCATAGCATAGCACTTCTGGGATGCCTGGGCAGGGAGGAGCCCACAGATGGGGCAGGTAAGGCACTGAAGGACATGGATGGGTGGGTTTGGAGGGGTCTTCCCCCCACCCCTCACTGGCAGGTGCTAGAGTGAGGCTCACCTTCTTGGTAGTGGCCTGGGGCTTCCGTGGTTTCGTAGACGGCCTCCGTGGTGTAAGCCGGGCCCTGCTGGCCGGTGGCCTCAGGGAGGTCTGCAGCCTTGATGCTGTAGGCAGGCTCTGGCTCACTCCCACCTGTGGGGCCTCGGTAGCTGGGCTCTGCCTTGAATGAGGCTGCATCCTAGGGAGCAGTGGGGATTTCTCAAGGCCCATTCTGGCCAAACCATCGTTCCTAGTCCACCATCTCCTAGGAACCAATCGTAGCCCCCATGCCGGTCCCCAGGGCTGACATCTGGCCGTGCCTGGCTGTTTCTTTCAGGCCTGAAGTCTCTGAGGGCACACCAGCCCTCCCACCTGGCAGTGGCTTGCCACCCACCCCAGCCACTGCCTGGCGCTGGAAAGGGGAGAGCAGGCTCTGATCTAACCAAATCCTCCATCCCTGCCAGCACAGAGCTGCCACCGAATCACACTCTAGAACAACAAAGGTTTAGAGATAACCAACCACATGGTTATTTAAACCACCGGACCTCAAGCTGTCTGCTGTCTGAATCAAGGTTTCTGAGCAGCAACCCAACCCCTGCACACACACCACTGCAGGGCAAGACCGGGAATATCCTGCAGGGAGTCTCAGGGGGTGGCAGGTAGGACCAACAGCCCCTAGGCCAAGGACAACATCCACTTCCAGGCAGGGGCCAGGGTCCACGGAAGAGTTCAAGCCACGGGAGTGACAGGCCCTGGGTTCCTTCCAGCCAGCTCCCTGGCACCAAGGGGAGACATGAGGGCGGGCAGCCAGTTCGTGGTGTGGCAGCCTTGTGTCTGTCCCTCTCCTGGCAGGGCTGCTGATAATCACACAGCAAGCAGCACACACCGCCAGTCACCCAAGATCTTCTTCTGGAAGGAGACTGGCTACGTAGGGACAGCTCAAGGATAGGCGTTTGCCAGATTGTAGCTACAGGGCCACGTCCACTACATCCTGCGTCTGCCACACGGGGGAGGGGCAGTGATGGATCCCGGCAGTGATGAAGAGTGGCCCGTTCCTGCCAGTTGCCACGGGAGCTCCCTGACTAAGTCTTGCTGTGGTAAGAGGACCCTGTGGCCCTGCGGTGCCAGGGGCAGACGCATGGAAAGAGAGCCCCCAGCCCAGAGAGTGTCTGCCGGGCAGACAGTCCAGCGCCTCCGGGCTGAGGGAGAGCTGAAGAGGAGACGCAGAGCACAGTGAAGATGGGCCAGAGCAGGTGCCAGCCCAACCTGTGGAGAACAAGTGAGAGAAGACCAACATGGCCGCCCCAGCTGCAGGGCATGGCTGGGAGGCGAGGGAGAGCAGCCACACCCGCAGGAGTGCTGCCACCCAAGGCCCCGCTGTGCACACCATTCCACACAGGAATGACACTGCCTGGCACCACCCGTGTCAAGCAGTGAGCCGCTTGTTCACAAAGCAAATGAAAAGACCAACCTCGTAGACAGGGCTGGAAGGCAGCCTCTCCTCAGCCGGCTGAGGAGTGGGGGAGGCAGGGGGCGTTTGCTTTTTGGCTCTGGCTTGCTCCTGTAATGGGAAAACATCAACACCATCCTTACCAGGTCAGCCCAAGTCACACCTGTGTCCACAGAAACGGCGTGTCACAAGGTGGCGCTCGAGTGCAGCACAGAGAGGAGGGCAGGGCTTCCAGCCAAGGCCATGCGGTCAGTCAGGCATTCTCCAGGACGGCCCTGGTGGCCCACAATGCCAGTATCGACCAGACCTGACGATGCCAAGCCGTTCCACATAGCGTGTCGAGGACAGAGGCCCCAGCTGGCACAAAACTGTTGCTGATACTCATCTCATCACTGAATGATGGCCGATGGGCCCTGGGGGAACTGGGACTGAATGGGGGGGGGGGGGCGAGGGGGGGAGGGCGGGGTGAGTGCCTCTGCAGCGGGCAGACATGACTCTTGATGCCATCAGCTAGGCTGTAGGGATATGACGCTGCCCACAAACCCCACTCCCACCCCCAGCTTCTGTGACCACAGCCTGTGAAAGGGACTGTAGGTACAGGGGGCTGAAGGAACCTCTGATGGATAGACCGCTCCAGGCCATCTGGCGGCTGACATCCTGCCCTGTTTAACAGGAGGGGGTGAGGAGAGGGGGCAGCCAGGCCGTGTGATGCTGAAAGGAGGCACGGGAGTGTGGGGATGGGGCCAGGAGCCAAGGAGACTAGGTGGCCTCTAGAGGTGCAAAAGGCAAGGTAATGGGTCTACCCAGAGTGAGACCCTCTAAAGTAACAGCACAGGAAACACCTGGGGAAGGAGAGGGTGGCTGGGAACGTGGGGAGCCCATCTAATGGGGTGAGAGTCTCCTGGAAGACCCTGAGCAGAGCCTCCACATCTGTGTAGCTCTACTGCCCTACTGCCCTGCACCGCCCTGCACCACCAGGTCAGCCCTGGAAATGCCCAAGGCACCAGTGCCCCTCCCGTGGGTGCCTGAGGGCAGGACAGGCTGAGCAGCAGCAGGTGGAGGCCACGGCGGCTGGGCCTACCCAGTCACTTACAGGTGCTACTCCCAGCCCCTCCCCACTCCCAACACAGCTAGATTTGTACCTGTGTGAAAAACCCAACCTCACACACCACCCATGAGCACGCAGTCCTGCCAGCCAACTCTTTACTCACTTCCAGCCTCCTTCTAGCCTCCTCCTGCTCCTGTCTTTCCTTGGCCATCCGCTGAGCTCTCTCTGCCTCCGCCTTCCGCCTGTCTTCCTGCTCTCTCTCCTTGGCCAGGTTTTCAAAGTTAGCTCTGATGTTACTGGTTTTGCTGGTCACTGGAGAAAGGAGAGAGGACATCTCTCTCAAAACACAACCCCAGGACAAAAGCCGCTCAAGGGTGACCCCCAAGGGGGGGGGGGGCGCGCCCCATCCACGGGGCACCGCAGCCTCGAACCTGGGACATTCAGCTTGCACAGGCCCAACAGCCTAGCTCCCTTCAGGATGAAACACAGAAGGAAGTGCTGAATACTTGTCCTTCCGCTGACTAGTGGTGCAAGAGCTGTGTGGATCCCATGTCAGGAAGACATTTCCACCAAAGCCAGTGCCCGGGCACAGCTGGCAGCAAAGTACACTGTGATGTTTGTCACCAGGGGAAACTTGACGCTTTCCAGCAAACTCAGGGCTTTGCAGAATTTGTTGGGGCCACCATCAACATGGAGTCGCTTAAGATTCTGTTGGTGAGTTATATGACAGCAACACATGTCCACGCTGCACAGGAGCATAACCAAGTCAGAACTGCCCAATGGGCAGCCTGCAGAAGCACTGCAGGGCAGGAGTGCACAGCACGCCTGTACACTGCGTACACTCCTGCTGTGACTGAGAGGGGCTCAAAGCTCCTTCCCACCCCCTGCCTAAGGCAGGCGGGGAAAGGACGGGAGGCAGGCATGCAGCCTGCCATTCTCTAGGAGACAAACTGGACTGGCCACTCTTCTCACTAAGTGTTCTTCCAAGTTGGAAACTGCAGCTGCTTTCCAAAAGGAATGATATCAGGTCGGCGTAGTAATGGCCTTCTTGTTAAATGACCTAATTTCAAACTGCTGTGTAACCCAGTAGGCATCAGCTAAGATGACCACCAGAGCTCCCTGGCCCTCAGAGAGAGTCATGCATGAGTGAGTGTCCTGGAACACAGAATCAGGACCTCTGGTGACTGCTTCATCATGGCTTTGATGACTGCTATTCCGTATTACTTTTCTTCAACTACGTAATACTTTCCTCAGGGCGTGGCCTGGCAGCCTGTGACAGGACATGTATGAGCAACCTGGTCCATGGCACAGAGGGAGGACCAAGGCCTCTGGTTTTGTTCACAAGGGGATGCCAAGATACTGTCCTCCTCCAGTGGCTGTGGCCAGTGAGTTCAGGGAAGTGAACGTGTGGGTGGTTCTCAGAATCTGTCTCAGGACCCTTGGGGACACAGTCCCTCTCTCTAGAAAGTGCCCTCAAACAAATCCCACCCAGAGCCCTTACTGGAGGGCTTACTGGAGCAAGCAGGACCCCTGTCAACTGTCCCAGTGTCTCCCTGAAGATCCAGCGGCCACAGGCTCTTGGCCAAGCCCTCCGTGCTCCTGGTTCCCCTCCTCACTGGATCCCGGTGCACCTTCACCTACAAGCCCTCTCTGGGCTTTGGGAAAGCAAGACTCACCAGCCTCAACTGGGATGGTCTTCTGGTAGGCGGAGGACACCTGTGCAACTTCCTCAAAGGTGGACGCATTCTGCATACAGGAGAGAAGGAGGACAGCACTCTTCTCAGCCCTCTACCCACAATGACGCCAAACTGACTGACTGTCACAGCCTTCTCCATAGCATCCGAAGCCCCAATAGCTCAAAGCAGGCAGGCTCCTGGGTCCTGAGGCCTGGCCACACTGATCATCGTGAGTCAGCACCACACAAGGGCACACAGAGGGCAGGGTGCTGGTGGCTCATGCCTGTAATCCAAGCTACTCAGGAGGCTGAGATTTGAGGACTGCGATTCGAAGCCAGCCTGGGCAGTAAAGGCCGTGACCCTCTTATGTCCAATAAACTACTCAGAAAAACCTGGAAGTGGTGCTGTGACTCAAGTGGTAGAGCACTAGCCTTGAGCAAAAGAAGCTTAGGGACAGTGCCCAGACCGTGAGTTCAAGCTCCAGGACTGGCAAAAAAAAAAAAAAAGCATAAAGATCATACAGATGCCACCAAATCTTCGGGATGAAGAACTGGGCCTCTTCCTCAGCCCAGCCCACCCTGCCTACAGGGAAGCTGTGCTCCGTGGATGAGGACCCTGGACACACACAAGGCCCTGGACAAGTCCTCCTAGTGCATGTGATCATGCCTTCAACTCCTTTCATGGGCTCTCAACTGACAGCACCAGGCTGACCTGGGTGCTGGCTGTCAGGGCTCTGAGAAGCAAACTAACTCTAGGCCTCTGAGAAGGAAGCCAGGTTAGGCAGGCACAGAGCCACATCCCAGGCCACACGCTGACCACAGCTTCCACCTTCTCACACTTCCGTCTCCCTCACTCAAAGCGCTAACCTCCCCTGCTTCCACCCAGCGAGCCCAAGGTCAGGACACTGCCACTACCCTCAGCACCCACCAGACAGGACAGCAACTTCCTCAAAACCTGACCACAAAGCCACAACCAGACTTTCACTCACTCCCCACACCAGCTGGTTCCTCCTCCTTCCCCTCCTCCCCAGGCCTCCGGTGACCAGCCTGATCACTGTGGGGCAGCCCTGGGGGCAGCCAGCCCCATCTGTTGTCTCCTCACACTCTGCCCCATTCTTCATCCCTGCCGCCCAAGGTCCCCTGGTGTGCCCTCCTCTGTACCCAGAACCCCCGCCCCGCCCCTCTACCCCACACGCCTCAGGGCAGAGCCTCTCCACTCAAAATCCGAGGGGCTCACCTGCAGACTGCCCTCCCCGCTGTGGCCAGTGCCACTCAGTACATTCATGAAAGCCCTCACACAGTCTGGGGCTCCTCAGCTCCTCTGCCCTGTTGTACAGTTGTCTCTGCAGCATGTGCAGGGCCCGTTCCCACACCTGGCACGTACCACATCCTCTGCTCTCAACCCACGAACCGTCTCCCAGATGAACTCCTACTCACCCTTAAAAAACCAAATCGGACCACGCTGCCTTCCTCAGACCCCACCTGCCCTGTTGTGTTCTCAGAGCCCTCAGTGGGGCCTGCCTTGCTTGGGGGAGCGATCCAAGTACCATGTGCAACCAGCTGTGGCTCAGCAGAAGCAGCTGTCACCGAGGACAGCCGTGCTGCAGGTGGGCCTCGCAGAGCTGCGGGGGGAGGGACACGCAGCGGAGCTGACAGGAAGTGGACTCATCGCTGGCTGGGGACTCAGTGCCCACCAGGCAGCCGGAGGACCCCACTTTTGACATCACTCCATAGCTTAGAACTGATTTCCCAACACAAAAGAGCACAGAACCCCCAGGAGAGGACAGGTATGTTTCCACAGGAACCTTCCAGAGGCTAAGAGTGGGAAGGCGGCTCAGTGGTAGAGCGCTTGCCTCGCATGCATGAGACCCTGGTTTGATTCCTCAGCACCACATAAGGAGAAAAAGCCAGAAGTGGGCACTGTGGCTCAAGTGGTAGAGCGCTAGCCTTGAGCTGAAGAGCTAAGGGACAGCGCCCAGTCCCTGAATTCAAGCCCCATGACTGACCAAAACAAACAAACAAAAACACCAAAAGAGCACAGATTTAGTCTTGCAAGGTGGGGCACCCAGGAGGTAAGATAGGATGAAAGTGTTTGAGGCCAGCCTGCGCGAGACAGCCAGGCCTGAAGAAGCTGACATTGTCTCTCCAACCAACCATCTGCGGGCCGCGAGGGTCTGATGCACTTTGTCCAAGATGGCAGCCAGCAGCTGCACCTGACCACCTCACCAGCAGCCACATGTGCCCACCCCAGTGCGACCGTGGACCAAGTTCTTCTCACATGACCAGTGTGATAAAGGAACTCAATGCTCAACCTGAACCAATAGGAGTCAAGTCCAAATAGCCATGTGACTTCAAGGGCCCCAAGTTAAAGGTCTGGGCTCAGCTGAGGCACCCTGTCCTCACAGCTAGGCTAGGGCAGGCATGGAGCCAGCTGCCTGGTCCCCGACTGGGAAATGAACAGGTGTAGCATACAGGTGTGCTGAGGGGGCCACGCCAACCTCCCCAGGTGATGCCTGGCCCTCAGAGCGGAGTGCTAAAGGACAAGGGCACAGCCGCAGGTACACACAAACCTGCAGGCAGAGCACTGCCCATCTCAAACGCTCACCTTATCCATCCGATCCTTCTGGACCCCGTACTTCCCGCCAAATCCTTTGGCGTAATCTGGAAGGTGGTAAAAGACTTGCTGTGAGGTGAGGGCGAGGGTGGGGGGTAGGGGGGGCCCAGCTCACAGCAGGTGCATGCACACAGGTCCAGAGACAGCCAGGAAATGCACCCAGAGCCAAAGGACACGAGAGCTACCGGGGGACAGGCTTTCCTGGCCAGGCAAGTGTGGCATCTAACCGTGGCGTTCAGTGCACAGGCAGGGAGCAGGACGGGTAGGGGACATGCATCCAGCATTCTCGAGGGAACAGGAAGGGAAAGGGCAAAGGCTGGTGGGACAGAAGCCGAGGAAGGCGGGCACAGGACAGGCCTTTGCAGTGGGCCACTTCAATAGCACAGTCTTCTGCACCAGCCAGGGGCCTTATTGCCATCTGTCTCCCGTGCGCCTGCTCGACTGAGCGCTAAATAGAGGCTCAGCTGCAGTTCTCTTGCTTTTTAAAAGAAAAAGAAACTCCATGTGGAAACCTTGGCAGCCAGGGGGTGGCTGCAATACATGTCCACCTGACAGTCCTACTGCCTGGCAGCAGGAGGCCAGGCTGGCCCTAAACCTGTCTCAAGTCTCAACTCTGCCCTGCCTTCTAGTGCGGGCCCAGGTTCTAGTCCCCAGGGCCAAACCCTGAGGGCAACAAAGGGCTGCATACGGCAAGCCCAGTCAGCTCCGGCCTGCCTACCTACATATGCCTCTAGCTTTGTGGGCCGACACGGGGCTCTGTGTGGGGCAGGCTACACATGAATGGTGTCAGAAATACAAAACGAACGAGACACCAGCACAGACGCAACACAGAACCCACACGGAGCGCCTCCTTCCTCCCTGAGGTGACGAGGCCTGGCACAGAGCAAACAAGCTCCTGCAGGGGCCGCTGGCACGCGGTGGAGACCCCGCTCCAGGAACCGAACGTGACACGGGACCAGAGTGGCATGACCTGCACACTGCCTCTGGCCTCCACGAGGCTGCAGGGCGGAGGGGGAAAGAGGGCGGGAAGAGGACCCAGTTCCAGGTGGGCTGGGTGAAGGAGGCCAGTGCCCTGGCAGTGAACCTGAAGCCTGGCTACACGTGGCCACACTGCAAGGGGAGGCGGGGAGGGGACAACTGTGCCTTGCTGGGACTCGTGCTTGGCCAGTCTCTCCTTGTAATCAAACCCCACAGCGGAGGAGTCCTGCCTCTCGGACTGAACACCAAATTTGCCTCCGAAACCCGTCTTATAATCTGGAAATCCGCAAGCAACAGTGGGGAGAGCAAACCAAGAGCAAAGACAGGTCGGGTTAGAACCACGCAGGCGGTACACGGCTCTCACACAGGGCCCGACAGCCTCAGGTTGGCCAGGGAGGTTAAGGGTCAGACTAAAACCAGCATGTCCAAGCTGAGGCCTGAGCCAGCAGCAGGCAACTGAGAGACCCAGAACTACACTGGCAACCGAATAGCAAGAACACTCCACGCCAAGGCTGCTGGCCAGAAAGCGCGGCTCCGCATGGGAAGAGGCTCGGCAAACCTGAGGGCTTTCCCCCACACCCGTTCCCTGTTCCCCACTCCCCCCGCAACCTCCCAGGGCTCCTTCCCCTGGAAGGCCTCCTGTTCTGATAAGGAAACACTTCCATTTAGGAGTGTGCTGGGGCTGGGGCGCCTGTGACACAAGATTGCCTAATGGGCACAAGGCCCTGGTCCATCCCCAGCCCTCCAGATGAGGAGCCCACAGCAGGAGCTCCCTCCTGGGTGGGTGTGGCAGGAAGGTATGACCCTCCAGGAGGCACAGAACAGCTTCAAACAGTGAGGACGTGACATCACTAGGACAGGAATACAGTAGACAGCACAGGGATGGATCTAGGACAGAGGAAAGTTCCAGAATGCCTGAAGAATGTACCTTTTTGGGATTCATGCAGCTGCAGCTTCTCCTGGTGATCCCAGCCAAGGGCACACTTGTCTTGTCTGTCTGTCTGCACACCAAACTTTCCTCCAAACCCTTTCACATAGTCTACATGTACAACAGAAGGCCACAGTGGACCATCAGCCGTGGGGGTGGGGGGTGGGGTGGGGGTCGCACAGGCAGGACACCCCTCGTGGAACACACCCTCGCACGCACAGCTTCTGTCACTGTCTGGCTCATGTCCAACAGGAGGCCCTCCTCAGGGTAGCCCCAAAACCAGGGTGTCTGTAATGTCAGTGTCGTGACAGACAGACAGCCACAGAGCAGCTCCAATGCATGCGGCGCGGACAGCACTCCGACCGGCATGGGAACAGCCAGGGGCACCACAGGCAGGCACCGCAGGCACTTGCGGAGGTGTGGGCCCACAGAAAGCAACACCAAGGGTTTGGGGGCCCTGGGCACATTGGCCCTATTACAGTGGTAAAACCAACCCAGAGCCACACACTTTCAGGGCTTCCCCGTTCTGAGTGACTTCTAGTCCCCAGAGAGACCTGGCTGGGCAAGCAAAGGGGAGGGGGGAGGGAGGGGGAGGGACTAAGGCACCTTTCTGGGACTCATGCTTCTCCGTCTTGCCCTGGTATTCAAAGCCCACGGCGCTCTTGTCCACATTGTCCTTGTCGATCCCGTATTTGCCACCAAACCCTCTGGAGTAATCTAGGAGCAACAGCAGCCACAGACCAGTCAACACACCAAGGTCTCAGGAGCCACTAAAAGGCATTTTCTCTACTGACTTCTATTCTTAAGAAGCTGGGCGTCAGCTGGAAAGCACACATGCTGTAGATAAGAACTGCCATTTTAAGTCCTCAACTCCTATTTCCTGCACAGGACAAAGACAGTACTCTTCTCTACTTGATATACTGAAGTATATCCTTGCTATATTGAAATGGGCTCCAGGAAATGGAAAAAAGGTTTTTTTCCTTTGTTGTTTTTGTTTACAGAGGGGCACAGAAATAGAGGAACAAAGTGTGAACAAATGCAGCAGTGGTACTCACTAGACAATATATTGCAAGCGAACAATACAACTTGTAGATGGAGATGGGAGGGAAAAACTGGAGAGGAGAGGGATGACACTGTCCAAAAAGAAATGTACTCTATACCTGATTTACATATCTGTAACCACTCTGTACATCACCTTTAAAATAAAGGACCACACACATTACCTGATTTACATATCCGTAACCACTCTGTACATCACCTTTAAAATAAAGGACCACACACACACACACACACACACACACACACACACACATTACCTGATTTACATATCCGTAACCACTCTGTACATCACCTTTAAAATAAAGGACTACACACACACACACACACACACACACACACACACACACACTACCTGATTTACATATCTGTAACCACTCTGTACATCACCTTTAAAATAAAGGACCACACACACACACACACACACACACACACACACACACACACACACATTACCTGATTTACATATCCGTAACCACTCTGTACATCACCTTTAAAATAAAGGACCACACACACACACACACACACACACACACACACACACACACACACTACCTGATTTACATATCCGTAACCACTCTGTACATCACCTTTAAAATAAAGGACCACACACACACACACACACACACACACACACACACTACCTGATTTACATATCCGTAACCACTCTGTACATCACCTTTAAAATAAAGGACCACACACACACACACACACACACACACACACACACACACACACACGCTCGAGCGCTTTTGCTAAACTTTTTAAAAAGCTGCTGGGTACCACTGGCCCACGCCTGTAACCCCAGCTACTCAGGAGATCTGAGGATCTCATTTCAGTTCAAAGCCAGCCCAGGCAGGAAAGTCCATGAGACTCTTTTCTTTTCTTTTCTTTTTGCCAGTTCTGGGGTTGAACTCAGGGGCCTGGGTGCTGTCTCTGAGATTCATTTTGCTCAAGGCTAGTACTCTACCACTTGAACCACAGTGCCATTTCCGGCTTTTTCTGTGTATGTGTATAAACCCAGGGCTTCATGCATACTAGGGAAGCACTCTTCTACTGAGCCACATTCCCAGACCCTCCATGAGACTCTTATTTCCAATTAACCACCAGAAAACCAGAAGTGGTGCTGTGGCTCAATGGTAGAGTGCTAACCTTAAGGAAAAGAGTTCAGGGACAGCACCTAGGCCTCAAATTCAAGCCCCACAAATAACCAAAAAAAAAAAGGGGTGGGGAGGGGGACTGGAGGTACAGTTCAAGAATACTGAGTTCAAACCCCAGTACTACAAAAAAAGAAAGAGAGGGGCTAAAGGGAGGGAGAAGGAAGGAAGGAAGGAGGGAGGGAGGGAGGGAAGAGGACAGTGCTCTTACCTGTAAAGGCACTAGGAGGGGAGAGGTGCATACCTTTTTGGGACTCATGCTTCTCCGTCTTGCCCTGGTAGTCAAAGCCCACGGCGCTCTTGTCCACCCGGTCGGCTTGCACACCGTATTTGCCCCCAAAGCCACTGGAATAGTCTAAGGAGACAGGACAGTCAGCTTGGTGATTTTTCATTTTGTTAAACGAAATGTAAGTCTTTAGTGTTACAGCTCCCAAGAGCAATAATATTCTAAAATGGACACACAGCCCACAATTCCTTCCGGGAGGTGCACAATGGAGCTCTGACTCCTCCCACCGAGAGGGGCCTTCATCTGTGCTGGCCAAACCCACTTAAAACGACTGCTCAATCCTGGGTGCCAATGGCTCACACCTATAATCCTAGTTACTCAGGAAGCTGAGATCTGAGGATCTCAGTTCGAAGCCATCCCAGGTAGTTAAGTCCATGAGGCTCTAATGTCCAATTAACCACCAAAAAGCTGAAAGAGGAGCTGTGGCTCAAATGGTGGAGCACCAGCTTTGAGTGAAAAAGCTGAGGGACATCATAGGCTGAGTTTAAGCCCCAGGAGAGACACACACACACACGAACGAACACACACACACACACACACACACGAACACACACACACACACACGAACACACACACACACACACACACACACACACACACACACGGAAATGTCCAGAAAGTTCAGCAGCCTGGGGTGAGGAGGGCGCTGCTGCCTGGCTGCACCCACACCTTGCCCCAATGTACGGCTTGTGGGCTCATAGCTCTTTCCCGCATTGCAGGGGAACAGAGACAAGTAGAAACAAGCTTGCAAAAAAACCAAACTGATTCCTCAAAAGGCAGCAGCAGATCATAAATTCAAAGGCAACCTAGACTACACAGGAAGACCACATCTCAAAACAGTAAAACTAAGGGCCAGGCTTGGATTACAGACTTGTAATCCCAGCTCAAGAGTTAGAGATTGGAGGACTACAGTTTGAGCCTAAACCAGGCAGAAAATTAGTAAGACTCCATTTTAATAAATGGAGCACAGAAGTTCATGCTCCTGATCTCAGCTACACAAGAGACACAGGTATAAAGACTGAGATCTAAGGCAAGCCCTGGGTAAAAATACAAGACTATCTTAAAAAAAAAAAAGGATGGGGGGGGGGGGCTGGGAAGGTGGCTCAGTGGTAGAGCGCTTGCCTTGCATGCCTGAGGCCCTGGGTTCCATTCCTCAGCACCATATAAGCAAAAAAGAAAAAAAGCTGGAGGTGGCGCTGTGGCTCAAGTGGTAGAGCGCTGGCCTTGAGCTGAAGAGCTGAGGGACAGCGCCCAGGCTCAGAGTTCAGGCCCCACGACCAGACCCCACCCAAAAAAAAAAAAAAAAGGATGGGGGCGGCATGGCTGAAGTAGATGAGCACTTGACTAGTAGGTATGAGATCCTGAGTTCAAACATTAGTACTGCCAAAAAGTAAAACAACAAAAAAGATACTCAGCGCTGTAGGAAAGCAATACACATTTATCATGAAATAGACTGTGTGGCAGCGTAAAGATGCCTTTCCCGTGCAGCAACAGCTGTATGACGCAGTGCGAGTGGCTAGCACCTGGCAGGGCCAGCACCTGGCACAGCTCACCTTTCTGGGAGGCATGCTTCTCCGTCTTTCCCTGGTATTCGAAGCCTACAGCAGACTGAAATCACAAAAAAACAAACAAACAAGTTAACACATTTGTTTTAAATGCCTCTAAAAGTATCTTTTGGAGCTGGGAAGGTGGCTCAGTGGTAGAGCGCTTGCCTTGCATGCATAGGGCCCTGGGTTCAATTCCTCAGCACCACATAAAAGCAGAAAAAGCCAGAAGTGGTGCTGTGGCTCAAGTGGTAAAACGCTAAGCTCTGAACTGAAGAGCTCAGGGACAGCACCCAGGCGCAGAGTTCAGGCCCCATGACCGACAAAAAAAAAAAGCTAAATTTTTGACCCTTGGTTTTCTAAGCCAATTACCAGTCAAAGTAGTGGCAGGTGTGGTATTGTGACCTTACACACTGTTATCCAAGAACTGGGCTGTACTACCTGGCCATGCTTCCAGGGCATTGGTGCCCTGGTGTCTCCGCAGCCACACATAGCACCTACATACCCTGCCCACCATAGGCACAGTGTGTCCATGTGGCCGGAGGCACAGCTCAAGCTGGGAATTCCCATCACCCCCGCATTCCAGACACAAATGTGCAGCAACTAGGCCACAAGCCAGGCATGGACAGCCCAGCCAGAGCGCCCAGCATGAAGTATCTGACAGCCAAAGAGGAGAGAAGGAGGAGGACTGGGAGGCCCCCAGTGCAGAGCGCCTGGATGCTAGGACCAATGCTGGCTCTGATACAGATGTGCAGACCATGCTGCAGACAACAGGGTGGGAGTGGGCCCTGCTGGCCTGCTCTGGTCAACATCTAAGGCCAGCACCTATGAAAGAAGTGCGCGGGCCACTTGTGCAGCGGACACAACGAGGGCCTCTCCCAGCAGTGGGGCTCAGGGGGCCGGCCTGGGAGGTCTTGCCTGTACTGTGCCCTAACTCAGAGGACAACCCCATCCTGCTGCATGTGGCTCAGAGGATGACATGGCAGTAGTGTTTGGGGTGTGGGTCCTCTCCCCCAATCTCATCACTCACCTGATCAACTCTGTCCATCTGGACACCAAACTTGCCTCCAAAACCCCGGACTGAGTCAACCTGCGAGCAGTGCTTGGAAAGTTTGGACTGGTACTCATGGCCAACGGCTGACTGGAACAGAGTACAAAGGCAAGTGTCACCAACATCGCAATGTCACCTGCACACACCCATACAGCAGTGTCACCGACATCCATACCCCTAGGTGTCACCTGCATCCACATCTCTCGATATTACCCACACCCATGCACCAGTGTCACCCAGACTTTACTCCCCCTTGGTATCACCCATGTGCAGCAGAGGTGTCCCCCAGCAGGGATAGGGTGCCCCTCCCCCGACGAGGGTAGCAACACCCTCCGCGGGGACGACTCCAGGGACACAGTTGAGGTTGGCACTTCTGCTGCTCAGCCCAAGGCTGGGATGACACATTTGCCTGGCTAACTGCAACAGACGCAACAGCAGTAAAAGCTCAGCTTCAAGACCCTCACACCAACAGCACCAGGGCGATGCAGGCAGGAGCTGGGCCCTGCCCCTGCCTGGCACAGCATTCCTGCACCACCAACGACATCACCAGCCCCCATCAGGGAAGAAGGTGCCAGGACCTACTGATCACACATGAACCAGGGGAAAAACAAGCACCATAGCCCAGGATGCAGCACACATCCCAGCTGGCAAGGCAAACACCAGGCGAGGGGCTGCTCTCCAGCATGGTCCCAGCCCCACAGGCCCCGCCTTCTCCACAGCACAGGTGTCCAGGTGGCTCCTGTGCATGTGGTGAGGACACAGGTGCGTGTGGGGCCACCTGAGCAAGCCTTCTCACTGCACTCACAGACCCTGGGACAGCCGATCCTACCCCACAGGCCTCCCCTGGCTGTTGGCCTACCACGGGAGGACAGCAGGGCCTTGAACTTGACGATGGTCAGCCCATGAGTGACACCTGTGTCCCCTCTTCCTAACAATCTTTGGAGCTGTGATGCTGTCCTTCCCAGGCTCATGCTGAGTTCAACGGCAATGGCCAAGCCATGAAACATGGCCCCTCAAAACCTGTGGGGGCAGAGACAGCTGCCCTCAGCCTCTGGAGCCTCACCCAAGACAAGCAGGAGAGGGGCACATCACAGGACTAGCCAGTACACTCCCCAAGGAAGGATCTGCAAGAGAACGGTTCTAACAGCACAGCAGGTGCGAAGGCTTTGGGACTGGCCTGCAGTCCTCTGGACTGCTTTCCATCTCCCGCTGACAGCAGCCCATGCGGGAACAGGCAAGCAGGAAGCCCGCAGGATGGACCCAAACCACCTGTATCCCGAAAGAAGGGTGCAGTGTCGCCGAGCAGCCAGGGCCCCATCCGCACCCAGCCTTTTTGCAGTTTCTAGAGTGGACAAGTTACAATCAGCCAAGCAACTTATCCTCAGGTTTGGCACTGAGAGACTTCTAACAACAAAGAGTCTCGCAGCACTACCATGAGCCGGGGGACCTTGCCTGAACCGGCAGGACAGGACAGATGTCAACACTGAGCGGCGGTGGCAGTGGTGGCAACAGCAGCGCCCTCAGTATCTCCAGGACAGACAGGGCCTCAGCTGAAAGTTTAGGGACTGGTGAGATCAGCCAACAAGGGGAGCAGGCTGGTACAATCACAGCCATCATATTCCCCAGTGCATAGTTTGCAACCCAGACCAGAGAGCGCCATCCTTTCTGGAACTGCCTTCGGTTCCAGAGAGCATGACGTCACATGTGAGGCGTCAGTCACATCAGGAGGGGAGGTGTCTGGTGGGCTTTTAGGTCTGTCAGCTCACCTGCTGGTTTCGTTTGTTTTCTATAGATACTGGGGCTTGAACTCAGGATTTCTCCTGCTCTCCTGTGATTTTTTTGTGATTATGCCTGGTGCTCTAGCACTTGAGCCACACCTCTACTTTTTGGTGGTTATTTGGAGATAAAGAGTCGAGGAATTACCTGCCTGGGCTGGCTTCAAACCAAGATTCTCAGATCCCAGTCTCCTGCATAGCTAGAATTAGAATTACAGGTATGAGTCATAGTGCCCGGCTTACTCTGGTTGTTGAAAGGCTACTAGACTTCTTCTAGAATCCTGACAATTCTTCTCCCTACACTGCGTGCTTAACAAGAGGACATCTGGGTGGAGGGACACACTGACACTGCCAATGTCGCTCTGTCCTCATCAGACTCCAGCTCTACGAACTCTCTGGCTGTGGTCAGGGTACCTTAGCCCCCAGTCCACTCTGCTTCCTGAACCAGGCACTAATCAGATAGATGCAGCATGCAGCAGGGGGAAGAGGAATGAAGTACCACCTGAACCTCACACCACTTTTGTCCACCTGTCAGAACAATCTCATGTGCCTCGGACACAGAAATTCACCTGGACAACAGCACCTGCACAACGTCAAGACCAGCTTTACTGAAGAGACACACACACACCTCTGTCCACACCAACTCCTCTGAGGGGAGACCAGCTGACCCTGCTGGGAGAACATCGCTCCCTCTACTAGGGAGAGAGGTCCTCACCCCTTACCACTGAGTGCCAGTGGCTCCCACCTGAAATCCCAGCAGCACGGGAGGCTGTGATCTGAGGATCACAGTGAAGCCAGCCCAGATAGGAAAGTCTGTAAGATACTTCCCTCCAATTAGCCACTAAAGAGCCAGAAGTGACACTGTAGCTCAAATGGTAAAATGCCAGCCTCAACAGCACCCAGGTCTGGCATGAAAAACAACTTGCTGTATTTAGTCCACAGCTTCTGCTGCCACCTGCAGGGCGATTACCGGGACTGCTCCCAGAGGCTCGCCACAGCTGCTGCCCAGAACACACTGCCCCCAGCCTGGCTAGCACTGAGGCTCCACAGGAGGCATGGGCTGCTCCCTGAAATCAACAGATGTACATGGGCTGTTGGCCAGGCAGAGGCGAGCAGGCATCTGTGGTCAGGACTCTGCCCTGTTCACAAGGCTTCCATTTGCCCACAAGCCCTGCCTACTCACTGACCCTCTCCAGGCCCCCTGACACTGGGGAAGAGCTGCTGGAAAAGTGAGCAAAGGCTTGTGAGTGGCCCAGTTGGGAGGATACTGGGGACCTCGCCTCGACAAGCCGCCCGCTCGCTCGCTGGCTCGCACTGTGGAGCTAAGGGGTGCCTCTCGACTTGGCAGCCCTGTAAGCGCTTACTTTGTCCATCCTGTCCTGCTCCACGCCAAACTTCCCGCCATAGCCGTGCGAGGCTTTTGGTCCTGTTTCCAGCTCCTTCTCCTTGAGGGTCTGGTGTTCCTGGAAGACGTTTTCTCTCAGCTTGTGGATGCTGGAGGCAGACATGGAGACATGAGACACACAAACCAAGCTGCCCAAGGCAAAGGAGACCAGGTGACAGACAACCCATGCAGCACAGCTGGCTGTCCTCACGTGATGCTGGCCAATGGCCAGAACACCACCCTCCTCCCCCCACCCCCCCCCTCACTTCCCGGGCTCTCCTATCGCCACCTTTCCCTGACATGTGTCTGTGGGTCACCTACAACCTCAAGCAGCTCTGCTGAAACCCAAGCTTTACTTCATTTGGTGAAAAGCTGCTCATTTTAGTAGCTCTGTGATGAGGGGAAAACCAAGTCAAAGGCCCTGTCCTCAGATCCCCAAAGCCGCTCACCAGTTGAGGACCCTTGGCACTGGACTTTGAGTTAGCCCTTATTATTATTATTTTTGTTGGTCATGGGACTTGGACGCTGTCCCTCAGCTCCTTTTGCTCAAGGTTAACACTCTACCATTTGAGCCACAGCTCCACTTCCAGTTTTCTGGTGGTTAACTGGAGACAAGAGTCTGGTGGACTTTCCTGCCCAGGCTGGCTTCCACTCAATCCTTAGAAGTCAGCCTCCTGAGTAGCTAGGTTTACAGGTGTGAGCCATAAGCACCTGGTCCTTTTTAAAATTTTTGGTAGTTAATTGGTGATGAGTCTCATGAGGGCTGGGACGTAGCTCAGTGGCAAAGCACTTGCCTAGCAAGTACAACATTCTGGCTGTGATCTCCAGTAACAAAAAAAAGAAGAAGGAAAAAAAAAAACAAGAAACTTTCCTGCCAGTACTGGCTTCGAACTGCAATCCTCAGATTTCAGGCTCCAGCATGGCTAGGATTACAGGCATAAACCACTAGTACCTGGCCATGAGTTAATTCTTTTTAGATTCCAAGGATATGATAAAGACTACTGTACACTATCATTGCTGCATTATATTATTGCTGCCCTAATCACCATAACCAAGTTATGGAAACAACCTACATGCCCTGCAATGGACAAATGGGTCAAGAAAATATTTATACATATATATACACACACATATAAGAACATTTATAAGGCTAGGAGTGTGGCTTAGGGGTAGAGTGCTTGCCAGGTATGCAGGAAGCCCTGGGTTCGTATCCTCAGTACCACACACACACAGAAAAAGCCAGAAGTGGCGCTGTGGCTCAATGGTAGAGTGCCAGCCTTGAGCAAAAGGAGCTCAGGGACAGTGCCCAGGCCCTGAGTTCAAACACTAAAAAAAAAAACTTATACACACACACATGTATTTGTATTTACTCATCTATTAGGAAGATTATTTCATTTGCAGAAAACTGTCTAAACCTGGAAAAACTATGTTAAATGAAATGTCAAGCTCAGAGAGACAAAAGGATGTAATTTTTCTCATACATGTAAATTAAATATAAAATAACACATAGCTGGGCACCAGAGGCTCACAGCACTTCAAAGCCAGCCTGGGCAGAAAAGTCCATGAGACTCTTATCGCCAATAAACTACTCAAAAAAGTTGGAAGTGGCACTGTGGTTCAAGTGGTAGAGTACTCGCCTTGAGCAAAGAGAAGCTCAGGGACAGCACCAGACCCAGAGTTCAAGCCTCAGTTATGGCAAAAAAATAAATAAATAAATAAATAAAAAAGGTCATATGCAAATATACATGACTATATTGACTAAAGTATGGTATATGCAGACGTCCAATGGTGTAACTCATTCAAACAAGTAACCAAATGAATACCAAACGAAACGTGTTGACATGAGGGAGGAGGTCAAGAGAGAGGCAGGCAGACCCCTGGAGAGGAAAGGGGGGCACCTACCTATACGCCCATAATCCTAGCTACGCAGGAGGCTGAGATCCAAGGATTGTGGTTCAAAATCAGCCCAGGCAGAAATGTCCAGAGGTTCTTATCTCCAATAAACTACTCAAAAAAGACAGAAGTGGGGCTGTGGCTCAAGTCGTAGAGCATTAGCCTTGAGCAAAGCAGCTCAGGTATAGTGCCCAGGTCCTGAGATCAAGCCCCAGGACTGGCCAAAAATCCCCAAAAAACAAAAACTTAAGACAACTCCATAAAAGCACAGTAAAAGCCACTTTAATTCCATTCTAAGCAGCTGTCAACAAGAGACCTTAGAGGAGCACAAAGGCCAGCTCAGCACAGGGCTTTCTGCCCAGCAGACATCTCAGGAGATGGGCATGATGGCACTCACCAGTCACCCCAACTATACAGAAGGTATAGGCAAAAAGATTACAATCTGAGACCCTATCTGAAAAATAAGCCAGTGCCTCATGCCTATAATTCCCGCTATTCAGGAGGCTAAGACCTAAAGAATCATGGTTCAAAGCTAGTATGGGCAGAAATGTAACTGATATTCCACCTTCAATTAACCAACAAAAGCAGGACCGGGGCTGGGAAGGTGGCTCAGTGGTAGAATGCTTGCCTTGCATGCATGAGGCCCTGGGTTCGATTCCTTAGCACCACATAAGCAAAAAAAGCTGGAAGTGGTGCTGTGGCTCAAGTGGTAGGGCGCTGGCCTTGAGCTGAAGAGCTGAGGGACAGCGCCCAGGCCCAGAGTTCAGGTCCCAACAACCAGCCCAAAAAAACGCAGGGCCGGAGGCATGACTCAAGTGGTAAAGCACCAGCTATAAGCAAGTAAACCTTACAAATGCAAGGCCCTGAGTTCAAGCCCCAGTATCACCAAAAATAATAACTAAATAACTAATAAACCAAGCAAGCCAGCAAGCAAGTGAAAAGGGATGGAAGCAGAGGCACAGAAGGCCTGCCTAATCAGTACAAGACACTGAGCTCGAACTCCAGAACCACCAAGATTCTAATCATCTCAGGGGTGTGGATCAAGCCACATCAGGCCTGGAAAGCACCTGGTGCCCTGGAGCAGACAACACCCTAAACCTGAGAAGCACAACAGATATTGGGAACTTGCCCTCCCCCCTGGTCCTGGAGAATCTGACCCATCTAAAGACCAGGTGCACACTCCCATTCAACTCCCTAATGCATCCTGGAGACACAGGAACTGGAAGTGGAGGGGCTGAGCAGAGGTGTGGAGACATGGCCAACAAACCAAGGCTGCCACTGACTCCTGGCTTTCCTCACTCCAGATCCCCTCCATCCCAGCCCTGAGCTGCAAAGCCGGAGGGCTGGCATTTATACAGTGCCATGGACATGCTCACTCCGTTCCCCTGGTCTATCTCAGGCTCTTCAGGATGGCTGCAATTCAGTTCACATCACCCGACTACTAAATCTGCAGTGCACCACAGCACTATTAAATCTGCAGTGCACCACAGCACCGTGTTCTCAGGCCTCTTCTGGGGAGTGTGGGTGAGGCAGAGGAACCAATGTGAGTCTACAAGCGACCACGCACACTCTGCCTCCTGGCAGGACAGGCATGAAAACTGCATGCTGTGCATCCCTGCATGCTGTGCGCTGTACAGGCCTGCACACTTGGCACTTCCTGACCAGAAAGCAAGTGGCACACACTGCCGGCTGTTGATAGGATCAAGTCCTCCCATTTCAGACTCTCCCATAGCCTCCAACTTGGCTCACCATCCAACTATCAGAGACTGTAAACAGGGGCTTCTGGTCTGTTCCTGGAAGGGCCTCACCCTTTAGAAACTTCCAGTTCTAAGAGAAGAGCTTTTTACGAACTGGTCCTTGATGCAAAGCTCAGCATGGGCAAGCAGAGTCAACACATAGAAAATTGCAAAGGGAAATGTCACGTGACGTGTGTGCATACACATAATAAATACAGGCGTCAACGAATGTGTCCTGTCCCATGTCCACCTCCTGAAGCAGCAGTCAGCTAACGAGAAGCACGCGCCACCCGCTCAGAGCTCTTACTTGATGTGCTCCTGGTGCCCAGACCCCTGCACAGTTTTGGCACCCCATCTTTGCTCCTTTTCGCTCACATCATTCTGCAAAGAAAAACAAGCAGTAGCTCTCACACCCCACATGTGTGAACCAGCAAACACCCAACCCAACAAAAGCCCAGGAGAACACTTAGAGAGGGAGAAAGGAAAGCCGGCAGACTGCCTCCTACCACAAAATCAGGGTCAGTCTCCCAGTCATCGGCTCCCCCGTCGTCCTGGGTGATGGACACAGCGTGGCCTGCCGACGCTTTCCACATCTGCAAGAGCAGCACTGAGGTTAGAGAGGGCTCCCAAGGCCATGGGCAGGAGAGACACGGTCCCATCACTGCACCTACACCAGAACGACATATCCAGGGGTCAGATGCTAACCCACACCAGTCTCGCACTGTTACAGTCAGCACAGAAATACTCTGGCTTCACTTCTACTCTGCTAAAGCTTAGGTTGAGACTGTTTCTAAGCAGAAAAACAGGTGAATTTGGGGCTGTGCTGAGGGCAAATTTCACACTGCATTTACCACAAGCTTAGAGAGCACTTATTTTGACTTCAAACAGTTAGTGACTGTCCTAATTTAAACTGTAATTTAATAACTGTTTCATGCACCAAGTGGTGCTTGCTCTACCATCTACTCGGACAATCCACAGCAGGAAGGCCCAGTCTCCCTGTCCCAGCGGTCCTAGAAGCAGAAGTCACAGGTGTCATCTGCTAGAGAGACAGTGACGCAGCTCAAGACACCAGCAGGGTCCTGCCTTCTGTCACCTCAGGTATAGGAGCTCTGCAGGGAGTGTATAGATTCATTCCCCATGAGACAGACTCTCCCTTAGGCCAGGAAGGTAATGGATGAGAAGTTAAATCAACCAAAGCTACAGCCAGGGCTTATACCAGGGGGAGCCCAATTCCCTCTCGGTAACCCACAGGGGTGCAGGCCTTGAATCCCACAGGACAAAAGCTCTTGGCTGGCTTGAAAACCAACGTCTCTACTCTTCCCTCAGCTCTGCCAGGTCTCAAGTCCACACCCAAGATGCCATTGCGGGTTGGAGCAAGGGAAGGGTCAGGGTGAAGATTTGTGCCACCAGGTGGAGCAGGACATAAAACAGCCATCTTGAACTTTATCTAGAGGCCCCTATCACGGCAACAGCTTTCCATACAGGACCTGCTCCTGACAAGACGTTAAAGCGCGGATGAACACACCAAGAGGCCAGACTAGACCCCCAATCATCTGAGTGGACACAAAGGGAAAAGTTGAGGGCTGGGCCCTGGCTCCAGGTGTGGACAGTCAGGAGCTGCCTTCCATTTCACATACCAGGCAAACACCACGGAGGAGGGCGGCGGTCTCAGGGCAGGCCAGACTGCCTCACACAGGTGAAGGAGAGCAGCTCCTGTTGGCTGCCTTTAGATCCCTCAGGGGATGTTGGGAGGGAGGGAGGGAGAGAGGGAGGGACGGCCGGTGCTTCCAGCCGGGTGAGAGCTCCACACCTGATGCCTCACCACCCACGGGAGACCGCAAGTTATTAGTTCTAGCGCTGTCTGCAACTTCTTTTGTTTCCTTTTTCTTTTTTTCTAGGGGGGCGGGGGACACAGCTAGGGGATTGACAGTACTGATGTTTGAACTCTGGGCTCGAGATTGCTAGGCAAGCCCTGGACCACCTGAACCATGCCACCAGTCCTTTTGCTTTTGGCTGGTTTTTCAGGGAGAGTGTGATGCTAATACTTCTGGCCTGAGTCTGCAAGCTGGGATCTTTCTTTTTTTTTTTTTGTCGGTCGTGGGGCTTGAACTCTGGGCCTGGGCGCTGTCCCTCAGCTCTTCAGCTCAAGGGGAGCGCTCTACCACTTGAGCTACAGCGCCACTTCCGGTTTTCTGGTGGTTTATTGGAGATAGGAGTCTCACGGTCTTTCCTGCCCGGGCTGGCTTTGAACCGCGATCCTCAGATCTCAGCCTCCTGAGTAAGCCGGGATCTTTCTACCTCTGCCTCCTGAGTTGCTGGGGTTACAGGCATTGCCACCATACATGACCTGATTTTAGTTACTGTTGTTTTTCCTGCCGGTCCTGGGGCTTGAACTCCAGGCCTGGACTCTGTCCCTGAGCTTTTTACTCGAGGCTAGAAGCTCTCTACCACTTAAGCCACAGCGCCACTTCTGGCTTTTTCTGAGTAGTTTATTGGAGAGAAGAGTCTCACAGACTTTTCTCCTCAGGGTTGGCTTTGAACTGTGATCCTCAGATCTCAGCCTCCTGAGTAGCTAGAATTAGAGGCGTGAGCCACCAGCGCACCCGGCTCTGCTTTTAGTTTATAACCATGGAATTTCTTTTCAGAACATTTCTCTCAACATTCCAACACAAAGAACACCCCATGCCTCCTGTGTACTGAGGGAGTTCTCCCTTAGCCCCAGAGGAGAATGCTGGGCATTCACAGTCCACATACCTTTCTTTCTTGCTGTCCAGTGGCAGAGGTGGCTCACAGTGGGCTTGAAACCCAGTACTGCAGTGAGGAGCGGCTGGGCATGGGGAGCACTGCTCTGCAGAGACAAGGAGGAAGCTCACAAGGGTGTCCCTCTGTGCTTATGTGTGTAGATCTTCTCAAGCCAACCTCAGAAACCCCCCAGACGTAACAAGGCTTCAAAAGCACTCTGAACAGAAAGCAGGAGGACTGTATTCTACTAAAGAAAATGCTCAGGGCTGGGAAGGTGGCTCAGTGGTAGAGGGCTTGCCTTGCATGCCTGAGGCCCTGGGTTCGATTCCTCAGCACCACATAAGCAAAAAGAAAAAAGCTGGAAGTGGTGCTGTGGCTCAAGTGGTAGAGCGCTAGCCTTGAGCTGAAGAGCTGAGGGACAGTGCCCAGACCCAGAGTTCAGGCCTCACGACTGGACCCAAAAAAAAAAAAAGAAAGAAAATGCTCAACACAGCAGCTAAAGAAGGGAGCTCCAAGGTCTTCCAAGTACATGTTGTCTCTCCTCGGTGCCTCAACTGTCCACCCAGGGCTCCTGTGCTACAATCCTGATGGTTTCAACCTAAGACATTGGTAAAGATAATAAAATTCTACTACTATTTTTTTAAAAATCAGTAATAAAATCTCCAGACTGTCTCAAAAAAAAAAACCCAATTGGAAATAAAATAATAAAAAGAACTCAGCACGGTGAGCCAATGGCTCATGCCTGTGGCTACTGAAGAGGCTGAGATGGGAGGACTGCAATTCAAAGTTAGCCCAGGCAGAAAAGTCTGTGAGACTCTCATCTCCAATTAACCACCAAAAAGACAAAAAGCCAGAAGTAAAGCTGTGGCTCAAATGGTAGAGGGCTAGGCCTTGAGTGAAAAAGCTCAGGGACAGCACCCAGGCCAAGTTCAAGCTCTAAGCCTGACACCAAAAACAACAACATAAAAAAACTGTGCTTCAAAAGACACCATCAACAAAGCATAAAGAACCAGGCACACAGTAGTACATGCCTGTAGTCTTAGCACTCAGGAGGATCAAGTAGAATTGCTTGAACCCAGGAGTTTCAGCATGGCCTGGGAAACAGAGACTCACCTCAAAAAAGGGTTTGGGAGTGCAGTGGGCTGAATTCAATGGTAAAGCACATGGGCCGTATGGTCAAGGCTCTGGACTCCATCTCCAGCACAGAGAGGGGGTGAGCACAAGGCAAGGTTAAGGGAGTGTGGAGGACCAGGGCATCAGACGCTGACACACACAGCTGATGGGAACCCAGCCTGGGAAGATGGGTTAACCACAGGTACCACACCGCCCAGCAACTCCACCTGCAGCTATTCACAAGAGCAAGGAGAGCCAAAGTCCACACAAAACCCTGCACGTGGATGCTCAGAGCAGCAGAATGGAACCACCTAGAAGAGGGAATGGGGCCAACACCCGCAAATGGAGCTATGTTACAGATGCACAGTGGAATAGTAGTCAGTCATAAAAAGGAGTAAATGATACGCACTGCACTGTGAACGAACCCTGAAGTCATGACTCAAAGACCACGGGCTACAGCCTCATTCTTATGAAATGTCCGGAACTGTGGACAAAGTGTATCAGTGGCTATCCAGCACTGGGGCGCCAGGGAGAATGGGAGATTGTGAAGTCATGGCTGAAAGGTACAGGCTTCTTTCTTCTTTAAGAGATGAACTCTCACTGTGGCTGGGACTACTCTGTGCCCCTACTGTTCCTTCCAGAGGTGATAAAACTGTCCCAAAGATGACAAGTGGGGATGGCTGCCCTCTCTGAAAATACCCAAAAGCATGGAATAGTACACTTAGTTTTTTGAGGCAGTCTTGTGCTACGTAGCCCTGACTGGTCTTGGTTTTTGTTTTTTTTTTAAGTGAACAATACAATTATTTCATCTTTTTATAATCTTCAAGTAGTTGTATAAAAGGGTTTCAGTTGAACACTGGCCTTGTTTTCAAGGCCTCCAGAGTGCTTAACTGCACCCTCTAAATGGGCAAATCGCATGGTATGTGAATTATATTGCAATAAAGTTGTTACAAAACACACTGTTGAACAGATAATGCATCCACCCAGGAGGAATGCAGCCTCCCTTCCTTTCCAGCATCCCCACAGGCCGAGTGCACTGAGCCAGTGGTCCATGCTGCCATGTATAAAGCAAACATCTCCGCCCCCTCACAGAACGTCTTACTGGTCTGGTGAACGCACAGCCCAGAGCCAGCTTCCCAGACACCTGTCTACCACCTTACAGAAGAAAGCCAGAGAGCACAAACAGCAGTGGAGCGGCCCAGGCAGCCTCACAAGCCTCTCCTAACAACCCGGGATGTCCACAGTGCACCTGGAACCCGAGGCCAGGCCCACACAGAGGGCTCCCTTGCCCCGTGACACTGAAGGGCAAGCTGGTGGGCACATACCTTCCCTGCTGTCAGCCGGCCTGTATGAAGAACCCTACACACAGCTGGGGTGCTGCCACTCTGCACCTCCTGAGGGCACAGACAGGTGACTCACCATTGTGCTCAACGTATTCTGTATGTGTCTGTCTGGGCTAGAGCTTACACCAAGGACCTTATACGATCACTTGGCTTCTTCCTCTCAAGGCTGGCACTCTACAACTTGGGCCTCAGCTCCATTTCTGGCTTTTGGTTTATTAACTGGACATGAGTCTTGTGGACTTTTCTGTCTGGGCTGGCTTTGAACCGTGATCCTCACGTCTTGGCCTCCTGAGTAGCTAGGATGACAGGCATGGGCCACCAGGCCCTGGCCTGTACTCACAATCCTAAGTCTGGCGAAGGCCCATCCAGCACGGAGTCTCCATTACAAACTCACTTTAGCCCAGCACTGGGGGCTCATGCCTCTTAGTTCTAGCTACTCCAGAGAATGAGATCGAAGGATAATAGTTCAAAGCCAGCCCGGACAGGAAAGTCCATGAGATTCTTACCGCCAGCTAAACCGCCAAGAAACCGGGAGCAGAGTGTGGCTCAGGCGGTAGAGGGCCGGCTTGGAATGAAGAGGCTAAGTGGGGGCGGCGGGGCCCGGAGCCCGGCCCGGACGGGCGCGCGCACCGAGGGCCCGCGCGCACCGAGGGCCCGCGCGCACCGAGGGCCCGCGCGCACCCAGGGCCCGCGCGCACCCAGGGCCCGCGCGCACCCAGGGCCCGCGCGCACCCAGGGCCCGCGTGCGGCGGCCCAGCGCAGGGACCGACGGCTCCGCGCGCGCCTCCCGCCCGGCGTCGGAGGCACCGGCGTGGCCTCGGGCTCGCGCGGGTGACTCACTGCGGGCGTCGCGGGCCCGGAGAGCCGGGGCGCGGGTCACGCCCTCGCGACGCCCAGAGGCCGGCGGACCCCGCCGGGCCCGGCAGGAAGGACCGAGGCCGGCGGGACCCCGGACGCCGCAGAGCTCGCCCGAGCCCCGGACCCCCTCCGCGGGCGGCCCCGGCCCCTCAGGCCCGCGCGGCCCCGCACCGCTCCGGCCCGCCACAGCCGCCGCCGCCCGCCGCAGGCCCGCGCGGCCCCGCCCGCCCTCTCCTCACGCCGGAAACCGCGGGCGGAAGCGCGGCGAGACGGCCGCTTCCTTCCCGTTCCCCCGCGGCTGCTCGCGGCTCCCCCGTCGCCGCCCGCGCCCGCGCCCGCGCCCGCGCCGCTCACCGCCGCGGTCCCGGCCGGCTCCAGCCCCCAGCGCCTGGCCCGCGTCGCGCCCGCTGCGCCGGCCCGCTCACTTCCGGTTCCCGGGGGCGGGGCCGCATCCGGGACCGCGCGAGGCCACGCCCCCTGCGGGCGCGCGCCGGCCGCCCGGCGAGCCTGGCCCTCCTGGGTCCACCCGCACCGGCCGCACCTCCCTCGCCGTCCTCCCACCTCCCGTCCCGGCCTTCCACCCGCCCTCCACCCCGCGCCCCTGCCCGCCCTCCACCCGCCCTCCACCCCGCGCCCCTGCCCGCCCTCCACCCCGCGCCCCCGCCCGCCCTCCACCCGCCCTCCACCCCGCGCCCCCGCCCGCCCTCCACCCGCCCTCCACCCCGCGCCCCTGCCCGCCCTCCACCCGCCCTCCACCCCGCGCCCCTGCCCGCCCTCCACCCGCCCTCCACCCCGCGCCCCTGCCCGCCCTCCACCCCGCGCCCCCGCCCGCCCTCCACCCGCCCTCCACCCCGCGCCCCTGCCCGCCCTCCACCCGCCCTCCATCCCGCGCCCCTGCCCGCCCTCCACCCCGCGCCCCCGCCCGCCCTCCACCCCGCGCCCCCGCCCGCCCTCCACCCGCCCTCCACCCCGCGCCCCCGCCCGCCCTCCACCCGCCCTCCACCCCGCGCCCCCGCCCGCCCTCCACCCGCCCTCCACCCCGCGCCCCCGCCCGCCCTCCACCCGCCCTCCACCCCGCGCCCCGCCCGCCCTCCACCCGCCCTCCACCCCGCGCCCCTGCCCGCCCTCCACCCCGCTCCCCTGCCCGCCCTCCACCCCGCGCCCCTGCCCGCCCTGCACCCCGCGCCCCTGCCCGCCCTCCACCCCGCGCCCCTGCCCGCCCTCCACCTGCCCTCCACCCTGCGCCCCTGCCCGCCCTCCATCCATCCTCTACCCCGCGCCCCTGCCCGCCCTCCATCCACCCTGCACCCCGCGCCCCTGCCCGCTCTCCACCCTCCACCTCACCCACCCGTCCACAAAAGGCCTGATATGCCAGGAGCAGGGTCAGTGGAAGAGACGTGAGCCTTGCTCAGGAGCTTCTAGAGGACAGCCATAACCACAGACGCCTATAATTCAGATGTGAGAAGCCTTATGAAGACAGAATTTATACTCGGGATAAGATAGGACAAACCGGGGTGATCAGAGGTTTTTCTAGCAAACTCTGAAGTCCAAGTTGGAGTAAAAGAGATAAGGCAGACCAGGCCCCTGGCTCACACCTCTGATTCTTGTAATTCTGGCTACTCAGGAGGCTAAGATTGAAGGATCTCGGCTCAAAGCCAGTAGAGGCAGGAAAGCCCAGGTGATTCTTACCTCAGATTAATCAGTAAGAAAAAAGCCAATGGCTCATGTAGAGCTTTGAGCACAAAAATCTCAGCAATAGCACCCAGCTCCTTAGTTCAAGCCCCAGTACTGGCACCAAAAAACGAGGGGGGAGGGATTCCAGGTCTGACAGGTCTGTCTATGGGAAGTACTAAAGGGATGGGCATTGGTGGGTGTGTCTTGATGCAGTAGAGCAGTGTCCTAGTATGACAAGAGCACATCATGCAGTCTGGAAGAGCACCGCGTGGTCCTTGGAGGAGAGAAACCCTGGATCTCAGCCTCTAACCTGATCCTTGGCTGTAGCCAATTCCAACAAAAGTCATAGCAGGTAAGATGGAAGGGAGATTAGTTTTGTTTTTTTTTTGTCAGTCGTGGGGCCTGACCTCTGGGCCTGGGTGCTGTGCCTCAGCTCTTCAGCTCCAGCCTAATGCTTCGCCACTTCAGGCTTTTGTGCTGAGGAATCGAACCCAGGGCCTCATGCATGCAAGGCAAGCACTCTACCACTGAGCCACCTTCCCAGCCCCAGGTGAGTACTTTTTAATTCTACAGAGAATTAGAAAGTTACGCAAACAGAGGCTGGGAAGGTGGCTCAGTGGTAGAGTGCTTGCCTAGCATGCATGAAGCCCTGGGGTTGGTTCCTCAATACCACATACACAGAAAAGCTGGAAGTGGCACTATGGCTCAAGTAGTAGAGTGCTAGTCTTAAGCAAAAGCAAAAGTGCCCAGGCCCTGAATGCAAGCCCCAGGACTTGCATATAAAAATTAAAAATTAAAAAATAAAATTAAAAATTTTACATAGACAGTAGGATAGGTTGGAGTGTGGGATGCAGAAGAAAATATCTGCCATCAAAGGAGAATTTTTTCAAGAAAATATAGACTCATGGCTTTAATATACACTTTATTAAATAAAAATCACGTCATTGTTTTAGGCTAAACTCCTATACTGAGCCACACATTAAATAGGACTCATCAGGTTAAAGTCCCTCATTGTCAAGCTGAGGCTGACTGATCTATGCTGGGTGTGGTAGAGTACACTTACAGTCCCAACACTCAGGAGGCCACCCAGAGCAACATGTTGAAGAAAGAAAGGGGAGAAGAAAAAGAGAAGGATGGGTGGATCTGACTTTCTGAAAAATCAGGTCAGTTTCAAATTGAATGATCAAGCAGCTCTCTCTGCTTTAATAAGTAACCTGAATAATCTAGTATTAACTAATCACTTACTTCACTATTTTTGTCCTGGCACCATCTCCTTACGTTGCTGGCCTGAAAAAGTAACTTTGAAATACCTAATCTTGCTGTTTGTTGTTCCTTCAAGCCCTTCCATTTAAACAACCCCTGGGCCAGGTGCCAGTGGCTCACACCTGTAATCCTAGCTACTCAGGAAGCTGAGATCTAAGGATCAAGGTTGAAGCTAGCCTAGGCAGGAAAGCTTATACTACTCTTATTTCCCATAAACTATCAAAAAAGCTGGAATTGGAGCTGTGGCTCAAGTGGTTGAGTGCTACCTTTGAGCATAAGAAGCTCAGAGACAGGGCCCAGGCCCTGAAGTTCAAGGTCCAGGAGGGCACCAGCAATGCTGAGGAAGGAGGAAGATGTAAGGCCTCTGATTTACTGCTTGGATTATAAAGGGCAGGGTAGGAAGCACGCGTAGCTAATCAGTCTCGGCAGAAGGTGTTTCTGGCTGATGATTAACTCAGACTGGTCCCTTGGGCGGACCCTGAGAAGCCATTTGCTGCCTAGGGGAGCACACTGGATGCTTGGCTTGTCACCGAGATGTCTCCCCCACCCCCCCTCAATGCTATGGAAGCGACCCCGTGTGGTAAAGACATGATGGAGTGGGTATCTTGTGGGGAGGCTTGGCCCTAGATTACCCCTGGTCCCTCAATCCCACAACAGATCTCAGTTCTCTCCCCAGCAAGGAGGCCCTGTGAAGATCAGGGCTTGTGCTGGAGGCCACCACACTGTTTCTGGGAGAGGCGGCCCTGCTGACGCCTCAAATTTGAACTTGCCCTCTGGAACTGGCAGGGAAGAAATGTGCCACAGCTCCCATGGCAGTGGGCCGGGCTCTCCTAGAGTTGTTCTTCTGAGGGAGTCTGGCACCTGTATGCTATCCTGGGTATGACGGTCCCTTTGTCCTCTGGGAGGAGGGAATAGGTGGCCTCTGGGCTCTGCCTGTGGAGGAGAGAGCTGGCAGGGGGCAGGGGGCTTCCCGTTGTAAGTGCTGTGGGGTCCTGGGATTAGACTTGGGGAAAGCAAGGACAGGGAAGGAAGCCTGGGGCCAGGGTCTCCAGGCAAATGGGAGGGCCCTGCAGACCCTCCTTCCTCATCCATAGGGTCACGCACACTTGCTGTGTGGCTTCAGGAAAGGCCACATCCTTTCTAGCTTCTCCATTTCGGCCTGAGTAAACTGGAACTATCAGCCCCCAGCGGGCTGCTGCCACCTCTCCTGCCAGCACTTCCAGGCACTTCCTGCATGCTGTGTCTTGGCTAATGCTCAGAAAGACACAGTGACTTTCCACTGTCACACAGCACCCACGTGCTTCTTCTAGAGCCTTTGTGCTCCGCAGGGGGAGGCGGCTGGCAGAGCCTCCCTCCCCACCGCGTCTCTGTGGGAAAGCAGGATGGCGGCTCTGGTGACCTGCTACCACTCAGTGGCTACCTGCACCACGCAGCCTCCCCCAACCTCTGCCACCAAGGGCTGGATCCCGACTGGGTGCAGCTCTGATATGCAGGCTTGCAGGCTTGTGGATGTCCGGCCCTGGGGAGAGGAAAGAGCTGGGGAGAGGAAAGCGCTGCCTCAGAGGCCCCCACAGGCCAACATGAGCCCTGGGTTGAGTCAAGGTCACCTGGGTACTTGGGTAGCCTGGTTGGGTACTACAGGAGGCCCCTTTCGCCTTTGCCATACGGGGTGCTGGGGGGGGGGGGGGCGCCACTGCAGCTTCTGCTTTCCAGAGGACCCAGAGCAGACAAGGAGCAGTGTGGCCACTTGAATACATTCCATTCCCACCTCAGTCTGGGCACGCTACACTGGCAGTGGAAAATGCTCCAGCACTTTATTGAAAGAAAGCAATAAATAATACTGTGATAAAAATAGTTCAAAAGTAGACTGTACATTACTTTGTTACATAGTTGAGAAGTTCACAAAAGATTAATAGAAAAACAGAATGGTAACAATGAATTATACAAGTGAATTAAAAGCAGAACAGATGTAAAAAGGCATGCTGCCTCTGTGTATCAGTTGCATAATAAATAACGCACCTCGATCTGACTCGTTTCCTGCTGGCTTTTTTAATTTGCCATTTAAAAAGTAAAGGTTACATTTGCTACTTGTACAATCCAAAATGGCTATACCATCAAAATCTAAAAATGTATGACTAGGTTCATTCTTGAAACATGTTAGAAACAAATGTAAAAAGATGATTTACATTAAGAAAAATAAGGCCTTTATTAGAGCTGCAGGGCGGGCTGTTGGGCCAGGCCTCGCTGCCCTGCTCTGCGCTCAAGTCCGTGAGATCACAGTGCAGTGCTCCGTGATTGGTCCTCAAGGAGAGGCTTTTCACCCTTCACTCCCCCTCCCCAGAGTGCGACTCCCCAGCTGGGGCTCTAATCTGAACCAATGACCCAGGTCCAGAGGTGGGGCTGGAGAGGGGGAAGCAGGGCTTGGGGATGAGCTAGAGTTGTGACACTGCTCCAGGGCTGAGGGAAGGCCAGCATTCCTCTGGCATTCTGACACTAACACGGTCCCAGGAGAAGCCGAGAGCCTGGTATAAACAGTACAGTCAGGCCAGCCATTTGAAGTCTGCCACGCTGTCTGCAATGAGGCCTGCTCGTTTGGAAATGGTGGTTGCAGAGCTGGGTAAAGGGAACACGCACCACCAGGGTCCCGAGGATTCGATGAACGCCGCCAAATTCTTTCCTCCGTCACGGTTTATCACGAAGAAATTACAGACAGTGGTAATCACAACGAATGCATCATTTACAAAAACCCTCTATTTGTTCACAGGATTTATACATACAAGCATTACAGTACATTCGTTCCAAAAACTAAAATCAGATATAGGAACATGAATTTATTCAAAAGGATATTTATAGCCTGGATATACATGAAAAAGTAAGTAACTATATAAATGAAGAGCATAAGTTTACATAAATATAAGAAACATTAAATTCTAAAATATTTTCTCTATGATATTCATGAATTTTTCACTAATTTAAAAACTCTGTAATAAAATATCTTCAGGTCCATATAACAAGACTCCACTGGGTTAAACGCGGTCCTGCTGCAGAGTCACCTGTAGAAGTAGTGTGGGTAAACTGGAAAACAAGAATGAACAGAAAGTTACCTGCCACAGGCCCTTGGTCCCACACATGTGCACAGCCCAGCCTACCCAGGCTGCCCACTCCCATTCAGGAGGAATCCCTGACAGGCTATACACAGAGAGAGGGTGGAGGGGGGTGGGGGAGACGGGGAGGGGGAGGGAGAGAGACAGAGACAGAGAGCGCCAACCCCAGATTCCAGCTAGGCCACGAAGCCTGGACAGAACAGGCAAAACTTTATCCAGGGCTGAGTGGAAGATCCAGGGCTGGGCCTCTGCGGGGCACAGGCTCCAGACCAATGGACAGTGGCAGGTCAGGGTCACTAGAACCAGGCACAGCAATTGGGCTTTGTGTTTAAAAACCATCTGAACTGAAGGCTATGAGTGTCACATGCTCAGATGTCACATGGCACATGACTACCCACCAAGCAGGGCTGCTTCACAGTGGACAAAGCTATCTCCATCCTGCTTCTGACCCTCCCTGCCACACCTGGTCCAGACCCATCCCAGAGATACACAGACACACAGACACACAGAGTGAGCCAGCATTTTCAGAGTTAAGGAAAAACATGGAAATGTATCTTTCCCTTGAACTGATGCCACACTAAGCTCTTTATGATCAACAACAATACCAAAAGCACCCTACTGGGTGCTGAGAGCCAGTGGATCAAGATCTTCACGTTGGTGCTCTGGCCCCAGGTTCAGCATCTGGCCCACGCCAGCTGCAGCTCAGGACAAAGCCTACGGTTCCAGCTGTCTACTCACCGACAGGGCAGGAGCTCTAGCAGGAGTAAGTCCTGACTGTAGCAGAATCCAATCTCTGTGTCGCTGACACACTGCCTGTCTCCACCACCACGAGAGGAAGCGTGCAAACACAGCGTGCAGTTAGTCTTAAAACACAACAAAGGGCACAAGACACATCCCGCAACTCTGATGACAGGCGGGAGAGGGGGAGAGAGAGGGGCTGAGGGGAGGGTCTGCCCGGGGCACTGGCAGCTACTCGCAATGGCCACGAGCACCAGAGGAGAGACTTCAGAATGACCTGTGCACAGGGACAACTACACAGGACGGCTGGTTCTGTGTTCACTGCGTTTGCACCCAGAACTGGTCCTATCTGCACCTCCCAGATGGGAAGGGAGAGGAGGGCAATCTGCTGGCATTGGGACAGGGTAGAGGGTAAAGAGGGGAGGCAGGCTGGCCAGGGCAGTGACTTCTCTTAGAAAACCCAAGCTCAGTGTTGATAAATAACCGAGGCTGAGTTTTTGGCTGAGCTGCAGGGAGGGCAGCCCCTGGAAGGGGGGGGGGGGGGGGGGGGGGGGCGCGCGCAGCTGCAGCATCTGTAGCCCAAGTTGCTGCACCAACCAGCTGCACAGCACCTGTGCTCCACATTCACAGGTGCGACATCCTGTCACCTTCTAGAAAAGATACCGAGGCAGCTGGCACTGGGCGTGATGACGGAGCGCATCTGGAAATCCTCCCAAAGCCTAGGGCACCTTGGGAGGGCCCTTACCCTCCCCCTCACTGACGAAGCCAGTAAGATAACCATGTTCGTGGGCCTTCATTACTAATGACAAAAGCTTTGGCCTAAGAAATTTACCCTCATATCCTTTTCTTTATTTGGGGGTGGTCGTAGGGCTTGAACTTGGGGCCTAGGCCCTGCCTGTGAGCGCTTCTGCTCAAGGCTAGCACTCTACCACTGTGAGCCACAGCACCACTTCAGTTTTCTGGTGGTTAATTGGACAGAAGACTCTCAAGGACTTTCCTGTCGGAGCTGGCTTTGAACTGTGACCCTCAGATAGCCTCCAGAGCAGCTAGGGTTACAAGCATGAGCCATTGGCGCCAGGCGTGAGCCACTGGTGCCCCGCTTCCAGTTCTCAACAGAAGAATTAACAAAAGGAAAGGGGAGCTACAATAGGGCAGCAGAACAAGGCCCAGGCAGTCACATGTAATACTCATCAGTTACCTACAGGCTCCGTGAAACAATGCTGACTCTTCATTAAAAGGACGCTAGTTAGAAGACATACTGGGTTTTACTCAACTCAGGCAAAAGAGCTCACTCGCTCTGTTTTTATATAGGACACTGCGAGCAAACCCTACTTATGAAAGAGACTAATGGCAGAGAAAAACCAGGCAACCCTTGCCTCAACTTTTAAACGCACACTGACTAGCGGCCCCAATGTGCCTGGCAGAGGGGAGGGGCAGGGGATTGCCAGGGGCCATGCGCCCATACCGACGTGGTCCAGACTTTCCCAGCTTCCTAACAGAGTTTTGTGTAATCACCAAAACCACCCAGGACTACTCTACCGCGGTGACAGGCAGGGCACAGATGGGGAGACTGAGGCAGGGCACAACTGTTCCTAGTACCTCCTAGAAGCAGAGCCAGATTCAAACCTAGTCTGACTGGGGCTCCACAGTGCCTCTAAGCACAAAGCCGGAATGGAGATGCCGAGCTCCGGCCAACGTGGCCGCCACAGCGGATCCCTCATCGCCCAGCCTCGCCAGCCTCGCCGAGCACCCAACAGGTCCCCAGTGTCCTCCCCGAGGCTCCAGCTTTCCTTCCCTGTCTCCCTCTAACAGGGACATGCATGGCTCCAGAGAGAAGGAAGACTGGAAGGGGAAAGCTCAGGGTGGTGACAGTCCGATGGGCCACTCTGGAGAGATGACCTGTCACCAACATGGTCTCAGCCTGAGAGGAAACAGGTTCTGGCTCAGCCAGGGATTCAACGAGAAAAGAATTTTTAAAAATTCTGTTATCGTTAATCCTTAATAAACAAATGTTAGCGTTAATTTTCAAATGCATCTGGGCATGCACCCCGACTCAAATGCCCTGAACACACTTAGCAATCACTCTGAGTGACACCCACAGCGCCCACTCACAGGGTGGGGTGACAGGGCCACCACGTACCGTCCATCTGCATCTTCTTTGGCTGCATAGAGGGGGAAGACATGGAAGAAGTCACCCGGAAGTTTGCAGGCAGCGTCTCTGCAGACCCCGCGGCCAGGCCCCGGATATCCTTGGGTCGGAACTTTTTCCTCCAGGAAGGCGCCCTCCTGAAGCTCTTATCGTCGTCCTGGCAGGTGGAGAAAAGACTCGCTTCATTTCAAGTATGGAAGACACGCCCACTACAGTCTGCTGCATAGGCATGTAACCCTGCCTTCTGGGCCCACGACGCCCAGGCTAACAGAATTGGGTGGCCAACCATGCAGGGCAGGCCCACGAGAAAGACAAAGATGGTCCTGGTCACCTCATGTGTCCTACACACCATTGGTCACACTGGCTTACAAAGTAACTTTTATGGGGAATAATACATTTTTATTTGTCTTCAGAGGTTTGAGACCTTTCCATCTGGTTGTTTGTGTCCTTACTTAACAGTACTGGGAGTGGGGTCAGGGGCCTCACCAGGTGGGCTACCACAGGTCAGACCTTTTGGCTGAACTTCTTTTTCAGAAAGGGCCTCCAAGCTGACTTTGTCCCAGCTGCCTTAGACCATGATCATACCTCTGCCTCCTAAGCACTGGGATTATAGGCTATCGCTAACTATGCCCAGCCTTAACAATGGTTTCCAAGCTATAGGCAAACCTGCCTTCTCTCAGGACATTGTCAGCAAGTGCTATGTCTCTAGAGGTGGCTCTGATTCTCCCCGTCAGACACAACTTGTCTCAAGGCCCGACAAAAGTATCGTATGTTCCTTAATACTCTTGTATGAACATCCACCTAAGTAAGGGGTTCTGGACTGGGGTGGATGTAGGCTAAAACATTTTTTAAGAGATTTTATTATTATTAAGGTATTGTATAGATCTCTCTCTCTCTCTCTTTCTCTCTCTCTCTCATCTTGGGGACTGAACTCTGGACCTGGACACTGTTTCTGAGCTTCTTTTGCTCAAGGCTAGCACTCTACCAGTTGAGCCACAGTGCTACTTCAGGCTTTTTCTGCGTATGTGGTTATTGAGGAATCAAACCCAGGGCTTCATGCATGCCAGGCAAGCACTCTACCGCTAAGCCACATTCCCAGCCCCAGCTGCAAACATTTTATGACGTAGAAATCATTTTTGAGGGATATGAAACACTGGAGCTGGGAGGTGTGACATGTGGTAGAGTGCCTGGCTGACAAATGCAAGACCCAGAGTTGTCTCCCCAGTACCACAAAAAAATGAAATAAAATAATCAGCAAGAAAGCAAGCAATTTCAGCCTTTGGGAGGCTGACATGGGTGGAACTACCAGCTGGAGTACTCACTAGGCTATACAGTAAGGCTGTCTTATCAAAAAAAAAAAAAAAAAAATTGTGCTGGTCCTAGGGCTTGAACTCAGGGCCTGGGCACTATCCCTGATCCTTTTTGTTCAAGGCTAGAGCTCTACCACTTGCCCCACAGCTCCATATCCAGCTTAGAGGCATTTAACTGGAGATGAGAGTCTCATGTTCTTTCCTGTCTTGGCTGACTTCAAATCATCTTCAGATCAGATCTCAGCCTTCTAGGTAGCACCGGTTGACTCTGTGTGTGTGTGTTGTTTACTTGCTAAGGAGTGTGCAAGATGAAAGTTCAACTCCTAAAGCAACATTATTTATACACAGTCCTAAATACAACAAAGTACCTTACACACATCACAAATTTAAGCAGACATGCCAGGTACCAGTGACTCACTCCTATAATCCCAGCTATTTATAGGAGGCTGAGATCTGAGAATCACGGTTTGAAGCCAGCCTGGGTAAGAGATCTGAGAATCACGGTTTGAAGCCAGCCTAGGTAAGAAAGTTTATGAGACTCTTTTTTTTTTTGTTCTGGTCGTGGGGCCTGAACTCTGGGCCTGGGCGCTGTCCCTCAGCTCTTCAGCTCAAGGCTAGCGCTCTACCACTTGAGCCACAGCACCACTTCCAGCTTTTTTCTTTTTGCTTATGTGGTGCTGAGGAATCGAACCCAGGGCCTCAGGCATGCAAGCCACCTTCCCAGCCCCAGTTTCTGAGACTCTTATAACTAATTACCAGCAAAAAACCCAAAGTGGAACTGTGGCTCAAGTATTAGTTCGCTAGCCTTGAACAAAAAGGTCAGGGACAGCATTCAGGCCCTGAGTTCAAGCCATAGGGTCTGTGAGTGCAGCACAGTGGTAGAGCATCTGCCTAGTGTGAAAAGGCCCTGTCTTTAATCAACAGCATCACAAAAAACAACCAACCAACCAATAAAAATCCCCAAACCATTAGGCTGAAACTTACCTCATCAAACCTCCTGTCAGTTCCCATGACTAAAAGGTTGTTAAACTCTCTTTCCAGGACCGCTCGAGCCTGAAATAACAAAACAATCCCTTCATCAATGTAGTTGAAAATTATTTACATAATGTAATTATCATTATTACTACTACTATTATTAATTTTGTGCCAGACCTGGGATTTGAACTGAAAGCATGGGCACTGTCCCTGAGCTTTTTTGCTCAAGGCTGGTACTCTTATCCCTTCAGACATAGCTCCACTTCTGGCTCTCAGTAGTGGATTAGAGATGAGTCTCATGGACTTTCCTTCCCGGGGCTGGCAATCTCTGCTAGGGTGACGTGCATGAGCCACCAGCACCTGGCCCTGCATTTATTTTTTTTTATTTATTTATTTTTTTTGGGGTCCGGTCATGGGGCCTGAACTCTGGGCCTGAGCACTGTCCCTCAGCTCTTCAACTCAAGGCTAGTGCTCTACCACTTGAGTCACAGCGCCACTTCCGGCTTTTTTCTTTTTGCTTATATGGTGCTGAGGAATTGAACCCAGGGCCTCTGGCATGCAAGGCATGCGCTCTACCACTGAGCCACCTTCCCAGCCCCCTGCATTTATTTTTTAAACCAAGACTTATAAAAGGCACTTACTGAGCCAAGTACCTGTGGCTCACACCTGTCATTCTAGCTATCAGGAAGCTGAAATCTGAGGACTGTGGTTCAAAGCCAGCCCAGACAGAATAATCAATGAGCCTCTTATCCCCAAATAACCACCAAAAAGTCAGAAGTAGAACTGTGGCTCAAATGGTAAACTTAACACTTGAACAAAAGAAGCTCAGGAACTGCACCCAGGCTCTGAGTTCAAGTACTAGAACTACTACTAAATAAATAAATAAGCGGTATCATTACTAGGAACGTAATGATTCATAATAACACCTGACATTAGCAACCTGTAGACACACGACAGAGAACAGGGACTCATGTGTTGGAAATTACGAGCTTTAGAAAGTGTGCTGTGTGGGTGGGTGAAGGTATTGGAAAAGATAATCAACGTTCTGTAGGGTAATAAAAATTTGCAGATTTTCAATTGTGTTCATGAGTCATGAAGAATGACATAAGAAAATTAACACAGAAGTAAAATTAAAACTTCTATGCGGCATACCTAAAAATTTCTCTTTTAGTCAGGAACACACACACACACACACACACACACACACACACACACACACACACACACACACACACACACACACACACACACCACTTTTTCAAATGCATGCACTAGAATTAAAGCATCCTTATTCTATCATAAGAGCACATGCTTGCAATAGAAAATGAAGAGGTTGGGCTGGGAAGGTGGCTCAGTGGTAGAGAGCTTGCCTTGCATACATGAGGCCCTGGGTTCAATTCCTTAGCACCACATAAGCAAAAAGAAAAAAGCCGGAAGTGGCCTTGTGGCCCAAGTGGTATAGCGCTAGCCTTGAGCTCAAGAGCTGAGGGACAGCGCCCAGGCCCAGAGGTCAGGCTCCACGACCGGACCCCCCCACCCTAAAAAAAAAAAAAAAAAAAAAAAGAAAAGAAAAGAAAATGAAGAGGTAATGGAGAAAATCATGAAAGAAAACATTTGCTGATTTTGAACATTATTACAGATGACGAGAAGGGACTGATTGCTAGTTGTCTGAGGGCTTTTCATCCTTGAAATAAACCACTGGGTGTCTGCTCAGCCCCAGCTAAGTAGGGTAAGGACACACGGGACTGTTGCGTCACCTGTGTGTTCTGTGTGGGAATCTGCAGCAACAGGGCCAGTGTGCTGAAGTCGAAGGTCTCATCCAAGGCCAGCAGGGCACCGTGGACACCGCTCTCCACCAGGTTATTTGCATACTCTTTGAGACCAATGGACAGGATCCACCGCACCACTCGGTCATTGCTCCAGACAAGCACATCTGTAAAAGAAGTGAGCAGTGCCACTGCAGCCCCCAAGCCCGCGTCCGCACACTCCAAGGCCCCCAAACCCGCGTCCGCACACTCCAAGGCCCCCAAACCCGCGTCCGCACACTCCAAGGCCCCCAAACCCGCGCCCGCACACTCCAAGGCTCCCAAACCCGCGTCTGCACACTCCAAGGCCCCCAACCCCACGTCTGCACACTCCAAAGCCCCCAAACCTGCCTCTGCACACTCCCGCCGCACAGGAGAAAGGGGCCCTTGTTTCTGAAACCAGGCATGGACCCCAAGGGCCAAAGACATTGCCAGATGACACCTCACAGCCTGCTAAGTCCCCACCCCCCCCCCACATGTCATGCACTGTTTTTGCTTATTGGACAAAGCCATGTAGGGTAAGTAAGAGGAACAAAGTTGAACTGGGTATAGTAGCACTTGCTGGAAAATTTAGGGACTCTGAAATTGAGCCCAGAAGTTTAGACCAGTTATAACTTAATTTTTTAAAAGGGTGAAAAGTCAGGCACTGCCGGGCGCTGGTGGCTCACGCCTGTAATCCTAGCTACTCAGGAGGCTGAGATCTGAGGATCGCGGTTCAAAGCCAGCCCGGGCAGGAGAGACCGTGAGACTCCTATCTCCAATAAACCACCAGAAAACCGGAAGTGGCCCTGTAGCTCAAGTGGTAGAGCACTCGCCTTGAGCTGAAGAGCTGAGGGACAGTGCCCAGGCCCAGAGTTCAAGCCCCATGACCGACAAAAAAAAGAAAAGTCAGGCACTAGGGGCTCGCGCTTACAATCCAACTCAGGAAGCTGAGGTCTGAGGATCACAGTTTGAAGCCAGCACGGACAGGAAAGCCCATGAGACTCTTCTTTCTAGTTAACCACCAAAATGCCAGAAGTGTAGAGCACTAGTTTTGAGCACAAAGCTTAGGGATAGCAGGGCTAGGCTGTAGCTCAGGGGCAAAGCACTTGCCTAGCAACTGCAAGGTTCTGGGTTCGATCCCCAGTACCAAAAAAAGAAAAGGCAAAAAAAAAAAAAAAAGCTTAGGGATAGTGTGTAGGCACGAGAATGCGCTCGCATGCACGCGCGCGCGCACGCACACGCACACACACACACACACACACACACACACACGAAGATAAAACCAGAGGGCTGCCAATCCTAGCCTAGCAAGCTGTCTTTGCGACGCCTTAATGTAAGGATGCATTCATGTACAATAGATAAAGGAGACAGTTCCCTACTGCTAGAAGATCCTCTAGGTGAAAAATTATCCACATCACCAAGTCCCAGTGGCTCATGCCTATAATCCTAGCTACTTAGGAGGCTGAGAGTTGAGGATTGCAGTTAGAAGTCACCCTGGGCAGAAAAGTCCCTGTGTGACTCATCTCCAGAGCGCTAGCCTTGAGCACAAAGAGGCGCAGGGACAGCACTCAGGCCCTGAGTTCAAGTCCCAGGACCAGCATTTTAAAAAAAAGAAAACTATCCACATGACAATTTGTTTAAAAAATGGAATTTTCAGCTGGGAATGTGGCTTTCAATTAAATCATTAAATTTGCTCTCATTGTTATCTAAATCAGATGTTATTGATTACGATCACTTTCAGAATCAGAGTTTATCAATTGTGTAACAAGAAAGAACTAGCTGGGTGCCAGTAGTTTATACCTGTAATCCTACTAATGAGGCTGACATCTGAGGATTGTGGTTCAAAGCCAGCCCAGGCAAGAAAATCTGTAAGTCTCTTATCTCCAATTAACTACCAAAAGAAAAAAAGCTGGAGGTGGAGCTGTGGCTAAAGTGCTAGCTTTGAGCACATAAGCTCAAGGACTTGCACCAGGCCCAGAGTTCAAGCCCCAGGACGCAAAAAAAAAATTTTTTTTTAAGAACCTAGAAAACGCATGTCATTTTCAATGCCTTTCCTGGTGGGAGGCCATGTGCCGTGCCGTGCTGTGTAAGTTCGGTGATGCTTATTCAAGTGTGCCCTGCACACATCACTCGGCTGCGGTGGAACAGCACAGCCTTTCAAGCGTGTTTCTATCTAGGTCTCCCAGGTAAGTCAGAGAGGAGCAGGTACCGGCCTGCGATGAGGATGTGGTTGACCATGGAGTGTCCTGAGCAGTGCCCCCCACCCCCACTAGCTGCTTCACTAGGGCTGGCCTTTCCCACTATGGCCAGGTCACCACTGACTTCCTGACTATCCTCCTTCCCCGGGGCCTAGCATTTAGGGTCTTACTTAGAGGCAAACGGACTGTCCCTGTCATTGGAGGGCGCTACAAGGGAAGCAGGCCCCATGAGCAGCAGGTGCTCCTGCGCCTCCTAGCCCATTTCCTTCCCACAGGATGCCCTGTATCTCACCTCCTAGCCCATTTCCTTCCTGCAGGACGCCCTGCCCTCCTAGCCCGTTTCCTTCTCGCAGGCTCCTTTCTCAAAGGCTGGCTGGAAGCGGTGTGGGCCTATGTCCCTCTCTCTGAGAACGAGTGCCCTTTGTGCTACTGTACCCTCACACTTCAGCCCAGTGAGCAAGCAGCAGGGACCCGATCGCCCCTGTTCCACTGTGCTTGATACAGTAGGCACAGCCTTTGGGCGTGAGAGAATGCATGCTGTACACAACAAAAGGAAAACTAAAGTCACAGGGAAAACACCACCCACACACAAAGATATGCACAAGCTTTCAAGAGCAGTCCCTCTCTCCTGCCCTCTCCTCACAGTGCGGGCCAAGCACCCTTTCGGGGCCCCTGTACAGCAGGCAGCAGTCACCCAAGGCAGCTGGTGCAGGCAGCAGAGGTGTGCTCATCCACCAGGCACCAGGAGCTTACCTTTTACTTCATTCTGACTCTCTTCTCTTTTTCTTTCCAGTTCCTTACGGTCATAATTTAACCTTCTCAGGCACATAATTCCACACTGGAAACTGTTTCTATTTACAAAAAGAGAGAAGAATCAGGTGGCAACTATAAAGAGTCTCTTTGTTAGTCCACTGGTAGGACCTCCGCACTGACTGACCTGTGGAAGCTGTCCACCATCTTCAGCTGCCCCCGCAGGTCTTTCTTGGTCAGGTGGTCCAGCATCCTGGCGTCTACCAGGCACTCCATGAAGTAGCTGCGGTACTGGGGGAGCCCAAGGCTGGGCAGCCACTCGTTACCGATCCACTCGTGGTTCATGTCCCCATAGGCCAGCGTCTGCTTGGAAGAAGTGAGTGCCATTAGGTACAGATTCTTAATCCACGCCAGGTTCTACCATAGATTAATGACAACGGTTTCAAGTTCCAAATGACTTGATCTCTGTCCCCACCTTTTAAATTTGTTAGTAAAATTTCAGACAAAAGGAATCATACCATTAAGAACTTACAACTCATTTGGGATAAAATGAACAAACCACACTAAAGCTGTAACTAACAATAAATTCTCTTTCTGAAATAGTTTTTAATTCAATAACATAACAAGAAATGGTTACGACTCATGAACAAGTTTGAAGAATTCAACTTTCCTCATTAAATATGATCTCTATCTGGTTTTCATTTTAATATTTTTTCTTTCCTAGATAAAACATCTGATTACTTCAAAATTAGTAAGTTAATTTAGAAATAGTTTTAGAAAAGTGATAAACCAATGGCTAACAGGACTGAATGGAGAAACAAGCAAATACACAATAGTAATCAGAATACAAATATTACCAGAAGACTTCAACTCTCTTCCTCGGGGAATGGGGGAAGGGGAGATGGGTTCCTCGGGGAATGGGGGGAAAGGAGGGGAGATGGGAGAACAGGAGACTCATGATGGATACAGACTAAAGCAACACAATCAACCAGCTTAACCTGGTCATATTTTATATAGGCACCACCTAGCAGAATATTAATTAGCTAATTAACTAATTAGAGGGATGCTGCCATGCTGCCCTGACTGGAGTACAGAGGCCACTCAGATTTGCTTCCACTACTGACCATGGACAGGAGTGCAATACTGATGCCAAACCTAACACCTGATGGGCACAGTGCACTACAGCCTCCAGCTCCTAAGATCAAGCGATCCTTCTGCCTCAGCCTCCCAAGTAGGTGGGACTTGGGCATGCCACCATGCCTGGTTTCAGAACACACCTCTGTCGCATGTGTGGTTCTGGGGATTGAACCCATAGCTTCACACATGCTAAGCACACATTCTACTACTGAGCTATACCTCTAGTCTCTTAATATACTTACATTTCTAAAACCATACAATGTGTATTCTCTGACCTCAAGAGAAGTCAATTAGGAATCAACAAGCCAGGTGCAGTGACACACACCTGTAGCTCCAGCTACTCAGGAAGCTGAGACAGGAAGACTGCTTAAGCCCAGGTATTGGAGGCCAGCCTAGGCAAAGTAGTGAGACCCTGTCTTAAAAAAGACAAATAAATAAAAAGTAAAAAGTCTAGAAACCCACCATAATAACCCATGCAAAGAAAACTTACAAAATATTAGCAAATCCCATCAATACATTAAAATAGAAGCTATGGCCAATGATACATTGGAACACAGGTTGAGTCAATAGTTGGTGGGGGAAAAAACGTGAAATATTCCCCATGGAGAGACTGACAAAACAGACTATGTCACTGCAAACACGTGTGCAAGTGCACACTGAAACCACTGTGCAATTAAGGTGTGCTAATGAGAAAAAGAAAGACTCAGGAAACACAGTGGCCCACAGAGCCCTCAGAGCTGCAGGAGTGGACGTTTCCTTGGAGGGCAGGCCAGAGGTGCTCCCTACAATGAAGGGCCAAGCAGCAGCACTGCATCTCAAGTTCTGGCCCCTATCACAGGAAAGGAAAAGGCAGACGGTCGTAGGAGGCGGAAAGAACACAGCTCCTTTGGAGCAGATGGCACAATTACCAGTGTGGAAAAAGAGTCTGTGAAATTAGCTGGCAACACTAAGCCATGAATCAGCAAAGGTGCCTAACACACAATTCCTACACATCAGCCAGCTTTCTAATACTACAGCTACTTCCTAATGACAATATGCCTGCATCCCAGAATACTGACCAGGATGGCACAGCAAACAGGTGTGTGGTATCCCCCTGCCCATCACAGGAAGGCCCTGATGCCCTCCACCATGTCACAGGCGCCCCGCCCCGCCCCGCCCCGCCCCGCCCGCGGCGTCCTCGCCTCACTCTGCCTCCGCCTTTCACAGTGGCCTCTAGTACCGCTGGAAAGAACGGCTGCCTTCTAACAAGAACACACCAATTCTAACAGAAAACCCTCATTACTTCCTCTCAAGAAGTGGAGAGAGAAGCAGTCACTAGGTCTGTGTGCAGTGAGGCTCTGTAACGCTTTCTCTTGGTATTCCTCGACTGGTGGGAGTGGCAAACAACTGTGTGATGAAGGGAAGGAGAGGAAGGCCGCAGCCTCCTTGGCCTCTGCGCTGCCTCCTCCTCCTCCCTTGCACACTGCAGACCCCACATACAATTCTGAGGCAGCTGACAACCAACTACTAGCACGAGTTAGATCAGTACAGGCCCCCGGCCTGTGGAAGGGAGGGAGCCACGGCTGGCCACACTGGGGTGGAGGAGACATAGCCGTGTGGCTGCAAAGGCAAGCCAGCTTTGCGCTCGGGCAAATGTTGAGTACAGGACAGCAGGAAGTGCGGCTGTCCTGCTCACCACTGCGGCTGCTAGAGGGGGACAGCGTCCTCATGGCCGGCGGCGCGCTCCAGACTCACGCAGCGACAGCAGGCATGGCTCTGGGTCGCCCTGGATTGAGAGCTGGTGCGGGGAGACTTTCTGGCTGGAGAGAGGTGGTGGGTGTGAGCGCCACCTAAGCTTCCTCCGGACATACACAGTGAATCTCTAATTCTAGTGTCTCCTGCACCACCCTCTCTTTAAAAAAATAAAAATAAAATTGTAGACTGGGATTTGAGGGGTGCTCTCACTGAAGTGGGGTGATGTTTTGTCATGTAAGTGTATAACGTGTATGTAATTCCAAGCTGGTCCCAGCTCAACTCACCAACAGACACTGCTGGCTGACCTGGTAGAGGAAAACCAGATTTTCTAGCTACAACCGACTCACTGCACTGGAAAAATACAAGAAAGAGAAACAGGCGCTGTTTTGAGCAGCACCTGGCAGCCGGGGAGCTCCGATGGGACAATCTGTACTTTCTCCAGATGCACCTGTGGCTTCCTGGCGCCGCAGCACGGCCTTGGCCACACTGGGGAAGTGGAGGAGACACAGCCGCTCCACTGACCCCAGCTGCCTCAGCGTGGAAGTGAGCTGTGCACTCAAATGTACGCAACACAACAGGAGGCTGAATTCCTGAGAATTCCCTTAGTAGCATCTTCAAATCAACATGCTACTAGGCTGGTACACAGCAAAACACGGAGGTGTGGGGCTTTTTCTTTTTCTTTTTGCTGGGAACAGATGGAAAAGGCACTACACTAACTTCTGGGTTTGGAGATTTATCTCCGACTTTTCCACAAGTAGATATTAGAAGTAAAGTCACAAAGAGTGCCAGGTACGTAATCTCAAGAGCTGCCCAAGCCAGGAACTTAGTATAAAAGGTCCTAGGATAAATAAAGTGACTTACAGTCATTTAAAGTCATTATCATAGTTCCCTATGGGAAATGTTCAAAATTGTCCATGAGACGCACTTCAATCCTATGCATTGCTTGACTAGTGCTTTTAAATCATTACTACTACAATTACATTAAGACTAAAAACATCCAGGAATGCAAGTGGCACATTTTCATACTCAGGTGCTTTTTGTTGCTCACACACAGAGTGAAGAATATAGAAAGACTCCAACCTGAGCCCAGCTTCCCTCCTCATCTTCCTGACGGTACGTGGTTAGGAATGCAAGAGAACACAACTATTAGTATTGGTGAGCTGCGGTGATGTCAGTGGTTAGCTGTGCAGAAAACCAGGTAAAGCGTTCGAGTATGACAGCATCATGCAAAATCATGCAACCTGTCAATGTAGTGTTCATGCAAGCTGCAGACTTCCCATGCCAAGCAATCCATGAAAGGAGACCGCTGGGGCAAGACAATCACCACGGAGGGTTACACTGTGGCTCTTCAAAAGGAGGAGGAAATCACATCTGTCCTAACGGATCAAGTCTGCGAATTTTAAGTTACTGGCAAAATCTGGAACAAATGCAAATGCTACTTTATGTGTTTAGTGAATAACCTAAAGGGAATGCTTATCTCCAGCAGCCAAATGTAGAGAGACACAACAGGGCAAACGACCACGGGGCACAAGCACCGGGGAGCGCGAGCGGGCACCGAGACGTGACTGACCGTTTGTGGTGTGGCTGCGAGCGTTTCCATCTCTTCGTGAGTTAACCAGACATTTCCTGTGGTCTAAGGTGACCCCCGTCCACCAGCCACATCCAGGGCCAGGGAAGCGTGACAAAGAGGAGAGGGGCACACACATAAGCCACAGGCACAGAAAGAGCCCTGAGGCACAGGCTACCCTGCACAGCAAACCAAGCCCGCCCCCTGGACGACGGCCACACCCATGGACACTGCCATCGAATAGAGGTCACCATGCTTACCTTGGTAGTTAAGTAAAAAAGTGAGGAAAGCACACATTTTATGCTTCTCAAAGTTCTGCATCATTCTCCACCAGTTAACAGATTAATTCACTAACGGTCTCTCTGGGCTGGAGGTGGAGCGCTTGCCTGGTATGCACTAGGCCCTGTGTTGATCCCCAGCACCACAAAACTCCAAAACCCAAAAGGAGATGAACAAGTGGGGAACACAGCTCTGGCCCCAAGGCTGCTTTTGCTGGCATCAGGGTGAGGACCATAGCTAGAGAGAGCCTGCAAGGTTCGGGCGGGGCACCAACCAATGAGGATGAAAACCAAGCACTGTGAGGTGGGGACCGCTTGACCGCCGCGGAGTAGGGGCAGTGGCCACGGTGCCTGCAGCATGGCGGGGGCGCGTAGTGAGGGCCCACAATGGATCTGAAAGCGCACACGAACGTGCAGCCAGCTTATCGGGAAGCATTTTTTCTGGAAAAAGACATCTCTCAGCCACAGGCAGGAAGAATAGCTCAGTGCTCATTTCCTTTTTTTTTTTTTTTTTTGGGGGGTGGGGTGGGTCCATCATGGGGCATGAGTGAGGCATAAGCCACTTCTGCTCAAGGCTACTGCTCTACCACTTAGGCCTTCTGGTTTTTTGGAGGTTTATTGGAGATAGTTTCATGGACTCTCCTGCCTGGGCTGGCTTGAACCGCGATGCATAGGTCTCAGCCTCGGCTAGGATGACAGGCGAGAGCCACCAGCGCCCGACTCTCACTTGGCTTTTTCACTCTCACTATAGCTCTATAGTTTTTTTGTTAATTAATTGAAGATGAGTCTCCTTGACTTTCCTGGCTGGCTCTGAACCAGGATCCTCAGATCTCACAGCCTCCTGAATAGCTAGGATTACAGGCAAGAGCCACCAGTGCCTAGCACCATTTCCATGATTCTTCTAAGAAAAAAGAAAATGAGAAAAAAAATTGTACATTATAAAGTAACTGCAGGCCTGGGTCTGGTCTTAGCCAGTTCTTCCCTCCGAAGTAGACTAAAGACAAGGGTGGAGCCATCCCGTGTTCAGTCTCACCTTTACCAGCGAGGACGTGGCTAGGCCTCGTCTCAGGCGATCACTGCTACACTCACCAGAAGAGCTGCCTTTTTTTTTTTTTGAGGGGTGTAGCTTGAACTCAGGGCCTGACTGCTGGCCTTGAGCTTTTTTGCTTAAGGCAAGTACTCTACCACCTGAGTCACAGCTCTGCTTCTGGCTTTTTTGTGGTCCATTGGAGTCTTAGACTTTCCTGCCCAGGCTGGGTTCAAACTTCAATTTTCTCAGATTCCTGAGTAGCTAGGATTCCAGAGAATGCTATAAGCTTCGCTTGGATTAGAGTCTCTCTCTATGCTCATGTTGGCTTGGGCTTCAATCCTCCTAGATACACTTTCCATGGTAGCTAAGATAATATATACCACCCTAGACCCAGCTTTATTGGTTGAAGTAGAAGTCTTGCAAACTTTTTGCAAGACTTAAAACACAATCCTTCCTCTCTTAGCCCACAGAGGAGCTACCAATACAGGTACCCAGACTCTTCCAACATTTTCAACCAGAAGAACACTTTAGGAATCCCGAGGACTCCTCACATGGAGAAGGTCCTCAGTAATACCGGTAAGTTTGGACAACTGCGACTGCTTAAGCCCTGAGCCTCTGGGTCCTACAGAGCCAGACAAATCACGGACTGTGACAACGATTACATCAGCACCAGTGAGCTCATCTCTTCTCCCTTTAGGTTTAGATTTTGTTGGGGGGGGGGGGGGGTGAGGGGGTGAGGGGAAGAGGGAGAGAGGGGGAGAGGGAGAGAGGGAGAAAGGGAGAGAGGGAGGGAGAGAGGGAGGGAGGGAGAGAGGGAGGGAGAGAGAGAGTGCTTGCTGCTTTTTAATAGGGACTTGCCTCAGAATGTGGCTCGGTGGTAGAGTGCTTGCCTAGCATGCATAAAGCCCTGGGTTTGACTCCTCAGTACCACATAAATAGAAAAGGCCAGGAATGGCCCTGTGGTTTAAGTAGTAGAGTGTTAGCCTCAGAGCAAAAGAAGCTCTGAGTACCTAGGCCTGAGGTCAAGCCCCAAGACTGGCCAAAAAAAAAAGACAGGGATTTGTAGGACAGGAGGAAGAAAATGGGCAAGAACCGCAAAAGGGGTGACATTGACTAGAAGCATTGTACTCATAGCCTGACTTAAGTGTACCATTACTTTATTATTTTGGAGTCTATTTTAAAGGAGAGAATAAAAAGCAAAAAGACAATATATAGCCCAGTCTAGCCTCAAACTCTCCACCTTTCTTTTTTTTTTTTTTGGTCGGTCGTGGGGCTTGAACTCTGGGCCTGGGCGCTGTCCCTCAGCTCTTCAGCTCAAGGCGAGCGCTCTACCACTTGAGCTACAGCACCACTTCCAGTTTTCTGGTGGTTTATTGGAGATAGGAGTCTCACGGTCTCTCCTGCCCGGGCTGGCTTTGAACCGCGATTCTCAGATCTCAGCCTCCTGAGTAGCTAGGATTACAGGCGTGAGCCACCAGCGCCCGGCACTCTCCACCTTTCTGCAGGGATTACAGATGTGAAACACTATGCCCAGCTCCCCTCATTTTCGCAGAAAAAACTCCTGCTTGAGAAGAATCAGAACGCTCTGGGAGCAGTGAACAGTCTTTCCTATGTTATCAGCAGCACTTTGTGGATGCCACAAAGCATTTCAAGAAGTCAAACATCTGACTCCTTAAGTCCTACTTAAACATCACCTAACATCACGAGGATGAGTCTATTTCCCACCCCCCGCCGACCCCACTTTCTTTTTTGCTGGTACTGGGGCTTGATCTCAGGGCCTACAGCTCTGCTTGAGCTTTTCTACCCAAGGTTGGTGCTCCACCACTTAAGACATACCTCCACTTTTAGCTATTTGCGGCTTAATTGAGATAAGAGTCTCTTAGATTTGTCTGCCTGGGCTGGCCCCAAACATCAATCCTTACATCTCAGCTTTCTAAGTAGCTAGGATTAAAAACCTAAGCAATGGCACCCAGCTTGTATTTTTTTCTTTTAATAGACCCTTGCATTGAGAACTGAATTTCCATATATTAGAGGGAGGGAGTAGATATGCTATCATGACTGGGCCACAAACCTTTTCTTTTTTAAATTTTTTCATAGAAACTTTATTTCAAATAGTTACGATATACAGTACAAAATATATTAACAAATAAATATGCATTGTGATATGTTTAAAGATTAATTTCTGTTCTGAAAATAATGGTTGGGCTGGGAATGTGGCTTAGTGGTAGAATGTTTGCCTAACATGCATAAAGCCCTGGGTTCATTTCCTCAGTATCACATAAACAGAAAAAGCCAGAAGTGGCACACTAGCTCAAGTGGCAGAGAGAGCAAAAAGAAGCTCAGAGTCAGCACCCAGGCCCTGAGTTCAAGCCCCAGGACTGGCAAAAACTAAAAATTAAAAAGTTTGAAAAAAGAAATAAAAATAATGGTGGCGCAGTGTGAGGGTTACACAGATCAGGCAGCTCGCGGCCGCCCGAATTGGTGGCACATGTGCTTGTGGTAGGCCATTCTGGGGCCCACAGTCCAAAGAAGGTTTATGCCAAGCTCTAGGGAGCAAGGGCAGTAAAAATATAAATACATTTTTTTAAAAGTTCAGATTTTTGGACTGGGAAGGTGGCTCAGTATAGAGTGCTTATGAAGCCCTAGGTTCGATTCCTCAGCACCACATAAGCAGAAAAAGCCAGAAGTGGTGCTGTGTCTCAAGTGGTAGAGCGCTAGCCTTGAGCTGAAGAGCTCAGAGACAGCGCCCAGGCCCAGAGTTCAGGCCCCATGACTGAAAAAAAAAAGTTCAGATTTTTTTTTTTACTTTATATAAAGGTGATACACAGAGAGATTACAATAAGGAGTCCGGTAATGAGTCTATTTCCTTTTGTACAGTGTCTTCCCTTCCCTTGCTCTCTCCTAGGCCATCTCCCATCTGCTCCCATGAGTTGTATAGTTCACTTTCCTCAGTGCACATCCTATTTTTATGAAGTAGAATAGACCAGTCTACAGTCGCAGCAGGATACAGCCCCCAGGGAAGGAGCATTAGGGGCTCTGGCCCTATATTTATGATTTAATAAAAATTTAGCTTAGCCGGGTGATAGTGGCTCATGTCTATAATCCTAGCTACTCAGGGGGCTGAGATCACAGTTTGAAGCCAGCATGGGCAGGAAAGTCCATGAGACTCTTATCTCCAATTAATCACCAAAAAGCTGGAAGTAAAGCTGTAGCTCAAGTGGTAAAGTGCTAGCATTGAGCAAAAAAAGCACAGGGACAGTGCCCAAGCCTCAGGACTGGCACACAGAAAATAAAAGCATTTATACTCTAAAATTTGATTAGCCAATATCCTTATATTACAGTGTAAATACTAATTATGAGGAGCTGAGAAGGTAGCTTAGTGGTAGAGTGCTTGCCTTGCATGCATGAGGCCCTTGGTTCGATTCCTCAGCACCACATAAGCAGAAAAAGCCAGAAGTGGCGCTATGGCTCAAGGGGTAGAGTCCTAGCCTTGAGCTGAAGAGCTGAGGGACAGCGCCCAGGCCCAGAGTTTAAGCCCCATGACCAGCCAAAAAAAAAACTAATTATGAATGATAAAATAAGCAGAAAATGTTAAAGTACACACATAAATAGTAATTTTTAATTTTTTCCTTCCTTGAAAAGCCCTTACACTGACTCAACTTTGATACATCCAATTTTTTATTTTTAGGGTCAGTCATGGGGCTTGAACTCTGGGCCTGGGTGCTATCCCTGAGCTCTTCAGCTCAAGGCAAGTGCTCTACCACTTGAACCACAGCACCACTTCTAATTTTCTGGTGGTTCATTGGAAGTAAAAGTCTCATGGACTTTCCTGACCGGCTGGCTTTGAACCAGGATCCTCAGATCTCAGCCTCCTGTGTAGCTAGGGTGACAGGCATGAGTCACCAGCTCCCAGCTACACCCAAATTTAAATTGATCAACTTCTAGCTTTTTTTTTGGGGGGGGGGGGGAGGGGCGAGAAGGGAAGAGTAAGATAGGTACCAGTTCTGGGGCCTGAACTCAGCCCAGATGCCGTTTCTGAGCTTTTGTGCTCAAGGCTAGTACTCTACCATTTCAGCCACAGCACTACTTTGGGCTTTTCTGCTGGTTAACTTGAAAAGTCTCATGGACTTTTCTGCCTGGGCTGGCTTCAAGCTGTGATCCTCAGATCTCAGCCTCCTGAGTAGCTAGGATTACAGGCGAGAGCCACCAGAGCCTGGCTCCTAACTTCTTATTTTTTTTAGGAGGTCTTTCTGGGCAAGAATGCTGCCCAGGCTGGTCTCAAATTCACTGTATGGCCTTGAACTCTTAATCTCCCCTACCTCGGCATCCCAAGTGGCTGCTACCTCATTACTGGCACACATCACCGTATCTGGCTCTCATTAAGCTTGGTTTTGGTGTACCAGTGGGGGCTGAACGATGGCCTTGGGTGTGTTAGGCAAGGGTTCACCCATTGAGCTACATTCTTAGCCCAAAGCATTTTGTAAAGTTAAGTTCTTTAGACTGCTCACTTCCCACAAACTACAAGTAGCAGTAAATCTGAATACTGACATTTTAAACTAGAACTGCCCTGGGTGTGGTTCTGAAGACTACAGGAGCAACGCAAGGATGATGCTTCCTTCTTCCCAAGGACAAGCTGCCTGTGTGCTTACCGTCCTGGATGTGGGTGGGGCAGACGGGCTGGTCAGCGACATGATCTCCTGGATGGCCAGGCGGAGCTTCAGCCTGTGCAGGGGGTTGCTGATGCCAATCTCCCGCTGGATCTCCGTGTCAGACAGAGCTGACATGATGGCTCCACTTTTAACATTTGCTCGGCAGGCTGCCACATACCAGGCGGGCATCCCAACCCAGAGCTGGAGGCAGGGACAAGGAGACCAGAATGTCAGGCATACCGTGCAAGGGCGCACAAACCAGTTCACAAAATTTGGTATATAAAAGGGAAGTACCTCTAGCCATACGACCACTGTGGGCCCGTCCCACTGAGCAAAAGGCAAGCCTTGCCTTCGGGCTTCCTCCAGCAACTCGTGCCTATGATGAGAGGCATTCAAAAGAATCACTGTGAGATGCGAGTCTAAAGGAGTTCTCTTTGAGCACTTTCAACAGTGTAATAATGCCAGAAGCTGTTGACTCATGTCTGTAATCCTAGCTACTCAAGAGGTTTATATGTAAGCATCACAGTTAGCCACCTAGACAGGAAGGTTTGTGAGACTCTTATCTCCAATTAACCAGAAAAAAAGCCAGAAATGAAGCTGTGGATCAAGTGGTAGAGGACCAGCTTATGGACAGTGCCCAGCTCAAGCTTTAGGAGCATCCCCGCCAGCACCCCTGCCCCCGTCTCTCCGCCCCCCGCCCCCAAATGTAACAGTTGAATTCCTCATTGCTGTCCTTTAACATTTTATACAGCTTCATACAACCCTATTTTGTCCTCCCTTTCTTTCTTTTCTCTTCCCTCACAATTCCCCACGGTCAGTTTTGCACATCTTCAAGAATGTTCATGTGTTGTCCAATGTGAGGACATGCTCGCTGACCCAACCATCATAGCCAGTTTCTAGAACACTACAGTGGCTGGACATTTAGGGATAAACACAACTACTACCCTTTCAAACAATGTCTAGCAGAAAGACACACGTGCGTCAGGACACAGGCATCTATCTATCTCTGTGAGAGTTTTCACAAACAAAAAGTATAGATTCTTTTTTTGGTTGGTCGTAGAGCCTGGGCGCTGTCCCTGAGCTTTTCTGCTCAAGGCTAGCACTCTCCCACTCTGAGGCACAGCGTCACTTGTGGACTTCTGGTGGGTAATTGGAGATAAGAGTCTCATGGACTTTCCTGTCCAGGCTGGCACTGAATTGTGATCCTGACCTCTCAGCCTCCTGAGTAGCTAGGATAACAGGTGTGAGCCACCAATGCTCCCGGCTATAGATTCTTAATGTTGAAAATATTTTGACCTAGGGGCTGGGAAGGTGGCTCAGTGGTAGAGCGCTTGCCTTGCATGCATGAGGCCCTGGGTTCGATTCCTCAGCACCACATAAGCAAAAAGAAAAAAGCCGGAAGTGGTGCTGTGGCTCAAGTGATAGAGCGCTAGCCTTGAGCTGAAGAGCTGAGGGATAGTGCCCAGGCCCAGAGTTCAGGCCCCACGACCGGACCCCCCCCCCCCCAAAAAAAGAAAGAAAATATTTTGACCTAAAAGCAGCAAGCATCTCCTGGCAGTTTCTAGTTAACAGTTATTGAGCTAAATAAACTCCCTGGGTCATTCTGTGCTCTAACCCACAGGCTTCCTTTCTAAAAGAAGCCTAAAACGCAACAGTTCCCTCAGTGCAGAAAGGCCAAGGGCGCAAGAACGCAAGAGCCATGGAGCTAGACGTGCAAAGGAATCAGGCCTGCACATGCTGTCACACAGTCAAAATACTCTACAGGGCTCAATGGCAAACCCCAGTCATGGTTTTGCCTGTGGGAGATGATACTGGATGCTCGCTGCATCATATCTACTTCTACCAGTTAGAAAATAAATAGCCTGGAAGGCAGGTCAGCATTAGAGTGGAGACAGGTACATTTAATTTGCCTGTAGACACATCTTCATGTCAACTTGACTTTTCTTTGGTATGTGGGAATGAACCCAGAGCCTTGTGCAGGCTGAATATACTCTACCCCGGAGCTTAATCCATAGCCCGCCTTCCCAATCATTCCTACAAGACCTGGCTATCTTTGCTCTGACACCTGTTTGTGGCCCCAGAATCAAGGCTATATCCTGCATCCCTCACATGATCCAGACCAGGAGCTAAACATTCTTTTTTTTTTTTTTTTTTTTGGGGGGGGGGGGGCGGTTGGGTTGTGGGGCCTGAACTCTGGGCCTGGGGGCTGTCCCTCAGCTCTTCAGCTCAAGGTGAGCGCTCTACCACTTGAGCCACAGCGCCACTTCCGGCTTTTTTCTTTTTGCTTATGTGGTGCTGAGGAATCGAACCCAGGGCCTCATGCATGCAAGGCAAGCACTCTACCACTGAGCCACCTTCCCAGCCCCGAGCTAAATATTCTTGATAGAAGGGATAAAAAACACATTGGAAGTCTGGGAGCAGCAGGGACCCAGGAAGGATGGAGGCCTCCGATGTCACTAGACTAGAAAAACAGTCTCAGAAGTTCAGTGCAGACCTGAGCCTGGAATGACTGAGAGTACCCCATAGCAGGCATCCTCAAGAGAGTGCATGCTCCACGCCACAGAGGGGCAGGAGGGACGCTGGGCTCCTACTGCCCAGGGAGCTCAACTACAGGTGCTGCTCCAGCCACAGCAGAGAAAGACATCTGAGCTCAGGGCCCTGGCTGGAGTCACAGTGCGCACCTCAGCAAGCCTAGTGCCTCATGAAGCACAACACAAGCTGGCCGGTAAGCCTGCAAGGCCTGGCATACCTACGTCAGCTTGGAAGTCAAGGGCACACCCTCAAGGCTATTGGTAACTCAGAAGGCAGAGCATCCTCTCAGGTAGGGGACAATGGCAGCCAACAGCACTTGGGGGGACACAAACTTTCATTCTTAAGTCAATAATGCCCCAAGCAAGGGAAAGGGCTTTGTGGTAAAATACTTAACACACCAAAGCCCTAGGCTCCAGTTCCAGCACCCCCCAAAAAATAGAAAAAGAATAATGTCCAGTGCTATTTATTTTATTTTTCTGCCTGTTCTGGGGCATGAACTCAGGGCCTGAGTCCTGTTCTTGAGTTCCTTTAGCTCAGAGCTAGTGCACTACCACTTTAGGCCACTGTTCCACTCCTGGTTTGCCAGTGATTGATTGGAGATAATCTCACAGACTTTCCTGCCTGGGCTGGACCCTCAGATCTCAACTAGGATTACAGGCATGAGCCACCAGTGCCCAGCTGAACTTTTTTTTCATTCTTTTAACTAGAGAAGTTTTGACTGAAATCCATTTTACTCAGGTTCGTTGACAGACAAAAGTGCCTGCTGTAGTCAGATGAGCGACCTTTGTACTTTGAAATGTCCGCTATCTGTCAGTGCATTTCAGAGCCTACACATGTTCTCCACATGTGGCTAATACAGTACAAAGATCCAACTGAGATACAGCCATGGCCACACAGGCAGACAGGCAGGCAGACATCTGAACACCCCGGCCACACAAGCAGATATCTGAACCACACATATACAGAGGCACACGTGCACAGGCACACACACCTGACGTAAGTTCAATCAGGTACTCATCTATCCTCATACAGAACACCTCCTGAGAAATATATTTCAGAGAAATAACACATTTTTGGCAAGTTTCTACTATTTTTTTCCTCATACAAGAAATACAAACTTCCTGGTTGCAGGTGGAATGAGAAAGTCACTGCTGCAGACCACGCTGTTTCTCACAATAGGGTGGCTGATGGAACACCTTTGCTAAGAGGCAAAAGGCCCAGTTTCATATGACGCTTCACAAAGTCAAAAACTACCTAAATTGTCTTTTACGCAATGAAAGCATAAGAGCATTCAAACCAAGCTCTATGCTCTACACACACCCATCTGCAGAGGGGCAGGCTGAGCACCAGCACTACTGCTAGCAGCACAGAGGTCACCTGTGCAGTGCGGTGCCAGCCTGTGTGCAGGTCAAGACAGCGACCGTGAGCAACATGAGGCCCATATCACAACCGACAACTCCAGAAGCAAAAGAAAAACTAGACACTGGGTGTGGAGGCTTACTACTACCTACTTGGGAGGCAGAGGTCAAGGGACTGTAGTTTGAGGCCAGCCCAGACAGAAAAGTTCGTTAAGACCTCATCTCTACCAATGGTTGGGTGTGATGGTACACACTTACCACGCCAAGCTACGGGGGGAAAAATGGGGGTGGGCAAGGGAGCACATGGCTGTCAGCAAGGCCAATGAGGGAAGCACAAATAGGAGGACCACAGCCTGGACATAAATCAAGACCCTCTCTTGAACATAGCCTAAGCACAAAGGAACTGAGTATGGCTCAAGTGGTAGAGTGTTTGCCTACTAAGTATGAAGCTTTAACTTCAAATTCCAGTACTGTCAAAAGAAAAAGGAAAAAGAGAAAAAAAGATAAAAAGAATAAGAAGAAAGAAAAGCTGGGCTCTGGTGGAAAGGACTCACACAGCCACAGTGCAATCCTGGCCCCAGAGCTCAGTGCAGTTTCTCAGGCATGCAGAAGTGGCCACCATGAGACATCTCAGTCAGAACAATCAGAAACAGGCACTCATCACCTGGCATGAGCCTGTGATCTTTGACTTTTGCTCTCCTTCCTGAGATAGTCTTCATCTATTAAGCTCATCTCTCTCTCTCTTTTTTTTTGGTCTATATGGGGCTTGAACTCAGGGCCTGGGCACTGTCCCTGAGCTCCTTTGCTCAAGGCCAGTGCTCTATCACTTTACACCACAGCGCCACTTCCAGTTTTCTGGTGGTTAATTGGAAATAAAGAGTCTCACAGACTTTCTTGCACAGGCTGGCTTTGAACCGCGATCCTCAGATCTCAGCCTCCTGAGTAGCTAGGATGACAGGCGTGAGCCACAGGCACCTGTCCCTTATTCAGGTTTTGAGTGTTGTCAACTCACCTTCTAGTCTACTTCAGAGAAAACTGAGAAGTAAATACACATCCTTACTTATTAACAGTCATTCCAAACATTGCTTGCTTTTATGCGGAGTGGGTAGGTACTGGGATTTGACTGCTAAGCCTAAAAAATTTGAGCTACACCTTCAGCCTTATTTTTTATTTTCAGGTAGACTCTTGTGTTTTTCCTCAGGCTAGCCTCAAAAACCTCAATACTCCTGACCTCTGCCTCCTGAGTAGCTGGGATTACAGGCAGGAACCACTGAGCTCAACTAGTTCATTCACTTATTTATTTTTCTGCAGGGCTGAGGACTAAATCTAGGGTCTTGCAAATGGTAGGCAAGCACTTTACCATTAAGCCATTGCCCCAGTTCTTCAAGACTTAATTTAGCCAGGTACCAGTGGCTCACGCCTATAATTCTAGCCACTCATGAGGCTGAGATCTGAGGATCATGGTTCAGAGCCAGCCTGGGCAGGAAAGTCTGTGAGACTCTTATTTCCAATTAACCACCAGGAAACGGGAAGTGGGACTGTGACGCAAGTGGTAGAGTGCTCGCCTTGAGCAAAAGAAGCTGACAGCACCTAGGCCCAGAGTTCAAGTTCCAGGTGTGTGTGTGTGGGGGGGGGGGGGGGGGGGGGAGGGGAGGAGGGAGGGGAGAGAGTTAGTTTAGAATTAAAATTTAATATAGACTACGAAATGTAGAGTCTATGTGAGATAAAAGAACAGAAACTAGGAGACAGTGCAACACAGTGAATGCACGAAGACAGGTCACACATGTATACTGACACCTACTTAAGGGCCTGCAGTTACAACAGCCCCTTGTTTGCATATAGAGCTCCCCCCGACAGACACGTGTATGTGCGCACGTGCAGGTGCACATGTGTGTGTGTGTGAGAGAGAGAGAGAGAGAGAGAGAGAGAGAGAGAGAGAGAGAGGGAGAGAGGGAGAGGGGGAGAGAAGGGGAGAGAAGGAGAGAGAGAGGGAGAGAGGAAGAGAAGGAGAGGGAGAGGAGAGAGAGAAGGAGAGAGGGAGAGAGGGAGAAAGGGAGGGACAGGGACAGGGAGCAAGCCTATTTAATACTCGTAAAGGCCATATGCGGTATGAACTACAAGGGCTCCCATTTTATAGGTGAGAAAACTGAGCATAGGGCAGGTGCCTGGAGAGCGGAACTGGCCTGGGAAGTGACAGGGTATGGATGGCTGAGGCCAGCAATTTCCCACTCCTGTGGCCAACTGGGAACCTCTGTGAGGACTTTTAAAGTGAATCTTCCAGAAAGTGTAAAGTTCAAAGGCAAAAAGTTATTCTTTCAAAAGATACTGCATATACAGTTATGTGTTGTACTTAACAAACAAACATTTAATGTATAAGCAGCAAATATCTCAACCCCGTTGGCCCTGAAAACTGCTCAATGAGATAGAGGTTATAAAAACTTACTTTTTCTGAAGTTTACGGTTTTTCTCAGCCTGGCCTCCCAATTTGCTGAGCCCTAAGGCATCTTGAGATGAGTTTTCTGTCTCAGAGAGAGCAGCTGTGAGGAAAGAGAAACTGAGGTAGCATTCCCAGCAGGCAGAAGGCAGCTCTCTGCCACACACATACAGTAAGTAACACATGATGGCTGTTTGCAACCGAGCATATAGAACTGCAACTCCCATCTGAATTGCTAATGGTTCATAACAAGTGAACAAAACCAGCAATCGATTCACTGGTTCACATCAGCACCGACTCATGGGACAATGCATCTGGGTGCTGGCCATGCACGCAGACACAAAACGAGAGCCCACCTACGCTTACTGCAAACCAACCAACCTTGTCCTGGTGAGTCTTTGCCCATTTGTCCAGGCCGGCCCTTTTCCTTCTTGCCAAACAAGCGGCCAATAGAGGACTTGATGCCCTTCTTCTTCGGGGCTTTATGGAGTGAGTCCTGGCTGCTGTTACTACTGCTGGGATTGCTCACGGGGCCATCCTGGGAGCCTGTCGAGCTTTGAGAAGAGAAATCAGGACTTTGTGACACGCCCTTATAACAACACTCTATACTCACAGGGGCTATGACATTGTTGACATTTTCCTGGGTTTTTTCCAGACAAGGTCTCGGTATGTATCCACCCGAGCCAAAGGAATACAGGTGTGTGCTGCCATGCTCAGCCGATTGCTCGGCTTTGTATTTACTATATTTATTATTTCTAAAGCATATTAGTATGGGGGGATTATGGTGACATTTCCCCACATGCATACAATGTACCCCAACCAAACACACCCCTGTATCATTCCCCTTCACCCTCCTCCCACCTTCTTGGAACAATTTTGACAGGCTTCACTGTTCTATCTTCATTCACACACCTGAAGTACTTCCACCCTATTCGCTCTCATCTGCCTTTTCCAAACTACCCTCTTGAGCCAGTAGCTACCCTCAACATTGCCTGTCTTACTTTCTTCTCCTCCTCTGTTGCTGCTACTTTTTGGTGTATATTAATTGTACAAAGAGGTTTTACAATGGTAATTCATATGCACATATATAATTTAGTCAGATTAACCTTATCTATTGTTCTCTTTCTAGTATTGCTTTTTGGAGAAAAGGTATCATTATGTAGCTCAGGCCGCCCTGAAGTTTGAGATTATCCAGTTTCAACCTCCCTAACTGGGATTACAGGCAAAAACCACCACACCCAGCTTACTTTGCATTTTGAATATTTGTCTCTCAAACCTCCTAAAAAACCTTTTAAGTCTTACACCGCGTGTGTGTGATGCTCTATAACACAGCCACCAGCGCAGCTCAAAGAACACTGTTTTCTGAAGCCTAGATTTCTTCCCAGGTGGTACTCCCTTTTGGAGCAGGCCTGACCCCAGCGATGGCCCTTCTCAGGAGCCTCCCTCATCCCATGCGAGCTGCTCCCAGGCCCAGAGATGAGGGCTGGCAGGAAGAGCACAGCCCTGGAGAGAAAGGGCAGAGCTCCTGCCCCTTTCAGCAGCTGTGTGGTCATGGCACCGGTGTGTCCCCCCCTTAGCACGGTGTCACCCAGCAATGACGGGACAGGGTGGGAAGCCGCTTCAATAGAGAGGTCTCAAGAGCAATAAACAGGGCTATCCACAGAGGAACATGATCAAAAGCTGCCATTTGTGGGACAAATTCAACATCACCAACAGAAAGGTCTCAAGAGTTCACAGTTGGGAATCTGAAGCAACAAGAACTGACTTCACATAACACCCCTTTCCGAACTTTGGCCACACAGAAGCATCTACTGCTGGATGTCATGTCAGGCCAGCAGTGGCAGCCATCCCAGGGCTAGCGCTCAGTAATTACAACTCAGCAGTAAAAAGGTAATAACTAAGGCCTTGTGCTTACTAAGCAGGGGTGATACAACTTAAGTTACAGGTTTTTGGGGGAGTTCCAGCCCTGAGGCTTGCCTTAGGGCCCAAGTATAGTCCCTGAGCTTTTGCTCTACCACTTGAATCAAGATCTACCTCTGGCTTTTTGGTGGTTAATTGGAGGTAAGAGTCTCACAGACTTTCCTGCCAGGCTGACTTCAAACCATGATCCTCCGATCTCAAACTCCTGAGTAGCTAGGATTATAGGAGCCACCGGCATGGGGCTTGACTATTTTTTCTTTTTTTAATCATTATTCTTAAGCCCAATACAAGATGGTTTCTGCACAGCATGGGGGGTCCATATACTCCACTCCTTACTTTCGCAGGTCCCTGATGTCTTCGTGGCTGACCGTATGGAGTGCGCCTTTGTGCAGCCTGTCTAAGCGCAGGGACCTCGGGGAGGAGGGGGGAGAAGTTTCACATTTTATGGTTGTCTTGTCATCGCGTACCTCTTCTCTGGAAGCTGGCAACTAAAGGGTAAGACAAAAGCAAAATTACTTTACAGCAGACGGCTAATAAAAACCACACTGTCTTTTAATTATACTCATAAACTTCCTTGAGAACCTCAGGCTACATTTTCCCACTGGAAGGAGGAAGGAGGCTGTGGCACAGAAGGCCACAGTCCGCCTCCATGCATGAGGATGAGGAGCCGCAGACTTGGGGACACCTGCTGCCTCCTCAGCTCAGCTCTGCTCTTCTAGGCACACTCAGCGACACTCATCAGAGGGCAGTAAGGACGTAAGCACTGCTGCCAACATCACCCTCAGCAATAAAAGAAAAAGCTTACCCCATGATGAGGGGCCATGGCAGGCATGTCACTCAGGAGCGCTGGGAAGGGGAGAAGTCACTCTGAGAAATGGGCAGTACATTTTTGTCTATGGGGAAATACAGGAATGGGCTTGGACCATGAGCCAAACACATATCCAATGTGTGTCTGGACTGGAATCGTTGGTCCACAGCTTAAACCCTTGGGCTCCATGTGTTTAGAAAAACAATGCTGGGTTTGTCTTTAAAGGAGGACCTGACAGACCTGTTGGGGTTTTTTGCCATGAGTCATGAGCACAGATGTGTCCCTGGGAACACAGGGTAGTGGACAGATCAGTCTGAAGGCAGACCCAGGCAGGCTGCACAGAGAGGCCCATGCTCCTGGTTTGAAGTAGGACTGAGTTCATGAGATACCAGAGGCAGGCACTACACAAACACTAGGACCTGAGCAGCTACCTTCTCCTGGAGGGAGCAGTACTGGGGCTTGAACTCAGGTCTTGTACTTGAGCCATGGCCCCTGCCCTTTTTGTTACAGATTGTTTTTCAGATAGGGTCTCATGTTCTTGTCCCTGAGTGGGATCCTCCTGCATAGCTGGGATCACTGAGGCACACCAATAACCCTGGCGTATCGACCAAGATCGAGTATTGCTAACCTTTTGTTTGAGATGGCCTTGAACTGTGATTTTCCAGATTTCTATTAACTTTTTAAATGGGACTGTGTGTGAAGTACATAGGTCCCACTGCAGCTGAATGAGACTCAATGGATTTGGCTTAGTGGAGCTGAGTCTACTGAGGATATACCCTAGCCACCAGCAGATACCTCTGCAGTGTCCCTAACCTCTATGTGGCCACAGCAGAAAGGGATGTCAAGGCTCAGGCCAGGCTTAGTGCTAGAGTACCTGATTAGGAGGCCGCTGGCCCCAGGTTCTAGTCTAGCACTGCCCCCTAAAGGCCTAACACAGCCAGAGATTATCCATATGACACTTAACAATTTAAATATTCAGGTTGAAGCTGGTAGCTCACACCTATAATCCTAGCAACTCCAGAGGTTGAGATATGAGGACTGTGGTTTGAAGCCAGCCCAGACAGGAAAGTCTGTGAGACTCTTTATCTCCAATTAACCTCGAAAAAAATCCAAAGAGCTGAAGTGGAGCTATGGCTCAGGTGGTAAAGCACTAGCCTTGAGTACAATAGCTTAAAGACACAGTGTCTAGGCCCAGAGTTTAAGCTTCAGGACCAGGGGGAAAAAACATTCAGGTCACAACAATCATGTTAGCTGGGCGCGGGTGGCTCACGCCTGTAATCCTAGCTACTCAGGAAGCTAAGATCCGAGGATCGCAGTCCAAAGCCAGCCCAGGGAAGGAAAGTCCGTGAGACTCTTATCTCTAATGAACCACCAAAAACCAGAAGTAGTGCTGTGGCTCAAGTGGCAGAGTGCTAGCTTTGAGCTGAAATGCTGAGGGACAGTGCCCAGGCCTAGAGTTCAAGCCCCACAACCAAAAAAAAAAAAAAAAAAAAATCAAGGAACTGGCCAGGTACCAGCTGGGGCAGAAAAATCTGAGAGAGACTATCTCCAATTAACCAGCAAAAAAGCTGGACTAGAGAGAGGCATGGCTTAAGTGGTAGAGTGCCAATCATGAGTAGAAAAGCCAAGGCGGAGTTGAGGAACTGGCAATTCATATGGCAGGAGGTAAGCTAAGAGGTCCTAGCTGGACGCCATGGTAGCAGGGGCTCCTCACTGGGCAACCCTGAAGGAGACTTGTGGGCTGGTCCGGCTTGCACTGCCCTCTGTGCTAGCACCAAGGTGGGGCACAGACCTGCCCTACATGTCTCAGACTGTCCTACAAGAGGCGTGAGGGCAGGGAAGCCCCTAAGTCTAGCCAGCAGTCCGAAGGAGAAGGTCAGACGCAGGCAGTGTCTGGCCCCGTGCCATCTCTGTGGACACAGTACTAGATCAAGCCACAGAGCCTCCAGGACAGGCTGCTCCAAGTTTTTTTAGGCTGCACACTGAAAGTACCAGTGACAAGAACACAAGGTGATCTTGTGCCTGAGCAGGTTGGGCTATAAAAGCCCAAGTCAGAACCAACTACAAGTCAGCTGTCCAGAGGGTATTCCCAAGGTGAAACACTACAACAGACTAGCCAAGCACAAAGCCTGGTGCCTAGAGCAGAGCAAGACTTACTGATCTTATCTACACTTCCCGCCTAGCTAGAAGGACAGGCACATGCAATCACACAAGCTTTTTTTATCTGCTGAGATGAGTTCTCGTAAATCCAGGCTGACTTCACACTGTAATCCTCTGTATCTCAGCCTTTTAAGTAGCTAGGATTTCATTCAGTTTTTTTTTTTAACTCTGAATACCATGCCTACCATAAACAAGCATGTGACGCTTAGCTGCAGGACCAGTGAGCAAGCAGCACTGGCTCCCATGTTCCCAGCCATGACACATCAGTCATTCAGCATCACACCCCAGCACAGCGCTACACTTGTGAAATACCATATGCCTCAACCATTCCGGAGACAGGAAGACATGTGACGTTACTAAGTAGTTTACCTTTCTACGATGCTTCCTTAAATCACTAGGCTGATAGATGCATGCAAAGAAATGAAGAGAAATCAGATTTACCACACACTTTGAAGTTAAATTTCAAGCATTAATACAGACAAACAGATATTAAATGGAAATGACAGGGCAGATATAAGTGACAAAGAATTTAGAAAAATATTTCTGTAAGCAGAATAAACAGAACACATTTTCAATGTAAACTTAATAAAAATTATTCATCAGAGAACCACTATACATTAGTGTTCAGAGATAAAATTCTATTTGAACACACTGTAACTTACTGAAACATGGCTTCTACAACAAAGGGCCCTAATGATTATCTTCTCCAAGTCAACTCTCTGTGTAACTTAGCTTTAATACAAAACAGAATTGTGAACATTCTAATTGGTCCTAACTTATTGTAACACCTATTATTAAAGCAAAACAAACTTACTTTTAGTTAATAATCTATTGGACATTAATGCAAAATCCTTACCTAGAATTTGATTTACAACTTCTTAAAAATAAATTTATTGCGTAAAGCAAGGTATCCTGTGAAAATATGTAAGAACAAAAGCTAGCATAGTATCAGGTAAAATCTTACATCTTATGATGCATGTAAGACATTTCATTAAAAATCATCTATAACAGATACCCTCAGTAAGCTGATGATACTGACGTCTCGATTACAACCACCTTTAAGAGCTGAATGCACACTTTATGCACGGAGTTTCTGCTGATTCCACACTCACCGGCTCATCTGTTTATATAGCAGTGTCTCACTGCCGAGTCACACAGATTGTGGGTGTAGAAACACTCAACCAACTATCCCATGACTGTGTCCTTTATAATGCAAAGGACTTTTTATGAAAACTCTCGACCAGCCACTGCATAGGCTAGTGCAGCACAGATCTGCCCTGGTGGCCAGGTCCCCAGGCAGGTCATGAAGAGGGTCAGAGCATGGGCCACTGGATGGACACATATCGAACGATGGAGACCTGGGGCCTGGATCCAAAGTGACACACACAAGGATGACGACAGAAGCAGATCCTGCCAGCTAGCACACTGCCTATGAAGCTAGGAAAACGCATAGTTACTGCTAAAGTGGCAGGAAGGAAATAAGGATGAGGACCCAAAAGAACCCATCAGAGTGTAAAATATTTCCTGACTAGCAAGTGATGTACATTATAAAAACTCTGTGTCAAAACAGCACCAAATAGACTGCTGACCACTTACTATGCCGCTAAACGATTTAATGACGTGAGCAACAATGAGACTGCAGTGCATCTGGAAAGGGCCGAGGAGGTGATTCAGGTGTGGCTGGAGAGTCATCTCACAGGCAGAACAGCCTATACCCAGGATGGAAGTGGCCCCAGCGAGGAGTGAAGCCCCCAGCCTCTAAGAGGCCTTAGGTGGCTGCAGAACCTCCTCGGCCTTGTTTCCTGACCTCATTCCTGGAGCCCCCTGAAGGTCTCTACAGTAACCAGATGCACACCACTCCGTATACTGAGACATCTGTCTGCGTTTTCTTTTGTTAATTGTCTATTCCTACAAAACATGAAGTATTTTCCCATCTGGCTGCTGTGCCTTGCACAAACCCCTGTCTAGTATTACATAACTAAACGTTGCTCTGATAACTTGGTTACATCAAAATTTACTTGGCATAGTTGAATGGTTAAATACTAGCTAGTGAAAAAAATGTGCCCTTAAAATAACACATCAACTTGATTTTCATCTGGGTAAAGAGATGTGGGTTCTGAGTGTGACTTCACACAGGGTGCTTACCAGAGTCATGACGCCCAGTCTGTCCACCTCCCGAGCGGGGCTATGAGGCACCCTTCTTGGGGTGGAGCGGCCGCTTCCTGGAGGGGAGGAGCTGGCAAGTGAGGAAGCAGGGTAGGGGGGAATGGAGCTCATCGACCTAAAACGACCAAGGTTGTCTAAACTCCCACTGCCGACTCGACTCTCAATCTCCTCTGCCCTTTGCTCTGTGCTCTCCTTCTCTTCTTGGATCAACCTAAAATCAAAGCAACAACAGTCACCATCTCTCCAGCAGCAAACAAACGTCAGGGTGTACACAATGAGGAGCTTTGTTCTGTATCTGTGAGCAAACTACATCGAACACTTAGCAAAACTCTTCTACTCCCTCATGAACAATAAACAGTAAACTTCCCACTGAGTCTTGCTAAAATGGTTCTATCATTTGTATTTGCTTTTACATAGAGGAGGCTGGTTGGCACCTACTTCTATGGTTGTAGCTATTAATCTCCTTGCTAAAGCAATGGGGTAAACCTTATGACTCTTAGCCAGGTGCCAGTGGCTCACACCTGTAAGTAATCCTAGCTACTCAGGAGGCTGAGATCTAAGGATCACGGTTCAAAGCCGGCCCAGACAGGAAAGCCCATGAGACTCTTATTTTAGAAAACCAGAAGTGGTGCTGTGGCTCAAAGTGACGGAGCACTAGCCTTGAGCTGAAGAGCTCAGGGACAGAGCCCAGGCCCAGAGTTCAAGCCCCAAGACCAACAAAAAATAAAATAAAATAAACTTTATGATTCTTACCTCCCTACTCTTAAAACAAAGCTGTACATTTAGCTACAGATTTCACTGAAACTCAGGAACCCTGACACAAAGAACTGACCTACGGCTGGGAAGGTGGCTTGCCTTGCATGTATGAGGCGCTGAGTTGGATTCCTCGGCACCACATGAGCAGAAAAAGCCGGAAGTGGCGCTGTGACTCGGTGGTAGAGCGCTAACCTTGAGCTGAAGAGCTGAGGGGCAGTGCCCAGGCCCAGAGTTCAGGCCCCATGACCAGCCCCCTCACCCACCCAAAAAAAAGAACCAATCCCCGTGGGAGTTCCCAGTGTTTCACTGCGCACTGCTTAGATTTCGGTATAAGCTGCAGGGGTGGACCAGTCTGGACTTCAAGACTAACTCTTCTGCCACACAGCACTACAGATGACCCAACACAGCTGTAATACCTGACTATACCAATAACAACTGTTCCAAAGAGCACAGAAGCCTTATTGTGACCCTTCAGCTAAAGTTCTACTTCAATATTCTAAGAAAAGTTATTTATTATTACTAACAGAAAGCAGTTTAGAAGCCAAGGATGTATCTTACTCTCTGTATCTGATCAACTTGATTAATAAAGAATATTTTTATCAAGCAATACTGTCAAAAGCAAACGCTAAATGGAAGTAAATTTCTCCATTTCCCGCAGCAGTGGGAAAGGCTCTCTTTCCACACCCACCACCTGCAGATTCAGCTGGCGTCAGAAACCCAGGCAGCAGCTCACTTTGCTCTGAAGCCCGTGTGCTTGGGAAGTTGGCCATGCTGACCTCTCCTCTGCCTGGCCCTCTCCAGAAAGGAAAGGGCACTTCCCCCCTTTCCATTTTGTAGAACAAAGTAGCAATGCCCTTAGCTCTCAGCAAGGTCCTGCTGGCTGCTGTTTGCAAGGGCCCAGGCCTGGTTGGGGTTCTACCTGGTCTCAGCCCATGCAGCTCTTAGGGCACTGTGACCTAGTGCTGTGCCCCAACGCCACCCTCCTGACCACAACGGGGTCCTAAGGCCTCTCACCCACTGCATGGGCAATGCGTGGCTCCGATTCCACAGGCAGCCGCTGTTGGGCCACATCCTATTATAACAGCTACCAGAGTTACTGAAGAAAAAACCCTTTAAGACATCGATGACAGTGAGAAAAGTCAGATGACAGTTGTTGGCCCTCATTTTCCTTCTGAGGAAGAAGTAGGAAACCCTGTGCCCAGCATGAGGGTGTGCAACAGGAACTGGATGGCGGGCTTGTGGGCATAAGGCTGTGTGCTGACCATGCTAGGGGATGCATGGGGACTGCGAGGCTCGGAGTCAAGGGGCACTCTGCTTGGGCAGGTTGGTAAGTAGCAATCTACTTCCCACCACACTCTCCATCCTCTGCTGGCATGTCTCCTTGTCCCTCTGTCATCCAGCACTGGCTGATGGCTCATAGGGTACACACACATCTTCCCTGTGTACCACTGTCCTGCAAGGCACAACTCTCTGGATGGCCCTGGACCCTCCAGCTGGGTCTCTCCATTTGTCTTCCACCACTGGGAAGGGCACTGAATACCTTCCTCCCAGCATCCTATACCGAAGCCTGAGTCCTGTGATTGTGGGGAGGCTGCTTGGGTTATCTGAGCTGGAATCTAAAATTCTTCACACTGGCTTTCAGCTCGTCATGATGGGCCCCTGGGCCAATGGGAGCACGCTGGCCCTACGTACTGCAGGCGCCGCTGGGAATGGGCCCCCAGCATACCTGATCTCCTTATTGATGGCATCCAGCTGCTCCTGAAGCATCATGGCCAGTGTCTGTGCATCAGCCTGCCCACTGGGCGACAGCAAGTCCACCGAGCTCAGCAGAGGGTCCCTGTCATCTTCACCGTCAGACACATCCACATCACTCTCGAACGCCTGGGCCACATTTGCCAAGACGCTGGCCTGCTGGGCTCGTTCCCAATCTTGCTCATTGAGAGTTTGCACCTGTTGATGGGAAAACACATCTTAGCACATTCAGCAACAGGCCTTATTCGGTCATCAAAAAGTCAGCAACAGGCCTTATTCGGTCATCAAAAAGGTCAATGTTTTAAATAGAGGCCCAGAGAGTATGGAAAGATGGATGGGTCACCTCCTCAAGCTGCTGATATATGCTAACCAGATGGTATTTAAGACAGGAGAAGCTGGGAACTGGCGGCTCACATTTGTAATCCTAGCTACTCAGAAGGCTGAGATCTGAGGATCATGTTCTAAAGCCAGCCCAGGTAGGAAAGTCCATGAGACTTTTATTTCCAATGAACCACCAGAACACCAGAAGTAGGGCTGTGGCTCAACGTGACAGAGCACTGGCCTTGAGCAAAAGAACTCAGGAGCAGCACCCAGACCCTGAGTTCAAGTGCCATGACCTAATAAACAAACAAACAAATAAATAAATGAGACAGGGAATAGTCATCCAATCACTCAGCAGGCTATGATAGGAAGACTTTTAAATCAAGTCCAGTCTGGACTAAGTAGTGAGATCTTGACTCAACAAAACATTTAAAGGAGCCAAGCACCGGTGGCTCACGCCTCTAATCCTAGCTACTCAGGAGGCTGAGATCTGAGGATCATGGTTCAAAGCCAACCTAGGCAAGAAGCCTGTGAGACCCTATCTTCCATTAACCACTAGAAAACCAAGGAACTATGGTTCAAAGTGACAAGAGCACTAGCCTTGAGCAAAAAGAACTTAAGAGACAGTGCCCAGGCCCAAATTCAAGCCCCCAAACCCACCAAAACATAAAAAATAAAAATAAAAGGAAGAAGAAAAAGACAAAGAACTGGGAGAGGAGGCTAATACAGTGTTCGGACCACCTTGTGTGTGCCTGACATGTGACTCGTGACTGGGAGATAGCAATCAAACAAAAACTGAACATTAAAACCAGATATCCATCTTGGCTCCAACCGGTGCTCTTTAATGGGAAGTAAAAAATGACCCAACTTGTTGAGTGCCAGTGAATCACATCTCTGATCCTAGCTACAGGTAGGAGCTGAGATCTGAGGATCACAGTTCAAGGCCAGCCCCAGCAAACAAATCCAAGAGATTCATATCTCCAACTAACCAGCAGAAAGCCATAAGTGGAGGTATGTCTCCAGTGACAGAGTTCCAGCCTTGAACAAAAAAAGCCAAGAGAGGGTGTGAGGCCCTGAGTTCAAGCACCAGTATGGGAAAAGCACGAGTAGGGAAAAATGATCAAACTCCATACCAGTTGGATTCACTTAGCTACACAGCCACTACCACACCCCATGTCAGTAGTGCCAAGGTGATCCTGAGCTCCAAGCTTCCCTTTCCTGAGCCCAGTCCCTTGCCATCCAGGTGGCAGGCAGCTGGCAGAGGTGGATTTTTTTAGAGCAGCAGCTCGCGTGTAAGACTTGAATTTGTAATCAGAACACACACAGGACAGCCGGGTGTGATAATTTCACACTCCCCTTTCTGATCTCACCCCTGTTCTGTGGGGGTGAGAACCTGCCCTGATCCCTAGGACCTCCTCCCTCCTAGGGAGCGCTCCGTCCTATTAAGCTAAGAACAGTTACTCTTGCCTCCTACCTCAAAACAAACAATCACAAAACCTTCACCTCCACTCCAGTCTTCTGCCTCCTGCCCCCCCACTTCTCTGCTCTGCCGTGTGAAACCTCTGTAGCTGCTCGTTCCCGCTGTTCTGGGCATCACACTCACCAGCAGAACTGCAGCAGGGCAGTGCTGTAAGACCTCATCTCTCCTGGCTTCCTCCTACCTGACGCTCTGTTCCATGTCCCTCTGGCTTAAGTCTGGTGGCTCAATGGACTGTGGCCCTGCCAGCTGCTTCCGTGAATGATCACACCTTGTCTCACATCTTTAAATGCCACCTGCAGACAATGCTCACAACCGCTCCCCCTCCAGCCACACCTAGTTTTTTATCCCCAGTTCTGGGTGACTGCATTTTCTGCAGCTGACTCCTCCCTCGATAGGCCTGTCAACCTGAACACAGCCACGGCTCAGGTCCACCTTCCCCACCCACCTCAGGAAGCAGACTCCATCCTTGTAGATGCAGAAGCCATACCCTCCATCCTTTGCCCTGCGCGTCACACTGCACACCTGCTCCCTCAGCAGGCCCTGCTGCGCCTGACAGTCCAGAATCAGATCCATCCCTGCCCTCTTCCTGCAGCCCTCTGCTCTCACATCATCCTCATGGTGATGGCTCTTGGCTACTCTGGTTAAGATTCTCCTCATCACTCTGCAACTCAGGCACGTGGCACCCTCCCTCGTGTCCTGCTTATTACCATCTGACAGAATGGGATGGATGAGAAATATGTCCACAAACTCTGTAGCTTTAGAAGTGTGTGACTTCCAGGATGAGGAGGCGGCAAGCGCCTTCTCCTGGCAGTCTCCAAACGTGTGCTCTGAGGGAAGGACCCTCAGGCACCTAGCTACGTGAGTACGCCTGCTGCCTTCCCACAGCTGTAGGCAAAGGAGTGCCTGCGCCTGAGGCATCCTTCGGGTGACTCTTGGACTCACCTGCGAACTGTCAAGTTCACTGAGGTCCCCACTCGGCCTGGTCACCAGCTGGGTATGTGGCACTGGATCACCAGCCCCAGGCTACACCTCACCAATGGCTCATTCCTCCTCACTAAGCTGTGTGCTCCGGGACACGGACACTGCGCCTGCCCTGCAGGTGACCATGGCCACAGAGTGGACACTGAGGTGGATCCCAGCCCATGCTGTGGCAGAGGTCAGTGCGAGGATGCTGCAGCCGGCTCTGGGCAGCACCTGGGGGAGTCTTCAGAACTGGTCACCAGGGGAAAGGCTGCTTCCCCACCACAAAGCGAGCAGCTCCACTCCATCACCAGGCTGACCAAACGCACACCCAAACTCACAACCGTGACTGAAGTCAACCTTTTGTCTTCGTAAGCAGACTGTCTCAGATATGTATTCCGGTAGCAGAAATGTATTCATTTAGCCAAAACGTGTACTCATTTAACCAACATTTGTGTTAAAGGAAAAGAAAAAAGAACAGCAGCAACAAAAAAAGCAAGCATGACCTTCAAGTAACTCGTAGCAGAAAAGCCAGGAGACAGGCACGGGGGAGAAGTCACAGAGGCAGAAGACAGTGGAAGGGAGGGCTCCAGGACAGAGGTGAGGGTGGACAGTGGAGGGGAGGGCTCCAGGACAGAGGTGAGGGTGGACAGTGGAGGGGAGGGCTCCAGGACAGAGGTGAGGGTGGACAGTGGAGGGGAGGGCTCCAGGACAGAGGTAAGGGTGGACAGTGGAGGGGAGGGCTCCAGGACAGAGGTGAGGGTGGACAGTGGAGGGGAGGGCTCCAGGACAGAGGTGAGGGTGGACAGTGGAGGGGAGGGCTCCAGGACAGAGGTGAGGGTGGACAGTGGAGGGGAGGGCTCCAGGACAGAGGTGAGGGTGGACAGTGGAGGGGAGGGCTCCAGGACAGAGGTGAGGGTGGACAGTGGAGGGGAGGGCTCTGGGATAGAGGTGAGGGTGGACAGTGGAGGGGAGGGCTCCAGGACAGAGGTGAGGGTGGACAGTGGAGGGGAGGGCTGAGGGACAGAGGTGAGGGTGGACAGTGGAAGGGAGGGCTGGGGGGGCAGAGGTGAGGGTGGACAGTGGAGGGGAGGGCTGGGGGGGCAGAGGTGAGGGTGGACAGTGGAGGGGAGGGCTGGGGGAGCAGAGGTGAGGGTGGACAGTGGAGGGGAGGGCTCCGGGACAGAGGTGAGGGTGGACAGTGGAGGGGAGGGCTGGGGGGACAGAGGTGAGGGTGGACGGTGCAGGGGAGGGATTGGGGGGGGGCGCGGAGGCCTTGCCTTGGAGGGCTCGTCCCGCAGAGCCGCCAGCCGGCCTTTCTGGGGGCGCCGTAGCACGGCACTGGTGCTGAAGGCGTCCGTGTGCCCATCCGCCACGGGGAACCGGAAATCCGGGACACTGCCCAGGTGGGGTCTGCTGAAATGTCAAAGGAAAGGGTGTTATTAGAACAGTCCAGTAACTGGGTGACTTGTCATTCAGCTGGAAACTGGCCATCTGGAAAATGCGTGCTCTCATGCAGGAAAAGGTAGGCAAGAAGGCAGGCCACCTGTGAGTGCCTCCAGAGCCACACGTTGCTACTGCTAGGCAGCCATTTACTGCTCATGGGGCAGGAGAAGCGCATGGTGGCACACAGGGAGGAGCAGGGAGTCCAGCCACCCGGTCTGAAAATCTGCCTTCAGCTAAGTTCAGGTCCTGTGCTTCCCTGGCTGACCAGCAGGGCGCCTGGCTGCCACATCCAGGCTTTCCCCGGACGCCAAGATCCCTGTGGGAGAGGCACCAGCCACAAGTGCTCCTGGAGGCCCTGAATGCCGCTGAAGTCCTTTCAGCTTGTCTGGGGAGGCTGGGGCTGGCTTCTAGGTTTCTGAACCCAAGACACAATTGTGCACAGTGAGGCCACAGAAACCAATCCTCAGGCTGAAGGAGTCTCCAGAAAAGGGGGTAGAGAGAGGGCTGGACCAACCAAGATGGCAGAGCTGAGGAGCAGTGGCCATTCCATTCCCATGGGCCAGGCACAGCGGGGCAGCGGGAGTCAGTCATGGCGCCCACCACCACGTCCATCCTGGGGCAGCCTTGTTTCTGCTTCCTCTAAGCTCTTAGTTCCTGAGAATGGAGGCTGCTGTGGGATGCTCTGCAGTGAAGCCCACACTACCCAGCAGGATGGCTGTGCCTCAGACCCAGGCTCTTCATTCCTCCTACCCAGGGCCCATGCCATCCTGTGGTGACCAGTGTCTTTCTAAGTCTGACATGGAGTCTCCAGATCCACCTCCTGGCACTGTCCCCTTGGGGTTCCCAGAGCTAACACCTCCTCTCCCTTGTCACATGCCATTTATCACACCCCAGGCTAGGCAAGCCTATCTTAAAACTTGCCCTTGGCCAGACGGCTGTAATCCTACCTACTCAGGAGGCTGAGATCTGAGATTCATGGTACAAAGCCAACCCAGGCAGGAAAGTCTGTGAGACTCATATCTCCAATTAACCACTCAGAAAACAGGAAGTGGCGCTGTGGCTCAAGTGGTGGAGTGCTAGCCTTGAGCTGAAGAGCTGAGAGACAGTGCCCAGGCCCAGAGTTCAAGCCCCAAGACCAACCAAAAACAAAAAACACACACACAAAAAAAACTTACCCTTCTTTTTTTGTTAGTCGTGGGGCTTGAACTCAGGGCCTGGGCGCTGTCCCTCAGCTCTTCAGCTCAAGGCTAGCGCTCTACCACTTGAGCCACAGTGCCACTTCCGGCTTTTTCTGCTTATGGGGTGCTGAGGAATTGAACCCAGGACCCATTGCATGCAAGGCAAGCGCTCTACCACTGAGGCACCTTCCTAGCCTTGCCCTTTTTATTTTTTTAAACCAATCATGGGGCTTGAACTCAGGGTCTGAGTGCTGTTCCTGAGCTCTGTTGCTCAAGGCTAGCACTCTACCATTTAAACCACAGCTCCACTTCCACCTTTTTGGTGGTTCACTGGAGGTAAGTCTCTGGGACTTCCCTGTCTGGGCTGGCTTCAAGCTAAAATCCTCAGATCTGGCCTTCTGAGTAAGTAGGGTTACAGGAGTGAGCCACTGCTGCCCAGCTTCCCCCTTCCTTTTGTTGCCACTTCAACCTCTCTCCTCTTTATTACTACAGCTGTTAGTTCAAGAAAGCCATACATCAAAGTCAGGAGATATGTGGAATCACAGCACTCAGAAGGCAGAGGAACGAAGACTGAAAGCCAGCTTCACAAGCCTCCTGCCAAAAAAGGACTGAGAACCTGGCTCAAGCAGCAGAGCACCTGCCTAACCAACAGGAGGCCTTGAGTCCAACCCTGAACACCACAAATCAAGTGGGGAGGATCACACATTGTGTTGTTAGTAACTGTTCAGACACACATCGCACCGCTCCTCCCTCACCTGGGCAGGACCTGTGGTGGCCAGGGCCCCACTGACCACATGAGCCTTTTAGGGTGCATTCCACCCCAGCTCTCCATCCTCCTGGCCCTCAGCAAGCAGTAGCACTGCCCCTGGAAAGTTCTCTGGTTATGCAGAAAGTCAACCTTTCTGGCTCTCTGAAACTGTCCTCAGTGCCTTCTCTTGCAGCTGTCTAGAAGTAGGTTCAATAAAGATGCCCTCACTTTTCCTAGTACCCAATGCACAAGTGTGTGCACTGGCTCTGCCCTCTCCACTAAACACGCTTCGAGCAAAAGCCTGTTTCCTGTAACCTGCGGTCACCAGGGAACCACTCGGGAACTTCTGCCAAAGTTTAATTTTCACTTGATGGTGGTTTTCTTCAAAGACACAAAATTTAAATATTTTAATAAGAACCACCTCCATCATAAAGTAAAAAAAAAACAATAAGGATGCAGGGTTGTATGTAGGCGTGTGACCAGATCCATTCACAGCCAAGTGACTCAGCCTGTATCAGCCTATCCCAAGTCATACCTCAGCCGATGTGACTATGATGGAGTCCCCTGAGCTCTGGCTGTACAGACACTCCTTCAGCACCAGCAGCGCTGTGCAGCGGGCAGCTCTTGAGAAGATGGGGTCTTTCTATAGCCCTGGACTCCGTGCTGTCCCCACAGCATCCGCATCACACTCTGTGGGAGTGGTCATGCCTACACTGAACCTGCTCTATTGTTTCTGAGTGTTTCCAGCCACACGCTGCCCTAGCACAAGTTCCTGCCTTGAGATGGATGCTTTACTCTCAAGATCAGGCCCTGTGCTATCTCCAACCACACTGCCACATGGCAAGGCGTACAAGGTGCTGAAACGCAGGGACTAGTTTGTTAACAACATACCCATGGTGAAGTGAGGCGCCTCTCAGTCTCATCTGGTCTAGTTCGGCCCTCAGCGCTTCAATGTTGAGGACTAGCTGGTCCTGTAAGACAGCAGATGATTTATAGTAAAAGCTCTCTTTCATGTTAAAGAAGTATTTGCAGCCGGGCGCTGGTGGCTCAGGCCTGTAATCCTAGCTACTCAGGAGGCTGAGATCTGAGGATTGCGGTTCAAAACCAGCCCAGGCAGAAGAGACCGTGAGACTCCTATCTCCAATAAACCACCAGAAAACCAGAAGTGGCGCTGTAGCTCAAGTGGTAGTGCGCTCGCCTTGAGCTGAAGAGCTGAGGGACAGTGCCCAGGCCCAGAGTTCAAGCCCCACGGCCGACCAAAAAAAAAAGAAAAGTAGTATTTGCAGGGAGAGAGCAAGGGAAGGGATGACATTGTTCAAAAAGGAATATATTCATTTACCTAACTTTTGGGGTTGTTTTTGTTTGTTTTTGGTAGTGAGGCTTGAACTCTGGGCCTGGGCACTGTCCCTCAGCTCTTCAGCTCAAGGCGAGTGCTCTACCACTTGAGCCACGGCGCCACTTCCGGTTTTCTGGCGGCTTATTGGAAAGATGAGTGTCACAGACTTTCCAGCTGGGGCTGGCTTTGAACCACGATCCTCAGATCTCAACCTCCTAAGTAGCTAGGATATGAGCCACCGGCACACAGCTTACCTGACTTTTGTAACCATAGCCTTTCTATCACCTTTATAATAACAATTTTTTTTAAAAATTTGCATTGAACACACATAAATGTTGAACATAACTGTAGCAGGTTAAATTAGCAGTTATAAGTACCATTTCCCACCTGAGAAAATTTTCTCCATGAGTTATGTGATAAACAAACTGACTACCAAATTCACCTATAGCCTGTTGAATGAAAAGGTGTGAATTAGTCACAGAAATGTTTCAGAATCTTAGAGAACAGAATAGTGCTCTGTACTGTTTCTCACAGTCCCACATCTCTTATACAACACTCTCCTGTCCAGTGCAGAAATGACTGTCACACATGGCTTCCTGGCTATGAATACACAAACCCAAATGACGTGTGTAGTGACTCCAGAGTTCACACAAAGACTTAGTATAAAAATAATTATAAAGTAGCTTATTAATGTCACACTATATATAATGAAATAATAACATTTGGATATACTAGACTAAATAAAATTAATTTCACCTATTTACACTTCTTCAAATGCGGTTACCAGAAAGTCCCAGACTATATAGTCCATAATACATTTCTGTTTGACAGTATTGTTCCTTTTTTTATCCGTAGGGCTTTTTTCTTGGTATATATGGTGCTTTTTTCTTGGTTTGATTGGAACCCAGGGCCATACAAATGCTAGGCAAACTCTCTACCTCAGAGCTCCATCTACAGCTCTTATAGCACTGTTTTTGTTGTTATTTTATTGTTGTTTTATTTTGGCAGTACTGGGGTTTGAACTCAGGACCTCATACTTGCTAAGCAGGCATTCTACCCTGTGAGTAATGCCCCTAATCCCTGAAAGTATGTTTCTGATGAAAAGTTTATGCTAATTATTTTACTCTCAAACCCAAAAGGACTCAGGATTCTGAGCATGCATTTCAAATACAAAAGCAGTCGATTGCTTTTAAATCCACACGTGTTATGCATCTTATGCTGACAGACTGAGAGCACTCTGAGCTGACCTCAGCTTCCACTAAGCGTATGTGGTAACTATAACTGCCAGTCAGCTCCTAATGGCACTTAGTGACTCAGAGAAGACATTAGTACCTTATCATGCTGTGTTTCTTCCAATTGCTTCTTTGCATTTTCAACTTCTCGTAATAAAGAATTCTGGAAAAGATACAGAGTACTTCAGTGTTGATTCCCAGTAATCCAGTATGGCCACACTTGTGGAAAGCTATGGCACCGCACAGAAGGAAAGGTGAGATGGAAGCACTGAGGAGTGGCACCCAGTTAGCCTGACCACAGGGCACGGACAGCTGCACTCATTTCTCTGGCTCATATACAACTGGGTTCTTTTTGGATCAAATTTCCAAACATAAGCATGCTGAATCCATGGTATAAGTTTGTTTAGAGCAGGTAAACTGGCTTACACTGACTTTCAGGTTTGGCAATTCATTGGTGACTTGAGAAACATGAAATTTGTTTCACATGTAAAATTAAAATCTAAAATAAAAATATTCCTACCTGAGTTTGATCCACTGATGAAGAGGCGAGAGGAGCCACCCTGTGTGGTCTGTAATCATGCCTTTGTGCTTAGTTTTATGTAAAATACACGTGGAAAGTGGTAATCATCAGTCTCTGAACGGGATACAACTCTCCCTTGTGTGCCAACCTCAGGACGTTTCTGAGTGTCACCTCAAGGGACGTGGCACACTCATCAAACTGCTGCCTGCTCAGCCCTCTGTTCTGCAAGGACTCTGCAAGTAGCTAGTGTACCTTACATCTGAAGGGCTGGGAGCCAGGCTTATGCTGTGGGTGCTGGGAGCATGCTCGGCCTTCTTTAAACCAAGTGGAAGAGAAAGAAGGCAGGGCTTGGTACAGAACATTTGGTTTAACTTGATTCAATACCTTCTATGATGTCATGTGCCTAAAATGCTGCATCCAAAGGTTGGGTCAGATAGATTCTAGTGTAGGAAAGGGAGACTAGGGTTTACTGGCCAAATCCAGCCCATAATCTAGTTCTTTAAATTTAAAAAGAAATTTTTTTTTGAGACTAGGTCTTGTGATAATAGTCCAGGTTGGCCCTGAACTCATAATCCTCCTGCTTCTGCTTTTTGAATCCTAGGAATTCAGGCCAGTGCCACTATACCAAGCTTGTAAATAAAATTTTATTGGAACACAGCCATGTATGTTCATTTATGTGCTATCTCTGGCCGTTTGTCTGCTGGTACTCTACCATATGAACCATACCTCTAGTCTTTACCTGTCCAGGCCTTGGAAGAAACTACTTATCTACTTCTCTAATCAAGAACAGAAAGTAAGAACAAATAATTTGCCCCCAAAACAAATGCAGGAACAACAACAAATGCAGCCAACAACAAAATCAGCTCAGTGACTGGATGAGGCAGCTTGTCCCAGCCGCCACCTCCCCCAGGAGAGGCGGGGCTCGCTCAGCGGCAGGGCCCTGCAGTGCAGCCGCCTGACTACCTTGTCTTCCAGAGCAGCCATTCTCTCCTTCAGGTGAAGCTGAAGCCTCTCATTGGACTCTGAAAGAAGCTTGTCCACAGTGTCTGATAAACGCTTGTTATGCTCCTCATTCATCTTTTCTCTTTGTCTGGCCTAAAATAAGAGAAGCAGAGACTTCAGACTTGAAGCAGATATATAGTCATTCCATTAAGAGCAACAGGACCCAGCACGGAGCCACACATGTGCCACTGCGCCCGGTCTGCTCCTTCCCACTGCCATTCCTAGTCCAAAGGCAGGCAAGTAAGTCTTAGAAAGCCACTACTTAAAAGGGGATCTTCTAGAAATGCTAGCATTCAGGGGCTTGAGAAATGGTCTAGCCACCAGCTGTCAAATGGATGTAGAAGGTAGATTCATCAGTATCGAGTTGATATCTACATGCTGGCAGAGAAATTACCCTTGTATAAATGCATTTGAGACAAAAGATGAGTTAGGCCAGCTTCACGTGGCTCAGGGCTATACTCCTGGCTACTTAGGAGGCTGAGATCTGAGGATTGAGGTTCAAAGCCAGCCTGAGCAGAAAAGTCTGTGAGACTCTTACCTCCAATTAACAACCAAAAAGTCAGAAGTGGAGCTGTGGCTCAAGTGGTAGAGCACTAGCCTGAGCCACCAAAGCTCAAAGACAGAGCCCAGGTCCTGAGTTCAAGCCTCAGGATCACAAAAAAAAGATAAAAGACAAAAGATGCACTGGGGGGGGGGGGGGGGGGATGGGAAGGGATGGGAAGGGATGGGAAGGGAGGGGAAGGTATGGGAAGGGATGGGAAGGGATGGGAAGGGAGGGAAGGGGAAACAAAGGAGGAGGCTACAATGCCTGATAAGAAATGCACTCATTATCTTGCCCATGTAATTGTAACCCCTCTGTACAGTATTTTCACAATAAAAAAAAAAAAAGATACACTGAATTACCAGATGGCTTGCATCTATAATCCTAAATGTGGTTTGAAGCTGGCCCAAGCAAGAAAGACTGTGAAGACTCTTACCTCCAATTAACCACCAAAAAGCCATTAGTGGGGCTGTGGCTCAAGTGGTAGAACGCCAGCCTTGAACACAAAAAAAGCTCGACAGCCAGTGTCAGTGGTTCATACCTATAATCCTAGCTACTCAGAAAACTGAGATGTGAGGATTACAGTTTAAAGCCAGCCAAGGCAGGAAAGTCTGTTAGACTGAGACTCTCATCTCCAAGTAGCCACCAAAAAGTCTACAGTGGAGGTATAGCTCATAGCTCAAGTGGTAGAATACTAGCCTTGAGAGAGAGAGAAACACACACACACACACACACACCTGAATTACAAAGCAGAAGTGACACACACACACACACACACACACACACACACACACACACACACACACACACGCACACACACACCGAATTACAAAGCAGAAGTGAAAAGTATCAGTAGGGCCTGGGAGATGTTTTGTTATGCCAGTCCTGGGGCTTAAACTCAGGCTCTGGGCATTGTCCCTAAGCTTCTTTTGCTCAAAGCTAGTACTCTACCACTTGAGCCACAGTGCTACTTCTGGCTTTTTGCTGGTTAATTGGAGATAAGTGTCTCCCAGAATTCAATCTTCAGATCTCAGCCTCCTGAGTAACTAGGATTACAAAGGTAACTCATGGGCTAGGAATGTGGCTTAGTGGTAGAGCGCTCGCCTATCATGCATGAAGCCCTGGGTTCAACTCCTCAGTACCACATAAACAGAAAAAGCCAGAAGTAGCATGTGGCTCAAGTGGTAGAGTGCTAGCCTTGAGCAAAACAAGCTAAGGTACGGTGCGCCCAGGCTGTGAGTTCAAACCCCATCACTGGCAAAAACAAAACAAATGTAAGGCACTAGTGCCTGGCTTGAGACTTTTTCTTTATATCCCTATTCTGACTCAACTCTCATAACGTAATTTTCTACCCTGAGAATTGTAGATAAAGACCTAAATGACTTTGAAATGTGCTAACAAAGTTTCAGACCCATGTTTTACTGAACTGTAATCAACATCAACACTTAAAGGCCTTGGTTTTACCCCCGAAAGAATCCATGAGAGTAGAAGGCAACAGGCACTAAGAGGCAGCATCCAAGCCTATGACCAGATCACAGTGGCGGTGCTCTCCGACTCTGTCATCATCTAAAAAGCCACACAGCCACAGACCTCACAGTACATGTCCTTCCTTTCTTTTTTTTTTTTTTGGTCGGTCATGGGGCTTGAACTCTGGGCTTGGGTGTTGTTGCTGCACTCTTCAGCTCAAGGTTAGCACCCTATCACCTGAGCCACAGTGCCACTTCTGGTTTTCTGGTGGTTTAGTTGGAGATAAAGAGTCTCACTCACAGACCTTCCTGCCCAGGCTGGCTTTGAACCACGATCCTCAGATCTCAGCCTCCTGAGTAGCTAGGATGGCAGGTGTGAGCCACTAGCACCTGGCTCCAATGTTCTTTCTTTAGAAGTGTCTGCTTCTTTTGCCAAGCAATTTACTTTTATAGCAGAATAGCTTAATATCCAGTTATATACCTCCACAACACAATACTCCATGAACTGGCTCTGACAATACATAACATGCTGTTCTCTGTTTACAGGGTAAGAGTGTGTAGAGGTAGGGGGAGGAGGGGAAGAACTGAGCTTCATAGTGATCATTTCCAGGAAGCTAGTCTGATTCTCTGCAGTACATGGCCAAAAATACAGGCATCTACTTATGAGTGGGTATGGGGGGGGAAAATTGAAAGAGCAAGGGAAGACGTGACATTGTCCAAAAAGAACTGTACTCTTCGCCTGACTTACACAGCTGTGACCCCGGCGCATCACCTTTACAGTAACAATTAAAAAACTTTTTTAAGTTGCTCTTCTCTCAAAAATTCAGGTAAAGCTTCATACAATGGTCAATTTCAAAAAAAGAGGAAGTGGCGCTGTGGCTCAAGTGGTAGAGCGCTCGCCTTGAGCTGAAGAGCTGAGGGACAGCGCCCAGGCCCAGAGTTCAAACCCCACGACCGACAAAAAAGAAAAAAAAAGAGAGAGAGAGAGAGAGAGAAAATAAGCTGGGCATTGGTGGCTCATGCCTGTAAGCCTAGCTACTCAGGAGGCTGAGATCTGAGGATCGTGATTCAAAGCCAGCCCAGGCAGGAAAGTCCGTGAGACTCTTGTCTCCAATTAACCACCAGAAAGCCGGAAGTGGTGCTGTGACTCAAGTGGTAGAGTGCTACCCTTGAGCTGAAGAGCTCAGGGACAGCAACCAGGCCCAGGGTTCAAGTCCTACAATCAGTCACAACAACAACAAAATACAGGACTCATGTAAAAACATGATCCAGCAGTCTTCAAGCTAATGTGAAAAAGTTGGCTGATGTGGAGGCACGGGGCTCCACATCAGATATAAATGCTTCCTTCCCCGTCCTCTTGTTAAAAGACCCCACCCTAGACACGGGGCCTGGCAGCTTCCCGCTGCTCCACATGCACAGTGGCTCATTTCTGGCAAGGGAAACTTGGAATTGACACAACCCTCCACCACCGCATTTCCTAACACTCCTCTCACTGCAGCTCCATCTTGGTGCTCCTTTGGCTCCAAAATACTCATTCCAACACCTCCCAACAACTCTGGATCTGGAGACAGAAGCCAGGCCTCTGGCCCAAGGCTTTGACTACAGTGCCCCATGCTGAGCAAGCACACATGGGTCATGAGCCTTGCTCTAGGCTCCTGCAGGGTGTCCTTATGGGCACATACTGGGGAGTCTGTAGGGTCATTTTACCTGAAGCAGTCCTGATCACTAGATGAGCAAGAAACCTTCCTGGGTTTGGTGGTCCTGCCCATTCCATAGCATCGTCAATGACACATCTCTTCTGCTATAACGTATCCTTAATCTCCAAGTGTGTGGAGTGTGCACATCAGGGCAGTAGAAATGAGGCCACAAACAATAGCCCATGACAAGCAAAGTCTGGGTTGAAGTGGGAGGCCACAGAAGAGGACCAGTAGGAAGGAGGTCCAATAGCTCGGCCTGGGTCATACCTCAGCCCTAGGTTCAGTGTCTGCTCAGTACGTCCAGCTCTATACATACCCGCTGCAGTTCTTGATTCTTCTCCTCCAGCTGTGCCTCCATCTGCCGTAGCCTCTCCTCAATGTTGCCGTGTCTCTCCTCAGCCTGCCAGCAAAGACATGGTGAGCTGACCTACTCACACTTCACCGATGACATGCTCTATACTACCGCAGCAGCAGCAAGCATCACATGCTGTGCGTGGACTTCAACCGGATGGCAGGGACAGCGTGTACTCATCCATCACATCCTCTGTGGTGCTGTGTGCTGCTCACTGAACCAGCCGACCTCTCGCGTGCAGGTGCCGGCAAGCCTGTGTGTCCCCCCCCACCCCGGCGGGCCTCCGTGGACTCAGGTCTCCCCATCCTCAGACTGCTTCTGTGAGTCAGCATGGAAAGCAGAAAGCAGCAAGCAGGGGAAAGGAGCAAGGTACACATTCTACCTTCCTAAGCTTGGAAGTAAGTTCCAACAGTTTAGCTTCCTTAGCGGCAGAGCTCCCAGAAGACAAAGGGTCAGACTACAAAGCCAACAAGGACAGGAAAGACAGTAGGGAGAAAAGAAACGAAGATTTTAAAATAGTTCACTGAGGGGAGGCAGGGTTCTGCTATGGCTGAGAGCAGTGCACTCCACTGGGGCGGGAGGGGGGCGATGGGGGGGAGGCAAGCCTGTGGGTGTTGGGACCACCAACTGCCCCCAGGGTTCCCTTCCCTGCAGGGTACACTCTCCTCTCCCTGTCCCTTCACAGCAGCTAAGTCCAAGCTAGTGCCAACAGGACTCCTGCCAGGCACCAATATGACGTGTGCTCACGCTGCTTTTGGGCCTGGCGATGCTTCTTGCTAAGCCTCTTTTGGCCCCTGTGTGGACCGCCTGAGCTGAGTCCCATGCCCTCCCCCTCCCCCTGGAGCGACATCTTTATCTGCCTCCCTCTCCACAGACGGCAGGAACTGTCCTGTACATGCCTTGCTAGCACTGGTTGAACAAATAAAGATTGCTTTAAACCCATCTATTTTTTAAGCCAGAAATGACAGAGTACATCCATAGTCGAGCTACACAAGAGGCAAAGACAGAAGAACTGCTTGAGCCCAGGAGGTTGGAGCCAACCTAGGCGTTTTAACCAGATATCATCTCAAAAAACACATTTGTAAGTAATTTCAAAACAAAACATTACTTAAAAATTTACTCTAAGTGTATTCAACTGTCTTTAAAAGAGAATAGCATTTTCCTCTACTTTTTCTCATTTCTCTTTTCTTTCTGTACTCTCACTGGCCTTTTTCACTACTGGCTGGCACTTTACTACTTGAGCCACAGCTTCATTTCTGGCCTTTGGCTGGCTGGCTGGAATTTTTGTCTGCCCTGGCTCCAAACTGTGACTCTCAGACATCAGCCTCCTGACTAGCTAGGATTATGGGCACAAGCCACCTGTGCCCGGCATCACTTTCCACTCCTGACAACTCTATTAACCTGTCCCACACAGCTTCCAGTCTGTGCTTTGAGCTATGACTAGAACCACAACACAGTGTCACAACACTGTGGACAAACAACACATTCCTGAGAGACAGGAGGGTGGTCCAGGGAGGACAAGGGAGGACACTGTCTGACCAGTGAGAAGCGGTCTCACCTCACACTAGCACTGACAAACAGTCAGAGCCACTCCACAGGTCCAGGGACCCTGACTAGAGACACCAAGTTCTGGCGCTTGACCTGTACCAGCCCAGACGCACCTTGGAGAGCGCAGCCACCCTCTGGGCCAGCTCAGCCTCCACCTCCGGCAAGGTCTCAGCTTTCCGCAGGGTCTGCTGCAGCTTCTGCTCTGCCAGTTCCAGGCGTTCCTGTAACTGACGGTTTTTGTCTTCCGTCTACAGAAGGAGAGCTGAATGAGAGAGTGCAGTGCCCCAGCTCCTTCAGTGACAGCAAAAACCATCAGAGCCTCCGCTTACAAGCTGACGGCAGTACGGAGGCAGCCTGCCGCGGGGCAGCAGCTTCAGAGCCAGGCTTTCCTCATCTACCTTTTTGGGCCTGAATTTGATGAGCAAACATCTTTCACAAAGCATTTGCTTCTAATATCTTCAAAGAAACCTTCTTTATTTATTTTTGTTTTTTGGTTGGTTGTGGGGACTGAACTCTGGGCCTGTGCGCTGCCCCTCAGCTCTTCAGCTCAAGTCTAGGGCCCTACCACTTGAGCCACAGCGCCACTTCTGGCTTTTTCTCCTTATGTGGTGCTGAGGAATCGAATCCAGGGCCTCATGCATGCAAGGCAAGCACTTTACCCCTGAGCCACCTTCCCAGCCCCTATTTATTTTGGGTGCAAGTCCTGGGTCTTGAATTGAGGGCCTGGGTGCTGTCCCTGAGCTTTTTCACTCAAGGGTAGCATTCTACCAGTTGAGACACAGTTTCATTTCCAGCTTTTTGGTGTTTAATTGGAGATAAAGAGTCTCACGTACTTTCCTGCCCAGGCTGGCTTCAAATCTCAGTCCTTACATACCAGCCTCCTGAGTAACTAGGATGACAGGCATGAGACACAGACACCAGGCTAAGCTTGCTCATTCTTATAGACAACTTAGGGTAAGAATACTTGGTACTATTCCTTGGCAAAAACAAAAAAGTCGGGCGCTGGTGGCTCATGCCTGTCATCCTAGCTACTCAGGAGGCTGAGATCTAAGGATCGAGGTTCAAAGCTAGCCCCGGCAGGAAAGGCCGTGAGACTTTTTTCTTTTTTTTGTCAGTTGTGGGGCTTGAACTCTGGGCTTGGGTGCTGTCCCTCAGCTCTTCAGCTCAAGGCAAGCAAGTGCTCTACCTCTTAAGCCACAGCACCACTTCTGGTTTCCTGCCTGGACTGGCTTTGAACTGTAATCCTCAATTCTCAGCCTCCTGAGTAGCTAGGATTACAGGCGTGAACCACCGGGGCCCAGCTGCCATGAGGCTCTTATCTCCTATAAACCACCAAAAAGCCGGAAGTGTTGCTGTGGCTCAAGTGGTAGAGCACTCGCCTTGAGCTGAAGAGCTGAGGGACAGCGCCCAGGCCCAGAGTTCAGGCCCCACGACCGACAAAACAAAAACAAACAACCCCTCAGCACTAGCGGCGCACTGGCCTTGGCCTCTAATCACAGGCCTCCAGACGTTGAGGAAGCGCACCCCGGCCGGAGCACAGAGAGCTCCCCATCTTCCAAGAGCTTGCTCAATGACAAACCATTCCAGCTCCTGTTACTTTGTTTGAGGCAGGGTGTCACAGGATTTAGCATAAGCTGGCCTCAAACTTCCAATCTTCCTGCTTCAGCCTTCTGAGTGCTAAGGCTATAAGTGTGTGCCTGACTCAGGTTTTTCTGGTTCATTCTCAGATATCTAAGATTACACAGAAGTGGGAGTGAGTGTGGTTTGTCAAGAGTACAGAGATGCTAATTTTACTTCTGCTTTTTGTTGTTTGTTTGTTTTTTGTATGTTGTAGGGCTTGAACTCTGGGCCTGTATACTGTCCTTGTGCTCTTCAGCTCAAGGTTAGTGCTCTATCACTTGAGCCACAGCACCACTTCCGGTTTTCTGATGGTTCATTGGAGATAAGAGTCTCACAGACTTTCCTGCCCAGGCTGGCTTTGAGCCATGATCCTCAGATCTCAGCCTCCTGAGTACCTAGGATTGATTACAGGTGTGAGCCACTGGCACCTGGCCTGATTTCTTTTTAACTTGCCATTCTCATATTGTTCCTAGTTACCAACAAGCACCTACCTTGAAATTCTGTCACTCTGCTCATTTAGTACAAATGATTAAAACTTTAAATATAGACATAATTTAAAAAAAAAAAAAAAAAAGGTGTGAACCTCTATCTGATGACTGCACCTTTGGTTTTCCAGTGCTGGAGATTGAACCCAGGGTGCTACATATGGATTAAGTTTTAAATAACCACAGCTTCTAAGCTGAAGTAACCACCCTCTTCAAGGTAATATTCTAGGATCATAAAAACTGCTATTTGGACTTGATTTGCCACATGCAACTTACAAGGGGGGGGGGGGGGGGGGAGAAGAAAGATCTTTAACTTCATTAATAATTAACTGAAGCCAGAAACAGGCCCATAAAGTTCATTACCTGCCGGTGCATAGAATCCTTATTTGCAATCTCGTTTTCCAGTTTGTCATTGAGGTCATGTACTGAAGTGGCCTCTCGCTGTGCAGCAAGGTAACGCTTCTCAAGGGTGGTGATCCTCTCCTCCATGTCTTCCTTCTGGGCCATCGCCTATAGTTCAGAGGAAAAAGGCAGGTGACAATACTTAACACATTCCAATACTCCAGAGAGAAAACTGGACGAAACTAAAATCACAGTCCCCCAAACTAAACTGATACATGTCAGTTTTCTGAAATTGACCTGCCTCGGACATCATACACATCCAGCTGTGAGGTATGACAAGCACAGGTTCATCAGGCTTAACATACTTGATGGCTCATGTCACCAATTTTATTCTTTTCTACATATGAAATGTGTAAAAAGTACATATAAAAATAAGCTTGAAGGGGCTGGGAAGTTGGCTCAGTGGTAGAGCACTTGCCTTGCATGCCTGAGGCCCTGGGTTCGATTCCTCAGCACCACATAAGCAAAAAGAAAAAAGCCGGACGTGGTGATGTGGCTCAAGTGGTAGAGCGCTAGCCTTGAGCTGAAGAGCTGAGGGACAGCACCCAGGCCCAGAGTTCAGGCCCCACGACCTGAGCCCCCCCCCCCCCCCAAAAAAAAAAAACTTAAAAAAAATTAAGCTTGAAGTGAGTCATCAAGTATATTTTAAAATTTGTATAGTAAGCCACCCCAAACACTCTAAGAACCCAAGCAGATGAAGGTGTCCCCAAGGTGTCCCAAGCAAGGAGTGCCCTATTGTCTGCCCCAGCTACAAAAGGGCTTCTTATTGGATATAGCAGCAAGATGCAGGTCTCAATTTTGTACACTAAAAGTTGGATAAAAGTCTCATACAATTGTGACGCTCAAACACACTGACAAGTGGAAACAGAAGTCAAAGTTTAGTAAGACACCACTAAAGTTTGTAACAAAATTAATATTATGCACTATCTGCTACTGAAACCAGGACACAAATTATCTAATGTAGGCAAAAAAATAATAAAACTTAGTAGGTTCTGTAATGTATGTGAATATTTTCCTTTGGTCTAAATTCTTACATAAAATTGCTCATGCTAAGCTTCCCTGCTCTCCACACATGCTCAGTGGCAGGGAGATCCCATGGACAAGTACCAGACGGTCTCCCATACATGTTTATTTTGTAACTGTGACCCAGGCAGAAATGCAGTCAGAATACATCCAAATATATTCTTACAACACGGTCCAGAGGACCCAGGTGTGAGTGAGTTTCATACTCACTGCTGGCCTGACCTCTGATATCCAACCCCATACCATCCATGAGAGAGGTACACCAAAAAACAGGAGCTGGCCTGTCACAGACCACCTCACATCTCAACAGGACGGCCGATACCAAGTTCACCTGCTATCTGGATGACAGAAAGAAACCTAACAAGACAAATACACACGCACAGCTCACAGTCTGGGGCAGCACAGGAGGGAACCTAAGAAGGCTCTGCCCTTAAACATCTGCCCACCATGGCATGAGGCAGCCTGTCCATCTCATCATACTGGCTCCTTCTCACTATCACTCATACAATAACCCAAGGCTGGAAGAAGCTGGGCGGGCACAAGAGAAAAGCGGCACTGGATAGGACTTGAGCACACACTGCGATCTCGGCCATCACTTACTTCTCGGACATCTCGTTGCAACTTTGTGTTCATTTCTTCAGACTTGATGAGATCCTTTCTGGCTGTGTCCAGATCTTCTTCCAGCTCTGCTACATGACTGGAGAGGGCAGCCAGACGCTCCTTCATCTGGGTCTGCTCTCTTGACTGTTTGTCTATGACTTCCTGGAGCTCCATTACCTTAGCAAGGTCTTCCTCGTGGCTGAGGGAGCCATCTGAAGATCTCTGATGGAAAAAATATGGACCCTTATACAGACAGCCATGTTTGGTACGCTCTAGAATAAAACATTTCCAGCAAACCAGGTCCACCAAAACAAGATTTCTATAGTCTGCATGCAGGCATGCCAGGTACATGCAGGTGCTGTATTTTCAGCATAGCTGCTCAACAGCTTTATCTAGGTGCCAGGGACCAAAGATACCAGAAAGGAAACCTAGAGAAAGCCCAGTGACTTGCCTTTCCATTCGTGCTTGGTGTGTTTTCCTGCTCATGGTTGATGTCAAGCACCCCATCTGTTACTGTTTTTTTCTGATTATTCTGTTCTTTAAGAATCATTAGCTAAAACAGAAATGAACATGAGGAGGATAAAACACCTTAAATGCCTTTGGGAAAAACAAGACTAGACAATGCTAAATGAAGAAAAAAAAGCATACGGTAAAGCTCTCCTACTGAACACACAGGTTACTAGAATTCATACCTACTAGACAAATGATCCTGAATGCTGACATCAAAGTCTAGCAACCCCAGCAGACTGGTCCACAACTAGAAAAACACCTCTGACATCTATTACTCTGTAAACTTAGGGGTAGTAATTCTATTAACCTCTGACAGTGCCTCCAGCTCACCTCTTTGTGTGTAGCACCCAGTTCTTCTTCTAACAAGCTGCACCTCTCCAGGGCTACTCGGAGCCGCTCTCGCACCTGGAAATAAAAGGGTCACTGTGAGTGCATTTATTTCACAGGCACATCTATGTACAGTTATCTAACATGGTGCTAGTGAAACGTAAGAGGAACTGTAGTGTCTTCCATTGACATTTACTGCCCAGAAACTTACTAATGCATTTAGTTTTGTTTTTGTTTTCTGAGACCAGGGCTTACTAGGCAGACCAGGCTGGCCTGGAACTCATGATCCTCCTGTCTCAGGCTCCCCAAAACTCAGGTGACAGGTTTCAATTTGGGGAAATTTTGCCCCTGAATAGATTACCAAGATCTTCACAGCAAATCAATGCAGATAATTCATCAATGTTAAGATGCATATGCCAGCTGGTACTTGTTAACCGTGTAGTATACTGTCTTCTACGAGAGATGCCTTTATAAGAATTCAAGGAGCTATAATGTCGGTACTCCACAATGCCCATACCCACCATATCAGTGCCCCATAGGCATTGGTGACCACAGTGCTAGGGGCCCACAGTCAGTACTGGTACCCACAGCATTGGTGCCCTGTAGTGTCAATGGCCACGGCATGTTGGTGCCCCACAGTGTCAGAGCTTGGCAATACCTTCTCATCCAGGGCTTTGTGGTGCTCAAACAGGGACTTCAGAGCTTTGAGCACCTCCACCTCACTAGACACACCGGCGGGAGACTGTGCCTGTCTCTTTACCACTGTCATCCTAAGAGAACGCTCGTGCCTGGACACAAGGCACTCCAAATGCTCCAGCAGCAGCTGAAACAGAGGGATGGAAGAAAGGTACAAGGAGCAATTTTCAATCATGTCTACTCTCAACCACACACTCAAGTCTGAATCCCTTGAGCCCAGCAGAAAGGTAGAGACACTCCTTCAGCTCTCAGAGTTCTGTTAATCCCAGCCTCATGCCTTGTCTAACACCGCGCTGACAGAGCAGTCTACACTGTGACCCAGGCAGGAAAGGTTGTCTGTCCCCTCCTCGGGCAGCAGGACTGGTCCTCACACTGACTGCAGAGGCAGACAAGACCCAGAACCATTACTAACCCTGGTGTTGTTCCTTTCTGCTTTCAGCTCTGCAATTTCCTCTTCCCTCTCGAGGAGCTGCTCCCTGCACACATTCAGTTCTTTCGTGAGTGCTGCAAACTCCTAGAAAGCGCCAAAAGAGAGGAATAAATAAACACATAGAGGAGAAGGACTTCCAGTAGCCTCCCCAGTGTCTGATCCTCCAGAGAGAGACCACCAACAGGCTGCAGACCAAGATTTACTCTAGATCAGGCTCCCAGCTATGTATGCCTTCCCTCTACTGGGGCCATGGAGTACAGGTAGGGGAGAGCAGGGGAGAGTGGGGTCCAAGCCCACCTAAGATCAAAGTAATTCCCAAACTGGGGCATGGGATGAAGCAAATAAAGACATTTTTAAGTGATTCACAGACACATGACCTAGAAGGGAAAAAGCTAGAACAGAAGGCCACCACCTGGTCTGCCTTCTCCTCGAGATGCTGAGTCTCCCCTGGGAGATCATAAGGCTATGGAGATCCCCCAGGGAGAAGGCTGAGCAGTGTCTCAGACCCAGTTTCTTAAGTCTGCAGAAGTTGCTTAGTCAACTATACAAGACGGATTTTCCCAAGTATTGGTAAGCCTTTTGCAAAGTCTAGGAAGGCTGTCTGGGCATCTGGGTGAGCTGTGTCCAGCTGCTCCTGTGGTGCTGCTTTGCACTAGCTCTGCAATACTGCTCTGAACACAGTGGATAAGGAGAGTCAAGTAGAAACCTACAGCCTCCTTCCTTTCCTCCTTCCTGAAAGGAGTACAAAGCTCCCATCTCTGGTCAGTGACTCATCCCTAGAGGCTCGCTTCTCTTTTTCTTTTTATGCAGGCCCTAGTCTCGAACTCAGGGCCTAGGTACTGTCCTTGAGATTTTCTGCTCAAGGCAGCACATGCTCTACCACTTGAGCCATAGCTCTATTTCTGGCTTTTTGGCAATTAATCGGAGGTAAGAATTTCATAGGCTTTCCTGCCAGGGCTGGCTTCAAACCACAATGCTCAGATCTCAGCTTCCTAGGTTTAGAGGCGTAGACCACTGGTGGTGGTGGTGGTGGTGGTGGTGGTGGTGGTGGTGGTGGTGGTGGTGGTGTGTGTGTGTGTGTGTGTGTGTGTGTGTGCCATATTGGAGTTCAACTCAAGAGCCTTGTGCTTGGTAAGCAAGCTCTCTACCATTTGATTTACATATCTAGCTCCTCACCCATTTTTCAGTGGAACAAAAGGCCTTCAAAGGGCTGGGAAGGTGGCTCAGTGGTAGAGTGCTTGCCTTGCATGCGTGAGGCCCTGAGTTCCATTCCTCAGCACCACATAAGCAAAAAGAAAAAAGCCAGAAGTGGTGCTGTGGCTCAAGTGGTAGAGCACTAACCTTGAGATGAAGAGCTGAGGGACAGTGCCCAGGCCCAGTGTTCAGGCCCCACAACTGGACCCCCCCCCCAAAAAAAAAGGCCTTCAAAATAAGCTAAAGCTTACTGGGCACTGGTGACTCACATCTGTAATCCTAACTACTCACGAGGCTGAGATCTGAGGATTGTGGTTCAAAGCCAGCCCACGCTGAAGAGTCCCCATGAGACTCTTATCTCCAATTAACCACTGAAAAACCTAAAGTAGATCTGTGACTCAAAGTGGTAGAGTGCTAGCCTTGAGCAAAAGAGCTCAGTGACAGCATCCTGGCCTTGAGTTCAAATCCCATAACCACCAAAGAAAAACTAAGTTAAAGCAACTGCTTTGTTTTATTGTTTCTTTTTTTTGGCGGTCATGGGGCTTGAACTCTGGGCCTGAGCGCTGTCCCTCAGCTCTTCAGCTCAAGGCGAGCGCTCTACCACTTGAGCTACAGCGCCACTTCCGGTTTTCTGGTGGTTTATTGGAGATAGGAGTCTCACGGTCTTTCCTGCCCAGGCTGGCTTTGAACCGCAATCCTCAGATCTCAGCCTCCTGAGTAGCTAGGATTACAGGCGTGAGCCACCAGCGCCCAGCTATTGTTTCTCTTTAAGGGACAGAGAAGGTTTGATAATCAGCCCTTCAATAGGACAGCTGTGTAACTTGTGTCCATACCTATCTTCGCAACCCAAGGCCAGTGTGGGCCATGATGGAGCCAAAACTCTATCTGTACTACATGGGACAAGCAGGCAGCAACAGGAAGAGTGAAATTAAACAAACGTATTGCTTCTCGAGTATTATTTCAGAGGAACAAACTAAAGGACAGGAGAGAGAGTTTGCAAAGAACCTGAAGGACACTGAGTATTTTCATGGTGTGGCAAAGTAACAGTAATTTTCATTTACTCAGTTTCTCTTAAAAGAAACCACCAGTTCTTCTGTAATCTACTCCTAGTCTGGCAACAGGAAGACCTCTGGAACCGGCCTCCAAGGGAAAGAGGAGAAAAGGATGAGAAAACAACTCTTCAAAGCTCCTGGAAACTGCTCCAAGTACAACCGCAAATGATGAATATTCATTGATTGGTTGTGCTGCACAGTACCTGGGGGTCTGAGACTGCAGAATTACAAGTTCTAGGCCAGCCTAGGTTATATAGTGAAACTTTGTCTCAAAACAAAAAAACGAAAAAAACAAATAAAACAAGCCAGGCGCCAGTGGCTGAGGCCTGTAATCCTAGCTACTCAGGAGGCTGAGCTCTGAGGATCACAGTTCAAAGCTAGTGGGGGCAGGAAAGGCCATGAAACTCTTTTATCTCCAATAAACTACCAGAAAACCGGAAGTGGCACTGTGACTCAAGTGGTAGAGCTCGGGCACAGTGACAGCACCCAGGCCCAGAGTTCAAGTCCCACAATAGACAGAAAAGGAAAAAGAAAGAAAGGAAACAAACAAACAGCTGGACACCAGTGACTCACACCTAGCTACTCAGGATATTAAGATCTGAGGATCACAGTTTGAAGCTGGCCTGGGTAGAAAAGTCCCTGTGAGACTCTTATCTCCAATTAACCACTCAAAAACTGGAAGTAGCAGTGTGGCTCAATAAATATAGTGCTAGCCTTGAACATAAAGAGGCTCAGAGACAGAGCTCAAGCCCTAAGTTCAAGCCCCTCATACTACAAAAAGGGAAGGGGAAAAGGAAGGGGAAGGGGAAAAGGAAGGGGAGGAAGAGAGGGAGGGAGGGTAGGAGGGAGGGTGGGAGTGAAGGAGATGGAGAGAGGAAAAAATATGTATAAAAATTCAGGCCAAGCACTGGTGGCTCACACCTGTAATCCTAGCTACTCAGGAGGCTGAGAACCTAGGATCCCAGTTCGAAGCCAGCCTGGGCAAGAACGTCCATGAGACACTCAGCTCCAATTAACCACCAAAAAGCCAGATGGAGAGCTGTGGCACTGTGGTTCAAATGAGAGAGTGCTAGTCTTGAGGGGAAAAAAAGCTCAGGGACAGCACGCAGACCCTGAGTTCAAGCTCCAGGACTGGCACAAAAAAACAAACAGTACAAAAGGTAGGAGTCCAAAGTTGCTTCTTGCCTCCTTTCCCAGCTTAGCAAGGCAGAGACTCACTCCAGACTAACGCTCTACCCTGAAGACCAACCACAAGCCAGGACCTGTTCCCTCTTGCTAACTAAGTACAACTCATCCCAATATGCTACAATACTTGACAAAGTCGCTGTGCTATAGGTCGTGAGCAAAGGGGGGAGCCTGCCTCCTCATTTGGGCTGCTGGACCACAGACCGAGGGCCAGCAACAGGGAGTGAAAACCATTAATATCCAAGTGCTTAGTTTAGCACAGGGAAGAGTGCTGTGCTAAAGCTGAGCTGGAGGAGAGAAGAGTAGAAAACCAGCAACAAGTAGCAGTGAAAATCAAAAAAGGGGGCGGGGGAAGGGGGGGAAGGAGAAGGATTGGGATTGGGGGGGAGGGGGGGAGGCTGGGAAGGGATGTGAAGGGTAAACCAAAGGAGGAGGCTGCAATGCTTGGTAAGAAATGTACGCATTATCCTGCCCATGTAATTGTAACCCCTCTGTACAGTATGTTCACAAATAAAATTAAATTAAATTAAAAAAAAAAGAAAATAAAAAAAAGAGGATCTGAACTAAGATTAATGTTAGGAGAGGGACACTGAGAATGGATTCTCAAAGGAAGCGCAGCACCTGACACGTGCTAGAAGGCACGGGCTAGGCCCTCCAGCTTTCACAGGCGCACATGCCATGCCCCGCCCCGCCCCCACTGAGCCTGTTCAGAAGTCTGTGAGAGGAGAAGTAGGGATTCCTGACTGGATGGATGAACGCAGAGTGAAGAATGGAGTCACTGCTTTCTGAGAACAAATGAGGGGGGAAAGTTTCTGAATGGCAGAGTAAGCATTTGTTTTCAGGAATGCTGAATATGGAAAGATTATTGTGCAATTCCAAGTGTGAAGTTCTCAGCAGTGCTGGGAAGTAGATGTCCTATCAGCTTCATCCTATACAAATTACTAAGGCACCAAATGCAGCCTCAACAGTCTGCCTCAAAGGGCATCAAAACGGAGCCTGGGACTGGCCAGTCAGGCAGGAGGAGAGCCAGGGCACACTGACACGGCCAGGGCAGGTCAGCTGACCCAATGCTGACTGTGGGATGGGTTGAAATGAAGGGCAATAATGACCCCACATGGTTATAGCAACTGTTTGGTGCAGTAGTAGGTTGAAAACAACAGAGAATGGGGAAAGGAAAAATACACAGACCTGAATCATACATGAGAAAGAGAAAGAAGACAAAGGCTGGGTCACAAATGGCCTGAAGATGAGACCGATGTTTGCACGTGATGGCAAGAATCCAGGAAATGGGAAAAAGATGGAGCGGTAACTGAGCAGCTTCATGCAGACAGGGTCAAGTGGCTGAGAGGACTGCCTCTTCAGAGAGGAGAGCAAAGTATCAATCCAAACTAGGAGGGGATGGAGGGGAGTTGGACAAAAGTTCCTTTTGGATTTCTTCCAATTCACTGAGAAGAAAATAAATGCACTGTCATTGGTTTGCATTTGTAGATGGGAAGAAAGCATCTGGAAGTGGACAGGACAAGATGTCACTGAGGAGAGGCATACAGCCACCCCTCCCTGTATCGTGCTTCATTTATTGCAGCTTCACTATATCACAGGTTTACTCAAAAAAAAAAAAAAAAAATAGTGATCCCATACCTATCACAGGAGCTA